TTAAGTCCTATGATATAACAAGAGTGGCTAGTAGGCAAGGTAAATATATGGAAATCAGGTAAATAGTTCCAATTTGTAATATACTTATAGGTTATTTATTCCTGTTTTAATACCTGTCCTTGCTGGGTAGTAATATAATCCTTTAGGTTACCCACCTTCTTTCTCTTTGTTTCAGTTACCACTTAATGTAGTGGGGGCAGGAATTTACTCTTTTCACATGATAATCTTAGAAATCATAAAACTTTTGGAGTACTTTAAAACAGTCTAATATAGCCTTAGCCTTAACTGATATTTTGCACAATGTCCCTGGAAACTAAATCTCAAAATTTGATAAAAGGAAATTTATGATCATGAGTCATTGTAATACATGATACCAGCTTGACTTTACTGCCTCTGAAGCAAGTCTATAACAGAGCCTTGGACTTGGGAGTTAGGAGGGCTTGGGTCCAAATCCCACCTCAGACCCTTATTAGCTGTGTGACCCTGAGCAAGTGACTTAACTTCTTTGGGCCTCAGTTTCCTTATCTGTAAAATTAGGGGGTGAGACTTGACCTCTAAGATTCCATTAAGCACTAAATAATAATAATAATAGCTATCATCTAGTACTTTTTGAAGATTTGCAAAGTGCTTTACATATACAGGCTGTCTGAAAAGTATTGGTGTAATTTTTTGATATTAAAGCTTAAAACTGCACTAAGACTTTTGAGACACCCTGTTTTATCATACTTGATCCTCTCAACAAACCTGTGAGGTAGGCACTCTTATTACAGATGAGGAAACTGAGGCTGAGAAAAGTGAAGTGACTTTCTCAAGGTCACACAGCTAGTTAGTATCTGACGCAGGTTTTGAACTTAGGTCTCCCTGATTACAAGTCCAGATTTCTAGTGCCTAAAGCCATCTGTCATCCTATGGTTGGCTTGCCATGGAAAAGTGTTACTACTTGAATTCCAGTAGTTTCTAAATGTATCACCAGTCCGGTGGTTTTGGGATGTTCTGACTAATAGGCAACTAGCTATGCCTCAGATGCATCAGATTCAGGGTGTTTAATGAATTTGATTAAATTTTGTATATTGTATTTCTGGATACAGAGAAAACTGGTTGTTTAGGAGACCTGTTAATAGAATGCTTTAGGAATGTGCTAGTATTGAGGTTAATTGTTCTGTTCTTGGGGCAATATTCACTGCCTCTTTGACCATCCCCACCCTGGGAAACTGATTTCTGGGAAAGTAATAACAATAGCTCACACTAATGTTAAAGTTATAAAATGTTTAACATGCATCATGTTCTTTGATCCTCACAGTTATCTCGTGAGGTAAATAAGGTAAGTCTATCTACCATCATGTGAGGAAACTAAGATTCAGAAAGGTTGAATTTGCCCAGGGTCACATATTTGGGGTAAATGGACCCACCCTAATGGTCTAAGCCTCTCAATGAGCGCTCCTACTGCAGTATATCTGTCTCTCCTCGTCTTCCTGCAGTGTTGTCTAATTTGTAAATGTGCTCATCTTCAAAATGGGGGGGGGGGGGGAACCAAACCCAGTCGGGGCTTAGAGTTTGAGAACATTTTAATGAAAATCTGCCGCTGTAAGAAATGTTTAAAATCCCTAATTTCACAATTCATCAACGTTAAAGAATTACTTCTATCCAATATATGTAAAATAACTTGTTATTTTTAATATAGCAAGCTGGTAAAGGCTTTTATAATCGAATAGGTTTAAGAAGTATAATTTAAATGAATAAGGAAATCAGTTTGTGTTGTCTTGGAAGATTATGTCACTGGGTGTATTTTATGCTGCATTGCAGTAGTTTTATTGCGGAAGTGCAAGTATTCCTGATGCTCCAGTGACTCACCACTTCAGTGGGCCTCAGATGTCCTTCTGCTCTTCTTTAAATGCAATGTAGCCAAAAAATCAGGAATCACAGAAATTGAAAGTCTTAGCTAGAGGCAAAGTTTGGGTTGCATGTTTTCTCCGGGTTTTTGTTTATATAGCTAGTCAAAAGGGTTTTTTTAGTTCATTTGGTTTTTTGTTTGTTTTGTTTTGAGGGCACAGTAGGGAAATGCAAAGATAATAGTACTTGAATAATGCCAAATAAAATTTCCTTTTGTAGATAAATTAAAAAAATTTTAACAGATGTGGAGACTGTGGTTATCTTGGTTAGTGGATCTTTTGACATGTAACAGGATCCTATTCTATTTAAAATAGAAAAGTCAGTTTTCTGATTGATCTTTTCAATGTGTTCAGAAACACTGCACTTAGATAAACATCTATGGGCTTGCTCTCATCCTAAGAAAATACTTATTTTATGCTATCTATTCAGAAAACTTAAAAAAAAAATAGTGGCGTATAATTACTTTTTAAAATCGGTCTTCATAGAGTCTAGTAACATTTAAAGAAAGCATTTTATTGTATTTATTTCTGAGGAGAATGCTTTTGACACCAAAAAAGGTAATATATGTTCAATTCTTTTATGTCATGTAGGCTATATTTTTTTTCGTGTTACAGTAGCAAAAACCACAGAAGCTGAAAGAAATCCTCCTTCTTACATATGTTGGAGAACATATGCTTCATTGGTTAGCCATGTTGCATCAGCTTCTTCCTGCATCGTTTATTTTGAGATGATACTGTTTGGCCTATGATATTTCTAAGAGCACAGTGGGGTCCTATATCTATAATTATATTTTTTAATTAAACCTGTTGATTTCATCAGGTAGAGAACTGGTGAGGAATGTCCCCTAGCAAAGCAATCTGTGTGTGCTCTGTGGGTTGGAGAGTTGGCTGGAACACTGAGATGAAGTGACTGGCTTACACAGCCTTACCCTGTCATTGTGTGTCAGTTCTTACTGATTCCAAAGCCAGCTCTCAATCCCTTGGAATGCACTGCTTCTCTGTTACGAAATATCTTGGCGTCTGCATTGAGGATCTCTTTGCATCGGCACTTCTCATACTGAACTATGGAATGTGTGGCGTGACTAGGGGTTCAATGAAAACATCTCCTCCACATCTCCTCCCTCCATTCATTTATTTATTTATGACATTCATTTAAACATTTTTTTGAGTTTTAAATTCTCTGCCTTCTGCCCACTCTTCCCCTCTCCTTGAAAAGGCAAGAAATATGATATCAGTTATATATATCAAGAATGCAAAACATATTTCCATATCAGACATGTTGCATAAAAATAATATAAAAAACAAGAAGCCTAAAGAAAGTGAAAAAAGTATACTTCAATCTTCATTCAGAGTAATGAAAGCATTTCAGTATTAGGAAGTTGTCTAAAAGGGATTGGCCCTTCTCCGAACACAGCATGAGAACCTTTGATCCCAGGGGCACTGTACTATGTCAGCCTGCAGCTCTGACCTCTGCCTTTTGGATTGAGTACACTCAATTTATTTTCTGTTTTGTGTGATCACTCTTGGTAATGTACCCTTTCCCACCCCTCAAGGTAGCCTTGTTCCTTTACCACGGAGCTCTGTGAAAAAAGGGTTGTATTTTTCAGAGATGTCCTCTGGCCAAATCAGTTAAAAAGCACTGCTTTACATGCTTATTGACTGATCAATAACTTTAAAAAATACATACACAGAACAGTAGGTTACACAAAATAGATGGTGCGCTTCTTATCTTCAAATATTTTGTTGTTCTTGTTCGGTCCTATCCAACTCTTCATGATCCCATTTGTGGTTTTCTTGGCAAAGATACTAGAGTGGTTTGTTATTTCCTTCTCCAGCCTATCTTACAGATGAGGAAACTGAGGCCAACAGGGTTAAATGATTTGAGAAGGATCACATAGCTAGTAAGTGTCTGAGGCCAGATTTGAACTTGGGAAGATGAGTGTTTCTGACTCCAGGCCCAGCACTCTATCTACTGCACCACCTAGCTGCCCTTAAATCAAATGAGATCATATCAAATCAGATCCTATTTGTAAAGCCCTTAGCACAGTGCCTGGCACATGGTAGGTGCTTAATAAATGCTTATTTCTTCCTTTATATTTTGTGTGAACTTTCAAAGGTCCTTCAGTGGAATTGTTTTTATGTTAACAAGTATTATTAAAAAGATTTAAAGTTCTAGTATGTACCTTGCCCTTGTTTTATATTAAGATTAATGAAGAAAGTACCTTTCAGATGACATACTTGTGAATTTTGCATATTACTTTAGTTTCCTCATGTGTTAAATGAGGAGGTAGAGCTAGATTTTTAAGATGTCTTACAGTTCAGAAAGACTGTGATTATATAGGTATAGTATAATTGATGGTGAAACCAAAATTATTCATTTGTATGTAGTCCCCTATTAGAAATCTCTATAGATGATTTTTCTTTATATATAGTCACAAAAATAATTTGTTTGTAACTTTAGTTAGCTATCATATTTAGCCTCCATACTGAATTTAACACTAGCTGTGTGACCCCTGGGCAAGTCACTTAACCCTACTTGCCTCAGTTTCCTCATCTGTAAAATGAGCTGGAAAAGGAAATGGCAAACTACTCCAGTATCTTTGCCAAGAAAATCCCAAATGGTCTCACAAAGAGTCAAATACAACTGAAATGACTCAACAATAACAACTGAATTTAAAATTTCTTAGGGTAAGCATTCTTTATTAAGGTCATAAAACTTAGGTCATTTGTATGAGCATTTCTGGCTAATGACTTTTTTTCTTTTTTTTTTAAATAATTAATTTATTTTGATTTATCAACAATCCTTTTCATATGCTTTTGAGTTTAAAATTTTTCTTCCCCTTCCTTCCCACTACCCTCTCTAAGATGGTGCACAATCTGATATAGGCTATATGTATACATTCTTATTAAACATATTTTCAGATTGGTGATGTTGTAAGTAAAAATTAGAACCAATAGGAGGAACCACCAGTATGACTTTTTTTTTCTTTTAAGTATTCCTGGAAACTTAAACTGTAAGCCCCGAATTAATTGTGTCTATAAGTGCTAACAAAAACTGGGGGGAAAAAATCTGATTAGTCTTTTAAAAAAATTTTTTTTGTTGTTTTGTAGAGGATGTTGGTGATGAAGGTGAAGAAGAAAAAGAATTTATTTCCTATAATATCAACATTGACATTCATTATGGACTTAAATCCAATAGGTGAGTAGTAGAAGTTAAAATGGAATTAAAAAGCATTTATTAAGCCTTTACTATGTTTAAAGCACTGTACTAAGCTCTGAGAATACAATTAGAAAACTGAGATAGTCTGTTTTTAAGTCATTTTAGTCACTAAGCATTATTAAGCAACCACTCACTGTGTGCCAGGCACTGTGATTGGTGCTAAGAGTACAAAGAAAGACAAGAGTCAGTCCTTACTCTCAAGGAGGTGACACTCTAATGGGGAGACAACCATGTGCAGGAGCTAATCTCAGAGGGAAGGTAGTAGTATTAAGGGGAATCAGGACAAGCTTCTTATAGCAGGTGGCATTTCAGCTGGGACTTGAAGGAATGCAGGAGATGATGAGGGAGAGTATTCCATGAATGGGGAACAGGCAGTGAAAATGCCTAGAGTCTGGTGATGCGGTGTCTTGTTCAAGCCACAGCGAAGAAACCAATGTTACTGAATCTCAGAGAGAGAGAGAGAGAGAGAGAGAGAGAGTGTGTCTGTGTGTGTGTGTCTGTGTGTGTGTGTGTGTGTCTGTGTGTGTGTGTGGAGTGGGGAGAATAAGATATAAAAAGCTTGGAAATGCAGGAGATTGTAATGAAAATGCCAGAAAGAGGATTTTCTATTTCAACCTGGAGGTGATGAGGAGCCGTTGGAATTTATTGAATAGGGGGTGATGTCAGGTCTGTGCTTTGGGGAAAATTCAGCAGCTGAGTGGAGGATGTACTGGGGTGGTGAGAGACTTGAGGCAAGGACACCCACCAGCAGGTTATTGAGTAATCCAGGTTTGAGGTGAATGAGGGCCTGCACTAGTAATGTCAAAGAAGAGAGACGATATCCAAGAGATGTAGCAAAGGTAAAATGGACAGGACTTGGCAACAGGTTAGGTACAGGAGGGAGTGGGAATGGGGAGAGACAGTGAGGAGTTGAGCATGATGCTTGGGTAGCCAGCCTGAATGACTGGGAGGATGGTAGTGCTCTCAACAGCAGCAGGGAAGTTATGAAGAGGGGAGTGGTTTGTTTTTTTGAGGGGGTGGGAGCATGATGAGTTCAGTTTTGGACATGTTGAGTTTTAGATGTCTACTGGATCTTCGGTTCATAATGTCCAAAAGGCAGTTGGAAGGTGAGACTGGTGGTTAGGAAACAAGTTAGAACTGAATAGACCTCAGAATCATCTGCATAGTTTATAGTTGAATCTATGGGAGCTGATGTGATCACCAGGTGAAATAATATAGTGGGAGAAGAGGGCCAAGAACAAAGCCCTGGGATGTTATCCACCATTAGCAGATGTGACCTGGCTGAAGGTCCAGCAAAGGAGATTGAGAAGGAACAGTCAGACAGGTACCATGAGAACCAGCAGTGACATAGAAACCTAGGGAAAAGAGAGTAGAGGAGAGGGTAATCGACAGTGCCAGAGGCTGCAGATAGGTCAAGAAGGATGAGGATTGAAAAAAGGCCACTGAGATTTGGCAATTAAGAGATTATTGGTAACTTTGGAGAGAGCAGTTTCAGGTGAATGATGAGCTGGGAAACCACCCTACAGAGTTAGAAAGAGAGTGAGAGAAATGGAAATAGAGGCACTGATTGTCCATGGCTTTCTCAAGGAGTTCAAGCCACAGAAGGGAAGGGAGATAGGGGATGATAGCCTTTGGAGATGGACGGATTGAATAAGGGTCTTTTTTTGGGGGGGGGGGGGATTGGGGGTTAATGGTTTCCCCCGGGGCCACAGGCGGGTGGAGTGTGTAGAGCGTGGTCTGAGGTTGGATTTGTACGTAGGTCCTCCTGACTTCAGGGCTGGTGCTCTATCCACTGTGCCACCTAGCTGCTCCCGAATAAGGGTCTTTTGAGGATAGGAAGTCATAGGTATGTTTGTAGGCAGTGAGCAAGCAGCCAGTTGGCAGGGAGAGACTGAAGATAAGTGAAAGAGTGGGGATGTTAGAGAGGGCAATCTGTGTGTGTTGAAGAAGATGAGATAGAATGGTGTTGCTTATGCAGGCAGAGGGGTTTTCCTTGGCAAGGAGGAGGGAGGACCACCTCATTATGTGAAATGAGTGAAAAAGGAGATAATGGTAGAGGGTATCTCAGTGATGTGAGATGAAGAGGAGGGGAAGAGGGAGCCTTGTGAGTGGGTGCAATTTTTAAGTGAAATATGAGATGGAGGTCTTAGCTGAGAGGGTGAGCCATGGGAAGTTTGAAGAGGGATGAGAAGTTTTAGAAGAGCCACAGAAAGTGAATCTGTTATTGAGATGTGTAAAAGGATTGCCTTGCCACAGTGAAGGCCCAATTGAGATATGTGACATAAATTTGCAGTAGACCCAGGTTCTTTCTAATGGAGGAGATAATACATATAGGCTGGAAAAGCCTGGCAACATGTAGCCTGTAGGGGAAAGGAAGATGGTAAAGCTTGGTGGTCTGGATGGCAAATGATACAGTTTGACTCGATATAAAGGAGAGATGTGACTGATAGCTTTAGTGTCATTTCAGTTGCTAAAACTACATCCAGTTCTAATTGAACAACTTAATAGTACCAAAGAATTTGGAGTGAATAATTTTTTCCAGCTCTTTAGTAGCTGTGGCTGCTGAGAAAGTGGAAACAGCGGTGTTGGTAGAAGCATTTGCTGGGGCCACAACTCCCCTGGAGTTGGTCCTCTGGATGACTGTGGGTGGAGTCAGGCTTGTTAAGTATGGCCAATGGCCTTGGGAGGGTGCTGCCACTCATGGGCCTCTGGGATGTGGGGTCTTGGGCTCCTCTGGAATGAGAAGTCTCAGGTAGTGATATTAGAGATGGGCTCTCCTACTTCACTCATGTTACCTCCTTTCTTTTCCTTGGGGTACCTAGTTTGCTCTGGCTTAACTGACTTTTCCACCTGCTGGTTGGTTATAGATGGGATGGTGCTATTTTTCAGTTTAATGCTAAAGGTTCGCTTCACTTAGGGGAGAGAAGGTAGCTATCGATACTCACATTTACACCTTAAGATGAGTACAACCAAGTAATAAGAAGACGACTTTTTGCTGCAAAACTGATTTTCTGTGACTTATTATATAGGTCCTAGCCTAAATGACTATGCATTGACGTAGTATTGAATCCCTTAGAATGAAATGCTGTGTGGTACATGCTGATGTTGGCCTGGGAGTTAAGAAACTCAAATTTCATTCATAGTATTTTCTGGTTGGTTGTGATCTTCAGTGCCTCACTGAAATCAGTATGCTTAATGAAATTGATTCCTTTTACTATAAATTGATGTTAAAGGTTAAATAAAGTGCTTTAAAAGCTAGCGATGATGATAGTAATTATTATAGCAGCATTTATTAAGCATCTACTGTGTGCCAGGCACCATACTAAGCACTTTACAATTATTATCTCATTTTATCCTCCTAACAACCCTGAGAAGTAGGTGCTATTATTATCCCCATTTTACAAATGAGGAAACTGAGGCAAACAGAGGTTAAATGCACAGCTAGTAAATGTCTGAAACTGGATTTAAATTCATGTCTTCCTGACTTTAGGCCCAACACTCTATCCACTGTGCCACCTAGCTGCCTCTCAGAAATTTCAGTAGTGATAGTTTAAGACTCAGATAGTATCATGGGTTCTCTCCACACATGGCAGAGTTAGCACTGTTCTGTTTCATGGCCACATGATAGACCGGTAATCCTGGCCAGAGAGTGCACAAAATGCTTGCTGTTTGTCAAAGAGGGTGGGAGGGAGGAGTTTAATTAAGGAAATCTATCACCTTTTAGTAGAGGAAACACAAAGTACATGCCCTTCTGATGGGATAGATAGCTCAGATTGATCTTTTAGCTGAGTTACATGTTTAAGGTTCTTTTTAACTTTTTTTTTTTATTATAAACTGATAAACATGTAAAAAAGCATGAAATTTCAAAGAAAAGAAAAAATATTGTATTGACTGTTATGGTTTTCTAAATTATATGTAAAATTTAACACAGTTCTATCAACAGTGCCCTTTTTTTGGTTTACCTTTTGAACTTCTCTCTTCTGTGAATTTTTAAGTATTTTGTTAATATTTGTTTCTTATTTTGTTTTTTTTTTCCTTTTTTTGGGTGATGGAGTGGTAAGGCAGTCAAAGTTAAGTGACTTGCCAAGGGTCATAGAGCTAGTAAGTGTCAAGTATCTGAGGTCACATTTGAACTCAGGTCCTCCTGACTCCAAGGCCAGAGCTCTATCCACTGTGCCACCTAGCTGCTCCTTCTTATTTTATTTTTTTGGTATCATTCAGCCATCCTTTATCCTTATAACTCCCTTCCCCTCTTGGCAACAAAAGCCCTCCCTTGTATAAATAAAAATGGTCAAAGAAAACAAACCCACATTCCACATGTTGGCTCTGTCCAAAAATATATGTCTCATTCTGTATCTCTAGTCTACTATATTCCTGCCAAGATGAGGGAAACATGATTCCTCTTCATTCTTCTGGAGTCATATCTGGTCAATATATTGTTCAGAGTTCTTAAGTCTTTAAAAGTTATTTTTCTTTATGATATTGTTGTCGCTGTATAAATTATTCTCCTGGTTCTTCCCTCTTAACTTTGTATCAGTTAATATTTTTATGTGTATGAGTCCTTTCTGCCATTCTTTGATCTCTTAGATATATGCCATCTTGTGGTGTCACTGAGTCAAAGGGTATGTACAGTTGAGTAACTTTTTGGGCGTAGATTCTAATTGCTTTCTGAAATAGTTGGACTACTTTTCAGCCCTGTGAGCAGTGTGTTACTGTGCCTGTCCTCCTACATCCCCTCCAAAAACTGTCAGTTTTCTTTTTTGTTAGGTTTGCTAATCTGATGGGGGTGTGAGTGTGTGTGGTGGGAACCTAAGAGTTTTAATTTGCATTTCTCTTTATAACCAGTGAGTTAGAGCATTTTTTCATGTGGTTGTTAGTAGCTTGTGTTCTTTATTGTGAGAACTGCTTGTTCATATGTTTTGAGCATTTATTTACTGAGATTGGTTGTTATGTTGAAAGTGTTTTTCTTCTTTTTCCTTTTCAGCCTTGCATTCATTAAACGTACTCCAGTGATTGATGCCGACAAACCAGTATCTTCTCAGCTTCGAGTTTTGACACTGAGTGAAGATTCTCCGTATGAGACATTACATTCTTTCATTAGCAATGCAGTGGCTCCATTTTTTAAGTCCTACATCAGAGAATCTGGCAAGGCAGATAGGTAAAAAAAAAAATCTTTGGTTTTGTTTGAAATGTTAAAAGAGTTTGCTGGGATTATTACATGTGAAGTAGTACTACGTTTTGGAAAGAGGCAGAAAACTATATGAGGTACTGATAGACTTTTGACATGTTTTGATTTTAAGACATTTCCTATCTTTTTAGGGATGGTGACAAAATGGCTCCTTCAGTTGAGAAAAAGATTGCAGAACTTGAGATGGGGCTTCTTCATTTGCAGCAGAATATTGAAATTCCAGAAATCAGCTTACCAATTCATCCAATTATTACAAATGTTGCAAAACAGTGTTATGAACGTGGAGAAAAGCCAAAGGTTACAGACTTTGGGGATAAGGTTGAAGATCCAACTTTTCTAAATCAACTGCAGTCTGGAGTCAACCGTTGGATACGAGAAATTCAGAAAGTAAGAAGTCGGGAATGAATACCTAAAATGTTTTCTCTACAAAATGTAGTTTGAGATCTTCATGGGAGAGCAGGCTCATATTTTTCTCCTACCCCTTTCTCCAAAAGAACATATTAATGCTGTTACTGAGAATCACTTTAGTTCTTGGGTGAATTTGATGGCTTACATTTGAAATATTAAGGTAAAAAATTATTTGTTTAGGGTGTTTAGGGATACAGTTGGAAATCTGAAAAAGCAATAACTTTGTAGGGATACATGGAGTCTCAGCGTTGAGAGGGACCTCAGCAGCCATCTGCTTGAACACATATCCAACAGTATCCTTACTTCAACAGGTCAGTCAAAGTGTCACCTAGCCTCTCTTCGACCATTTGACTAGAATGGGAGCCATTTGAGAGCTCCCAGTGAAGAGGAAGCTGCTGCCTCCTGAGGCAGCCCATTCCACTCTTGAATAGCTTTACACACAGTTGTCAGGAAGCTTTTCCTGAGCATCAAATCCATTTTTGCCTCTTTTCCACTTCTGCTTTTGCTCCTGGTTTTCCCCTTCGGAACCAGTAAACAAATCTAATCTTTTTTTCGCATGACAACCTTTAAAATACTTGATGACAGCTATTATACCTCCTTCAAGGCTTCTCATCTTTAGCCTAACCATCCCTAGTTCCTTCAACTAGTCCTGTGGTATGGACACAAGACTCTTTATAATAATAATAATGATAATAGCTAACACATATATCATCTACAATGTTCCAGGTACTGTACCAAATGCTTTACCATTATTATCAGACAATAACCTTAGGAGGTGGGTGCTACTATTATCCCCATTTTACAGATGAAAAAACCGAGAGAAACAGAGTGACTTGCCCAGAATCACACAGCTAATAAATGCTGAGGCTAAATTTGAACTTGGGCCTTGTGCTCTATCCGCTATACTGTCTGCCTCAGTTGCTCTTCTATAGGTGCTTTCCAGCATATTAATGTTCTTTCTAAACTGATACCCAGAATTGAGCACAATATTCCAGATGCAGTCTATTCGGGGTATAGTACAGCTGAACTATAAATCAGCCTCCTTATTTATAGGAGCTGAGAGGTACAAAGGACCTTATTCTTGGAAGCCTTCCATCTCTCCATGATCCACGGACTAGTTTGGCTTCTGTGTCATACTATTGACTTGCCATCTACTGAAACGCTCAGTTTTTTGTGTGTTTGTTTTTTAAGACATACTGCTGCTTAACAAAGACTTTTTTGTCTCATACTGGTAAAGTTGATTTTTTAAAAATCCTATTGTAAGACATCACACTTTTCCCTATTAAATTTCATCTCATTAGAGTCATCCCAGTGTTCAAGCTTGGCAGTATCTTTTTTGAATCTTGACTTTGTCACACACTATGTTAGCTATCCCTCTTAGCCTTGTGTTCTTTGGAAATTTGAATAGTATCCATCCATGTCTTTAACTAAGTAATTAATAAAAATATTAAACAACACAGGGCCAAGCCACAGATACCTTTCATTTCAGTTTTCTTAATTTTTACTTCCAAGTAAAACAACTTTCACTCCTAGTAAAGGAAACCAACTTGAATTATAAGATTGGGTTTTTAATTAGTAGATTTAGGTTTTGATTGTGATGGTATTTTTAAAAACCTTTGCTGTTATATTTTGTTGATGCTTATTTCTTCATATCATCTTCCCTCATAAAATGAACCTCCTACAGGGCAGGAACTATTTGATTTTTGTCTTTGTATCCCTAGGACCTAGAATAGTGCCTGCTAGATATTTATTACATGCTTGGTAAATTTTTTTAATTAATTAATGTAATATTTGTTTTTAAAGGTGACCAAACTAGACCGAGATCCAGCATCAGGAACTGCCTTACAGGAAATAAGTTTTTGGTTAAACTTGGAACGTGCTTTGTACCGTATTCAGGAAAAGCGCGAAAGCCCGGAGGTTCTTTTAACTCTGGATATTTTGAAGCATGGCAAACGTTTTCATGCAACAGTCAGCTTTGACACGGATACAGGTAAAAAAAAGTGCCAAAATCTAACCTGAAGATTATTGACTTGCTTTTTTTTTTAATGTTTTATACTAATCATTATTAGCAAAGCTAATGATGTGTTGTGCTTCCTTGCACACTTTCCCTTCTTTATGCATCTCTTTGGCCATATAGTCTGCTCTTACCATAGCTGCCAGCCAAACGTTTGACAGTCTAGGAATGATAAAAGAGAGATAATAAGGATAAACTTTAGAAAACTCAAGAGAAAAAGAGGTTTCCCTCCTGTTCTCTCCAGTTCCTTTCCCCTCACTACTTCCTGTTTTCTTTCTTCTACCCCCTAACTCAACATCTAAAAACTCCTGATCTTCCATGTCTACAGAGCTATCAAGATAGGTTTGACTTGATAGTGGGCTGTGGCTACTGGGCACCTTCTGAAATTCCAAGACTGATACTATGTGAGAAAAGGCTGACCAAGAGGCCAAGTAAAAGACTTGGCCTAGGGTCATGTAGCTAGTAAATTCAGAATCAGGACTTAAACCCCAATCTTCCAATTGCTGATATAGTGGTGCACAACAGTTATAAGACTTTACATTATTATTTATATTAACTTTTCTCTGTTATACTCTAGGTCTGAAACAGGCTTTGGAAACTGTAAATGACTATAACCCTCTGATGAAAGATTTCCCTCTGAATGATTTGCTATCTGCTACTGAACTTGACAAAATAAGGCAGGCCCTGGTTGCAATTTTTACCCACTTGAGAAAAATCAGAAATACTAAATACCCTATTCAGAGGGCCTTGCGTCTGGTGGAGGCCATTTCAAGAGATCTGAGTTCTCAGCTACTCAAAGTGCTGGGGACAAGAAAACTCATGCATGTGGCATATGAAGAATTTGAAAAGGTAAGTGTTAATGCAGTGAGAAGCAGTACTTCAGGGAGACAGAAAAGAAGCTTGTTTTGAAAATATTTCCACTCTCGTTTATGCCCTGCTAGGTCATGGTTGCATGCTTTGAAGTTTTCCAGACGTGGGATGATGAGTATGAGAAATTGCAGGTGCTTTTGAGAGACATTGTCAAGAGAAAGAGAGAAGAAAACCTGAAGATGGTCTGGAGGATCAACCCCGCACACAGAAAACTTCAGGCCCGCCTTGACCAAATGAGGAAGTTCAGGCGCCAGCATGAGCAGCTGAGAGCTGTCATCGTCCGCGTGCTCAGGCCACAAGTAAGGTTCTAATCCTTGGAGTCACTGGAAGCATTAGTTTTGTGTTTTATCTGCCTAGTATACTCATGACTTGACTATGCTAAATGTGGTTGCTAGAACACTCTTAAACACAGTTAAGGTTTTTTTTATCGATAGCTTCTTTTCATTATAACATCAGTTCCAAATATATTCCTCCTTCCTCTTCTGAAGAGTCCTCTCTTGTAGCAAGGAATAAAAAAAGAGAAGGCAGTTCAGCAAAACCATCCAACCTGTCAATCAAATCTGACAGCATATGCATTGTTTCATATTCGTTGTCATCCATTCTGCAAAGAGGGGAAGAGGAGGTATATTTTCTTGTCTCTTCTGTGTCTTCTTTCTTGCTTCCTTCCCTCTCTTTCTCTCTCCCTCTGCCAAATCACATTTCTTCCACTCATACCAACCTCATCATTCATTACTTCATGGTACAGATAGATCTGTGACCTGCACATCCTTGCCTCCAGGCCTTCTGCATCTATTATTATTTCCTAAAACTCCTGACTGTTTTCCACCAATCCAAAATCTAGTTTAAAACTCACCTGCTAGGAGCACTCCCTGATTGATTTCACTTTCCACTTGTAAGCAGTCAAATAATGCTTAACTAATTGACGTTCTGTTGTTGTAAGTGCTTGCGATTATAATTAGTATGCTTTTTTAAAATTGCTTTATAATGCTAAATAGTGGGTCACATTTTTCAGGTGTTTAGCTGGATCCTATAGAGCAAGGACCACACTATGCTCTTTTGGCATTTACTATAAGGATTAGTACGTAGCAGGTCAGCAAGAAGTTGTTGACTGACAAATGAAGAAAAGAAAGTTTTTTTCTTGACTTGTAGAAATCTGATTTATGTTTTATCAAATTATTTTCACCTGTCAAATTTATGCAAAAATTTGAAAATATCCTTTGCAATTGTGTTTTATGTATTGTAATCAGTTTAACCTTCCCTTAAACTGGTCCGAGTGCGAGTTTTGGTGATAATTTAGTTTTTGTACTGATATAATTGTTAGGTTAAGAAATTGCTATAAAATTCTAGCATTAAAATACTGGAATACTTTTCCCCTAAAGTAACTAGAACCATTTGGAATTGCTCTTGAGCCACGAGACGTGTCTTCAGTGTGTACCTCATAGCTGAATTTTAAAATTCAGATTTACCTAAAGCATAATGAAAAGCTAAATATTGAAAATATAGGTTTGTGCAGTTATCTGGATTGTAAGCAGAGAAATTTTCTATTCATAGTAACCCTTTTTTGTATCCTTTTGTTGTGCTGTGGTAATGACATGCTTGAATTAAGATGAAATATTTCATTGATGTGGTGGGTAAAGTCTTTCTTTGCACTATGTAACATAGTACTATACCCAGTGAAATTCAAACTTTTTAGATGGTTTTTGCTGCATGTTTCCTCTTTAGGTCACTGCTGTTGCCCAGCAGAGTCAAGGAGATGTGCCCGAACCCCCAGATATGAAAGTAGCTGAAGTACTTTTTGATGCTGCTGATGCCAATGCTATTGAAGAAGTGAACCTCGCGTATGAGAATGTCAAGGAAGTGGATGGGTTAGATGTTTCTAAGGAAGGTACAGAAGCTTGGGAGGCAGCAATGAAGAGATATGATGAGAGAATTGACAGGGTAGAAACCCGAATCACTGCTCGCCTTCGGGATCAACTTGGTACAGCCAAGAATGCGAATGAAATGTTCAGAATCTTCTCCAGGTTCAATGCCCTGTTTGTCAGGCCTCACATTCGTGGTGCCATTCGTGAATATCAAACACAGCTAATCCAGCGTGTGAAAGATGACATTGAATCTCTTCATGACAAATTCAAGGTTCAGTACCCTCAAAGTCAAGCCTGCAAGATGAGTCATGTTCGTGATTTGCCTCCCGTGTCTGGGTCCATTATCTGGGCTAAACAGATCGATAGACAGCTTACTGCCTACATGAAACGGGTTGAAGATGTCCTGGGCAAAGGTTGGGAGAACCATGTTGAAGGTCAGAAGCTCAAGCAGGATGGAGACAGTTTCCGCATGAAGCTCAACACTCAGGAAATATTTGATGATTGGGCAAGGAAGGTGCAACAGCGTAACCTTGGCGTTTCTGGTCGTATTTTCACCATTGAAAGCACTCGGGTTAGAGGCCGGAGTGGAAATGTTCTTAAACTCAAAGTTAACTTCCTTCCTGAGATCATTACACTTTCAAAAGAAGTTCGGAATCTCAAGTGGCTTGGTTTCCGAGTTCCATTGGCAATTGTGAACAAGGCTCATCAGGCAAACCAGCTTTATCCATTTGCTATCTCTCTGATCGAAAGTGTCCGAACATATGAGCGGACATGTGAAAAAGTGGAAGAACGCAATACCATCTCCCTTTTGGTGGCTGGTCTAAAGAAAGAGGTGCAAGCACTGATTGGAGAAGGCATCGCCCTTGTGTGGGAATCGTACAAACTTGACCCATATGTTCAGCGGCTGGCAGAGACCGTCTTCAACTTTCAAGAAAAGGTTTATTTTATCTTAAAAATAATTTGGCAAGTGTTTTAAAAATGGACACCAATTGCCATTCCATGAAATCCATAAGATTTCATACATGTTTGTCAGGGGTAGAAGCAGGCAATGTGGCAGTGGGTAGACAGCCACCCTTAGAGCCAGGAAGAGCTGGGTTCAGGTTCAGCCTTTGTCATATACTGGGATGACCCTGGGCAAGTCACTTAACTTCTCCATGCTCTGGGCAACTCGCTAAGACTATAAGTTTCAGAGAAGTTATTGATCTACATTGGTAAGGGAAATTTCCTTACCAAGGAGTCCCAGTACTAATGAGAACACAGTGCATCACTCTTCTTGTTCCTTTATCAAGTATTCTAGGAATGTGTTTGATATTTTTTTTATTTTTGTTTTTTGTTTTTTTGTTTTTGCTAGGCAATGGGGGTAAGTGACTTGCCCAGAGTCACACAGCTAATAAGTGTCAGATGTCTTGTCTGAGACCGAATTTGAACTCATGTCCTTCTGAGTCCAAGGCCAGTGCTCTATCCACTGCACCACCTAGTTGTCTCTAGATATTTTAATAGACAAAATAGTTACAGTGTTTTATAGCTTTGGTACTTAATTTCTGCTGAAGATAAATCCAGAATGTTTTAGGGCTGGTTTTAACCAATACTTAATGCTGAAAGTTGAGCAATGGAAGAAAAATTCTCTTCATTCAGACTGTTTGAGGATACTGTCTTGGTGATAAGAGTTAGAAAGGAATGTGCCTTTACACATGTAGCATTGAAATTGAATGTGTATCATCAGAAATTGAAATTAACCTCCTTTGAGTATTTGGTTCTTTTCTACTCCTATTATAAACCCACCAGTAAAATTAATCGGGTAACCAGGGGATAAGTGAGTAAATTGAGATTGTTGCAGCAAACTAATGGCTTAAATATCATATTTATTGCCCTGTAGGTGGATGATCTGCTTATTATTGAGGAAAAAATTGACCTTGAAGTTCGTTCCTTAGAAACTTGTATGTATGATCACAAGACTTTCTCTGAGATCTTGAATAGAGTCCAGAAAGCTGTGGATGACTTGAATCTTCATTCCTATTCCAATTTACCCATTTGGGTCAACAAACTTGATATGGAGGTAAGAGATGGATGGGAGTCCTTATAAATTGGTCTTTTCACTGAGAAAGGTAGCAGTAATTTTCTGAGGCTAGCATAAGCAGTGCCCAGCTTAGTATTGAGTTATAGTCTAAAATGTAATTTTATCAATTGGAAATTTGGAGCATTGCTTGAAATTGAATACAGACCATCTTTTCCAGTATCTTATAAAGGCAGAAGAAAATGGTAAATTCCAAGGCTAGCTTCAAAATTCTCATTTAACTTGTAACAAAATTAACTAATACTATTTTTGAGTTGCAAGGGCTCATCTTGTACAAGAAGGAAGAGGGTGGGAAAAGCATTTCACCTTTCTTGGGTTTGGGTCAGAACTTCAAAATTAAGGCATTTTATCTGTAGTCCTCTTCTCCTTGCATTTCTATGCCCATTATCGTCCTTAGGGCTCCCGGTCTGTCTGCACCCCAGAGTGGCGCTGCTGCCTAAAGGAATCAATGGTTGGTTATTAGGAAGGAACCTATTTGATGAGCTAATTAATGCAGGGAATGTGAATTAACTCAAAGTCTCATGCAGTGTGTGTGTGTCTGTCTGTCTGTCTGTCTCCGTCCAAGTAGCTCAGTTGGTAGGGCCTAATGGGCAAGGCTGACAACTTCATTCAACAAACATTTATATAGGCACTTCTGGGAGAGTGGAAGAATAGCTTTGCCCCTGACAAAAGTGGGAAATTAAAAAGAAGCTTGGGATTTGGAAGATGAATGATGAATTGTGTTTTAGGCATGTTGTAGTCAAGATGCCTATGGGACACTAAGTTTGAAAGGGTGAATAGGTAGTTGGTAATGTAGGACTAAAGCTCAGGAGAGAGACAAAGGCTGGATATATGGAGCTTGGAGTCTCCACTGACTGACTAACTGATCTGCCTAGAAGATAATTGGTCCCTTGAGAACTGATGTAATTACCAAGGGACAACAAGTATAGAAGAGAGAAGACACAGGACAGAAGCTTAGGGTACCCCCACAGATAGTGGGTCAGGATATAGATGATAACCAGTGGTGGTACAAGTAGGAGGTGAACCAGGAGATAGCTCTGCCATGAAAACTCAGAGAAGACAGAGCATCCAAGATGAGGGGGGGGGGGGGGAGAGGAACAGGGACAGCAGTGTCATATGTTGTGCAGAGAGTTGAAGAAGGATGAAGATTGAAAAAAGGCCTGTGGATATAAAAACTAAGAGATCTTAAGGTACCTTTATGAACAGCCATTTTGGTTGAATGATGAGATGAGAAATCAGTTAAATTGAAGACTGAGGTAGGGAAGAGGAAGTAGAAGCAACTAGTAAAACCAATATAGGCATCCCCTTTCCACACTTTCACAGCTAAAATGCCTAGGTTGTTTTTTGTTTTGTTTTGTTTGGGAAGGTGAGGTGGTGGAAAGGAGGACGTGGGATAAAAAATTGTTCTTGTTTAATAGTATTTCCTTCTCTTTAGATTGAAAGAATACTAGGTGTTCGTTTGCAAGCTGGTCTCAGGGCTTGGACCCAAGTTCTTCTTGGACAGGCTGATGATAAAGCTGAAGTTGACATGGATACAGATGCTCCTCAAGTTAGTCACAAACCGGGTGGCGAGCCAAAGATTAAAGTGAGTATCTCTGGATCAGAGCGGCCTTCTGAGCCCCTTATTGATAAGGCTCATTCAATCTCTTTCTTCATGCATGGCTTCTGACTTGGCAAATAAGCAAATGTTCTTCAAAAATTAACATAAAGGTCTACAAGTAGATGACTCGCCTAGCATTTTTCCAGAGGAATTTTGTCACTGGTTTCGCATTTTTTAAGCCAAAATGATAAATTAAGGATAGAATAGTAGAGGTACCAGAGTTATCTTCTGTCCTTTCTTATCCTACACACCTTCTGCTTCTGGGTAAATATGAATAATTAATGGGGATCACAGCAAAGTATATTGCAAACCTTAGCTTAGTAGGCTTTACCTAGAAAAATAATTCTGCTTAGCTCATCAGAAATGTTCAGCAAGGACTTTGGTCAATGAATCCGCTTCCTTTTTTCCTTACCTGCTAGATTTTTCTGTTTCCAACAGTGTGGGTAGAGGAATGAGAGCTAGATTTGGTCAGGAATGCTAGGTTCAGATCTGGGCTCCAACACTTACTAGTTGTGTTGTCAACATTAACGAGTAATTTAACATTTCTGAACCTTGGTGTTCTCATCTGTATGTTGAGAGTAATAACTTGCATAATCCATTTGGAGTTGTTGTGAAGAAAGTACTTTACAAACATTAAAAGTGAGATATAAATATGAATAGTAGTTAGTCATAATGCTTTCAACATACTTTTTTGAATATCACAGGCATAGTTCAATTTTATCCTTGTTAGGCTGATTAAAAACTTAGAGATCCTACATTTTAGAGATCATAAATAAAGGTCTTTGGAGATCATATTTAGTTAGAGACTGAATTGAAATTAAATCTTAGTTATTGAAATAGTCTTCAGTCAATTTAAAAATCACAGATTTCGAAAGTTGATTTATTAGACTGTCACCAGTACTTTTTGTATGCTGCATGCTTAGTGCTGACCTGCATTACATGCATGTCCAAACTAATTTAATTAGTTCAGTGAAATCCTGTGATTCTTTGCTCTTTCTGTCAGTCAGTATTTACTAAGAGTTATTTATGTACACTCAGTATATACTTATTAAGTATCTTTTATGCAGCCGGCATTGTGCAAGGTATATGCAAGTATATATGGATACATAAGACGGGTGAGTGTCTTTGGCCTTAGGTTATTTTTAATCCTTTCTAGATAAGGGGAAAAAACAAACAACCCAACAGCATGAAAAACTTGGAAAAAAGTAAAATTCTATCTAATAGAGAACAAGTTTTGTTGTTCTGACTCCAAGTGTTATAAAATTTCAGAGAAAGGAGTGATTTATGTATGGATATATAACTTCTTCAAGTTACTTAATTGGCAATTTATTTTTTCTTCAGAATGTTGTTCATGAATTAAGAATAACCAATCAAGTGATTTATTTGAATCCACCAATTGAAGAATGCAGATATAAGCTCTATCAAGAAATGTTTTCCTGGAAGACAATAATACTTTCACTTCCTAGAATTCAGAGTCAGAGGTATCAGGTAAGCATTAAAATAACAATAGTTCCTAAACATTTCATCCTATAACTAACCTTATATGAAATTAAAGGATTCCTGTGATATTTTTCCCTCTCAAAAAAAGGCTCTGCTAGTCAATTCATTCTGTAGATCTGCCCAGATTGTTCAGAACCAGAGCTCTATCCAGTCTTACTCAGCATCCCAGAAGTTTGTTTTTTTTTTTTTTTTTTTTTTTGATGAAGCAGTTGGGGTTAAGTGACTTGCCCAGGGTCACACAGCTAGTAAGTGTCAAGCGTCTGGTCTGAGGCCATATTTGAACTCAGGTCCTCCTGACTCCAGGGCCAGTGTTCTATCCACTGCACCACCTAGCTGCCCAGGGAAAATTTTTTAATTAAAATTTTTGTTTTCCTGAAATTAACAAACATCTATAAGCATGCACATTTCCATATACAAAGAACAAAAAAGGGGATTGCATATGAAACTGGACTCTTTATTGTATTTATCCTGGTTTAAGAAAAAAAAAAGTACACAAGAAATTTTAACACATTAGTTCCAAAGCTGTCCTGCTTCTCTGTGTCTGCCTCTGAACCTCCTTCTGTTCTCTTATGTGCCTTAAAAAAATTGCTCCACTGATGCTCTTGTCTTTCTTTGCTTCTGTTGTTTTGATATTCTATCACTAGCCTTCTTCCCTCCAAATATAAAAATAAAAAATTTAAAAAAAACCTCCCCTTTGTAACACCTAAGCATAGTCAAGCAAAACATCCATGCATTGGCCATGCTTTGAAAACAGGTCTTAATACCTCTAGTTGATCATTTCTCCGTCAAGAGGTAGGAAACATGACCCATTTTTCTGTTTTCTTGATTGGTCATTACATTTATCAGAGTTCTTAAGTCTTTCAAAGTTTGTTTTTTGTTTTTTTTCAGTGTTAAAGTCATTGTATAAATAGTTCTTCTACTTCAACTCACTTCATAAAAGTCTTCCTGGGCTTCTCTGAATCTGTCCTTTTAACGTTTTTGTTTTAAATATGATGAACACCCCAAAAAAGAACATTTCCATATCCAAAGTAAAATAGAAAAATAGGACTACGTGTGAAATTGCAAATGTTATGTACAGAGTACTTTTTTAAGAGCCTATAATAAATGCATTATGTTACTTCCAAACCTTTCCTGCTTGTCTGTTTCCTCCTGAACTTCTTTTTATGTATTCTGTTCTTTTCCGTGTATTTTTCAGGTCTTCAATGACCCTCTTTTCTTTCATTACTGCTTTTTTTCCTGCAGGAATATCAGTAGCTTCTCACCCCCTAAATCCTCTCCTTCAAAAAGAAAGACACAATCATTCTAGCAAATAAGCACATTCAAACAAAACAAATCCGTGTATTTGCCATGTTCAAAAACTTATTTCTCATTTCATACCTTGAATCTATTACTCATCTGCCACAAGGTAGCTAGTATATTTCAAAATTTTTATTTACAATGTTTTTACTATATAAATTGTTATCCTGGTTCTGCTCGCTTCACATTGCATCACTTTATATAAGTTTTCCCAGTTTTCTTCGCAACCTTCCCTTTCTTTATGTCTTATAGCACAGCAATGTTCCATTACTTTCTTATTTTAACATTTTTTCAGCTATTTCACAATTGATGAGTACCCTCTTAATTTCCAGCTCCTTGCTATAATAAAAAGGGCTGCTATGAATATTTTGTGTGTGTGTAGGTCCTTTCTTTATTTGATATCTTTGGACTATAAACTCAATAGTGGCATCACTGTTTCAGAGTATGTACCGTTCAGGGACTTTTTTTTTTTTTTGGTTGGGCAGTGGGGTTAAGTGGCTTGCCTAGGGTCACACAGCTAGTAAGTATTATGTGTCTGAGGCTGGATTTGAACTCAGGTCCTCCTGAATCCAGGGCCGGTGCTCTATCCACTGTACCACTTAGCTGCCCCAAGTTTAGGGACTTTTGAGGCACAATTCTGCATTGCTTTCTAGAATGGCTGGACCAGTTCCTAGTTCTACTGGCAGAGCATTAGCATGCCTTTCTTACTGTAGCCCCTCCAAACAATTACCATTTTCCTTTTTTGTCATCTTTGCCAATATAATGGATGTGAGGTGGAACTTCACAATTTTAATTTGCATTTTTCTTAGTGTTTTGGAGCATGTTTTCATATAGTTGTTGATAGCATGCTTTTTGTCTTTTGAGATGCCTTTATATCTTTTGACCATTTATCAATTGAGGAATAGTTCTTGTTCTTATATATTTGATTCGGTTCCCTATGTAACTTGGGTATACCTTTATCAGAGATATCTGCAAAGATTTTTTCCCTAGTCTTCCTTCCAATTTTAAGTGTTGATTTTGTTTTGCAAAAGCTTTTCAATTCTTATTAATAAAAATTGTCAAATCAACAAACATTAAACTCTTACTATGTGCCAAGCAGTCGATATCCCATGATCTTCTCTCACTTTTATTTGGTGAAGAACTGTTTCCCTGTCTACAGTTGTAAAAGGAATCTCATTCTCTCTGCTCTAATTTATTGGTGATGTGACCATATATATCTATGTCATATATTCATTTGAAGCTTATTGTGATTTATGGTGAGTTGGTCTAAACCTAAATGTTGCTAGTCTGTTTTTGAGTTTTCTCAACAGTTTTTGTTGAATAGTGAGGCATTACCTTTGTAGTTGTCATTATCCCAGCAAATCTTTTAAGACGAGAGGAAAGACTAGAGGAGGAAAGTTAATCCTGCTGGTATACCTTGACATTGTCAAACGCCATCACCAGACAAAGACAAGCATTTCGAGTTGACAGCTTAGCCCTCCCTAGTCTCTTTGGAACTCTGCTACTAATTAGATCCCTGATTTTAATAAACTCAACAGATTATCTCATCCAGTCCCCTGCCCCTGGGCAAAGGATTGTCTCCAGATTTAACTGACAAATTAAGTTTTAAAGATCTCTTTAAAAAAAAAAACCAAACCTAAATTTAGGAGCTCTAAGGCCTATATTTACATATTCTCTTTCTAGTTTAATACATAATAGAGAGCTGAAAAAGTAATTGATAACCAATCTACTTTCAAATGTGGCAATTTTTCAACTAATTATTGCACTATTGATATCTGTCAAGGCACCATGGTAAATATTGGGGATTCAAACACTGTCTGTTGCACCCATGGAACTTAGAGTTTAGGTAGGCAGTCCTACCAGATTCTTTTTTCTTAACTAACGATTGCCCTAATTTGCCAGTCACTTTGTATCATTTTGCCTGAAGTGTTAGCAGAGTTTAACTTGTTTCAACTGTGTGTTCCTAGATAGACAGAAAGTCATTTGTTTTGAATCAGACTTTGAGCGGATCCGTTGTATGCTCGTGTAATACAGTGGACCATGCCGTATTTTCTGAGTTGGTGTTAATCTTGTTAACAAGAGTTAAGTATTATATGGTGATTTGTAGTACTTAAATTTTATCTTCCATTAGTTATTTTCCCAGTTAGTGTGACTTGGATGTATTGTGACTTTGAGGAGATTAACATGGTTTTATACAGACGGCTTGTGTTTAGAGGCTCCTTTTTTATTAGGTGGGCGTACATTATGAACTGTCTGAAGAAGAAAAGTTCTACAGGAATGCTTTAACACGGATGCCTGATGGCCCTGTCGCCCTCGAAGAGGCTTATTCTGCAGTTGTGGGCATTGTGACTGAAGTTGAGCAGTATGTCAAGGTAATAGCCTTCATGTAAAACTCTGGGTTCAATTTACTTGAGCTTTTATAGTATACCCTAAAAACGCATAGGTACGTGGTGGGAATTGGTTCAAAAGTATTTTCATTTTTTAAAAATTCACCCCCACCTACCCTAGGTGGTTGTCTTATAAATATGAAGGTGAACATTTTCAACATGTATAATGATGTATGGTTTATTTAGAAATATTTATATTTAAATTCATAGCCTTAGTAATAGGACCATTTCCTTAGGTTAACTATAAATAATTTAAACTTTGCTTCCCCAAATCTGAACATTCTAAGACTCTGAAGAGTGAAGTCTCCATGTTGTATGTTAAAGATTGATAGATTCATGTGGAATATGGATGGATAGGATCAAGACAGACTTTAACTTGGTTTAAGCTGTGCAGTTACTGCATTTTAAGTATCTGTTGTGTCCCAGAAATCATCTGTATTATAAGAAGTAATTTTCATTCTTGAAAAGCAGAGGTTCTAGTTTCCTTTGTTTTGGTTACACATCACCAATATTGAAGGACAGGATAGCATTCACTGATATCATGCATTGGAAGCACTCTCTATGGAAAGAGAGAATAGAGTTTGGATATTTTTCTCCAAATAGGAATAGGGTCTGGACCTGGTGTAGGGCATTATACCTGGTGAGGACACTGTACCACTGCAGGTTGGCACCATCTTTGCAACTTAGAGTCTTAGAATGTTGTCCTTAGCACTGAGAGATTAAGTGACCAGGGCCATTTAGCTAGAGTCAGTGGGGGAACTTGAACTCGGGTCTTTGTGGTTCCAAGGCCCTCTGGCCCCTATGCTATGCTGCTTCCCTCCAGGTTCTGAACATTTTTAAACAGTATTACTTGGTTATTTTCTGTATTTCCAGGTTTGGCTTCAGTATCAGTGTTTATGGGATATGCAGGCTGAGAACATCTACAATAGACTTGGAGAAGATCTGAATAAATGGCAAGCTCTCTTGGTTCAAATCAGGAAAGCCAGAGGAACTTTTGACAATGCTGAAACTAAGAAAGAGTTTGGACCAGTAGTTATAGATTATGGCAAAGTAAGTTGTATTATTGAAAAACAGGGGACAGGCCACAAAAGATCAAATTTATTTTGGGGTAAAATATAACTCAAGCATAAGCTTCTAAGATATAACTAAATGTTGTGATATTTTTCTCTTACAGGTACAATCTAAGGTGAATTTGAAGTATGATTCTTGGCACAAAGAGGTCCTCAGTAAGTTTGGACAAATGCTGGGGACTAACATGTCAGAATTCCATTCACAGATCTCAAAGGTAAGTGTAATTTTTGTAGTATTGACTAATCTACAAATGTGACTTGTTTTCATACTAAAGTACTGTACTCTCTTTAACAGTCTCGACAAGAATTAGAACAGCATTCTGTGGATACAGCTAGCACATCTGACGCTGTGACGTTTATAACATATGTACAGTCTTTAAAACGGAAGATCAAGCAGTTTGAGAAACAAGTTGAGGTAAGATGGTTCATGGCTACGTGTGAATAGGTTAAATTTTTGTAGGGCAGACCAACATTTACCCTTATTGAAAATGATTTCTGTAACTTATCTCAGCTCAACTTTGAGGATGTGAGTTCTATTTATGCCTTTTCTTAGAATTGGCCATTTTTATTGTAGTTGTTCAAATACAGATATCCTTGAGGCTTAAAATAAGGGGGAGGCCAACGTACAGTTTTCAAATGCCCTCTGACACAGTCCAGGCCATGGAAATGTGTCATCATTTGATCGGGGCCATTAACAGTGGTTGGATGAACTATGGGAATTTGGGCTTTGTCTCCTTAATTTTAGAATGTCAGCTACTAGGACGTAGGATTAACATAGCCTTTGTCATGGTTTAAGCTGTGCAGTTGAATGCATTATAAGTATCTGTTGTGTTCCACAAATCATCTGTACTGCAAGAAGTAATTTTCGTGGTGATTTTTGTTTCTTAAAAGCTTTACCGTAATGGCCAGCGCTTGCTTGAGAAGCAGAGGTTCCAGTTTCCTCCATCTTGGTTATACATTGATAATATCGAAGGAGAGTGGGGAGCATTCAATGATATCATGCGTCGCAAAGACTCTGCCATTCAGCAGCAAGTAGCGAACCTCCAGATGAAGATTGTCCAAGAGGACAGGGCAGTGGAGAGCCGAACAACAGATTTATTGACAGATTGGGAGAAAACGAAACCTGTTACTGTGAGTCTTGTGTGTGTGTGTGTGTGTGTGTGTGTCTCTCTCTCTCTCTCTCTCTCTCTCTCTCTCTCTCTCTCTCTCTCTCTCTCTCTCTCTCTCTGTCTGCTTGTCTTCTGGAGCATTTATTGGCCCACTTATCTCCAGCAGCCATGGTGGGAGGTAGGCTTGCAGTGCATAGCACTAGCTAAAATGCCAAATTTCCCCAGAAATATGTGACTTTATATTTGATAAGGCATACATTCTTTCCTTTTCCAGTCTCCATGACCCCCAAAGTCTCTCCTCCTCTTTCAGTCCCACTCAGTTGTCAAAGACATCTCCTCTCTGTTAAGATTAATCCTCAGTGTATTGTTGGCATAGCCCCGTACATGTCTAATCCACGTGCCCTTATTTTTTCTTCTTCTTTAGCCCTTGCTTCTTCTTCAAGTTAACCACTAGGCTACTAGAACAGAAAATGGTTTGGCGTTTTAACTTCTGCTATTTAAAGTAAACCCACTGAAATTAGTAGTTCAGGTGTTTTCTAAATTTCTGATAAGCATGGGGTAAAATTTCACATTATGATTTGCTAGACCACAGCTGTTCTGTGAAGTTTAGATTTAGTAAAAAGGCTACACTTGAGGACCTAGAGGGCTGCATGTGGCCTCAAGGCCACAGGTTCCCCGTCTCTGCTCTAGACAGTATGGAAAACTTGCTTATCTGAAAGCTACTTTGGGTTCTTAATCTAATTCTACCCCTGGGAAAAACCTGGGGAAATAGGGTGGTCAGTAGACTGTCTGGTTTAGCCCCATTAAGGAATTTGAAAATCAGCTCTTGGATATGCCCTTTACCTCAAATGAAAAGTGTGAGCCCAGCTGGGAAAAGACATAAGAGAAAAGATCACAGGCCTTAGTCTGGCCCTGCTTTTTTGGGTGTGAGAGGATTTCCTTTGTAGCGTCACTAACACACACCCTAACACGTTATTCGCAGGTTCTGTGGTGGCAGCAAAGGAGAGTGAGCCAGAGAGTGTGTTTATGAGTGTGGTATTTTCTCTTGCTGTTGATTCTTGCTTGCTTTAGAACCTCTGGTCCTTATTTCCAGGGGACAGATGGGATCAAGGGGAGTGGAGAAAGTGAGTCCCCTTTTATTGAAGCTTAGAAAAATGATAGCACTGTAGTAGAGCATTAGAGCTGAAAGGAACCTTAGAGGTTGTCCAGTTCAGACTTCACTTTTGATGGCTCTAGCAGTAGGGCTTTACTTGATATTTTCCTAGTCATTACAGTTCAAGTAGTCCAGCAACCAGCATTTCATTCAGTTCAACCTACATTTATTAAGCACCTATTATGTGCAATTTTGTTCAGTTGTTTCAGTCATATCTGACTCCATTTGGGGTTTTCTTGGCAAAGATAATGGAGTATTTGCCATTTCCTCCTCCAGCTCATTTTATAGATGAGCAGACTGAGGCAAACAGGGTTAAGTGATTTGCTCAGGGTAACACAGCTTGTAAGTGTCTGAGGCCAGATTTGAATTTGAGTCTTCCTGATTCCAGGCCTGACACTCTATCCACTGTGCCACCTAGCTGCCTGATTATGTGCAAAGCACTGTGCTAGGCCCTAGTCTGTTGGCAACGAGTCAACAAGCATATATTAAGTGCTTAATAGAGCAAAGACAAAAGTGACAAACAGTCCTCGCCCTCTCAGTCTATGGGGAGAAATGACATGTACATCTACAAATATATGCAAAGTAAATAGAAGATTGGGGGGTGGGTAGAGTGCACTGTCAGTCAAAGGGATCAGGAAAACTTCCTGGAGGAGGAGATGATGCTCGAGATGAGTTTTAAAAGAAAATAAGGGTTTTAAGAGGTTTAATATTAAAGATTTATTATTAATTAATTAAAGATTCTAATAACTCTGGTTGAGGAGAAGATATTTTCCAGGGGGAAAGTGAAAGCACAGTCTACGCAAAGGTGTATTGAGTTGGGAGTTGGAATGGTAAGTGTGAAGCACAGCAAGGCCAGTTTGCCTGGACCAAGAGTACATGGCAAGGAGTAATATACATAGCAAAGTAAGAAAGGTTGGCCAAGACCAGGTTGTTATGAAGGGCTTTCTATGCCAAACTGGAGTTTGGTTTTGGTCCTAGAGGTAATAGGGAACCACTAGAGTTTGAATAAGTTACATGGTCAGGCCTATATTTTAGGAAGATCACGTTGGCAACTATGAAGGATGAATTGGAGAGAGCAGAGATTTGAGGAATGGACACCAATTAAGATCAGTGAATGAATGAAAAACCATTTGTTTAGTGTTTATTATGTGAAATTATTACTATAATAATGAACTATCTAATTTGTCTTAAGTAAGAGGTAAAGAGGACCTGGGCTTGGGGTGATGACTGTGATTGAGGAAAGAAGAGATATAAGAGGGGCAGCTAGGTGGTACAGTGGATAGAGCACCGGCCCTGGAGTCAGGAGGACCTGAGTTCAAATCTGGCCTCAGACAGTTGATACTAGCCGTGTGACCCTAGCCTAGTTACTTAAACCCCAATTGCCTCAACAAAAAAAAAAAGAGAGAGAGAGATAAAAGATGTAGATGTAGAAATGACAAATCTGTGGGGCATGGAGTGTAAGGGAGTATTTTTTAAGGAAAGGGAGTAGGTAGTGAGTATGCTGGTGGACAGTGAAGAAAGAGCCAGTAGTGGAAGAGACATACTTGATATGGGGCAAGTTTGAGGAGAAGAGAAAGGTCTGTGATCAAGGATATATGTGGAATGATTAACCTTGGCAAAGAGAAAAGGCATTTCATCCTCTGAGCCTATAGCAAAGGAGGAAAAATTAGATAATGATGTGGTAGAAATGTTTTCAGACATAGAATTATGGAGATCAAAAATGCCGTAAGAAATGACTTTCATTATTCTAGGAGGTGAAGTCATTTGCTGGTGGGGGTTTGGGAGACGTGTTAAAGGACTGAGGAGAAAGGAGAATATTTATAGTAATTACTTCAAGTACTATGATAATCAACTGGAGAAGAATGAAAAAGCTGTGTTGCAGCACTGAGAACCCAGATGAGATTAGGAAGCAAAGCCAGTCGGTACGGCTTTGTGACTGTTTCTTTCAGGAGCTTGGATGCAGTGCATCCACGTATACCAAGCAAGTGACCAAGAGCTGAAGAGGATTGGCCAAGGCATTAATGAGGCAGAAGGAAAGGCAGTTCAGTGTTAAACTTGCTAGCTTTGGAGTGTCCGCAGGAAAATGTCAGGCAAGAAGAGGAATGATGAATTGGGAGAAAAAGGAAGGATGGACAGGACAAAGTATTCTGTGAAGAGTGAAGGAGAGAAAACATGAGTTTACGATCAGAGAAAGGAATTTCAGACTTCAAAATCATAGAGGTTAGGTAGCTTAAAGTTTAGATGATAAAGTCTAAGATATGACTATCCATGTTGGTGCCTGAGATCAAAGATCAAAGGGGTTTGATGAACTGGAAGTCCAGAGTGTTTGAAAGGATGCCAACCCAAATACTGAAATCCCTAAGATAAATGCAAAAAATGAAGAGGATTGTGCACCTGGTACAAACTCCTTCAGAAAGGCATGATCAGAAGATGGTAGCAAGGATCTAGATAGAGTGATATAACTGGGTAGATTGAACCTGAAAGGAGAAGGATGTTGCATGGTAAGTGGCAGAGGGAAGTGGTGTTGGGCAGTGGAGAGTGGCCAGCCCTAGAGAAGGTGGCAAAGGATGAGGCATCCAAGGATAACCAAGTTGCCATGAGGGCCAGCAGGCACAGAGACCAGTATGAAGGGGAGTTGTTGACAATGGAATTGGTATTTCAGAGGGCACACTGGAATGAAAAGGCAGGGGGAAATAGAGACCCAGAAAGGGTAAGGGTGAGAGTACCTAGAAACCTACTACGGAAAGGAGATTTTTAGTTTCAGCAGGTAGCCATTCAACCACAGGAAGTTAAAGAGGAGGTGGTAGACATTTACTACTCATAGGACTGGGGAAGTACTGTGTATTTGAGTACCAGCTGATCAGAGGCTTGATAGCAGTAGTATCAGGATCTAGTGGTAAAAGAAGCCTCCCAGGCTGGGTAATGTGACGTTATAGTGGATGAGAGACTGAAGTAAGAACTACAGTTTCCATATGACTCGGTGGGGTGGTGGTGGAGAGAGTTAGCAGAAGGTGTGGTCATGGATGTCTATAATTCTGTGCCATCCTGGACATGAGTTTAAAAATATTTTACCTTGCTGTTTGGGGATTTTTAAGATTTACATTTTGAATTAAAAGTTTTGACTTGCTTCATTGGGAAAAATGGGAATGTTTTTATTAATCTTACACAGTCATTTCAAAAAGATGGAAGGGAAGTGTATAGAGTAGATATAGTCATTACAATCTAAAAATGTTATTTCAGGCAAGAAAAATTATTCTTCATCTCATTCCCTCTAATACTTTACTTAATAATCCTTGTGTACAGCGGACTTTGTCATAAGTCCCCCAAATTTAAAAATTTAAAAGGACATTTGAAATAGCCCATCATTCCTGGATAATCTTTTATTTAAATTTTTGTAATTTGATTTATTCTACCTTATCCAGAAAACACGTCATCTGAGTGCTCAAGGTCAGTCTCCTAACTTTTTCCTGCTTCTGTGCGCTGCCTCAAAGGAAGGCCAGTTTAAATGCCACTTAACTCCAGGGAAACTTGCCTGATTTTTTTTTTCCCCTCTACATCCCCTGGACTTCACATGGCACTTTGTTGAACCCACTCATATATTTTGTATTCTTACTATTTGTAAATATATGTGTGTGTGCCATATCCCTCCCACTTGAATGATAAGCTTCATGATGTCAGGTATTGTGTTTTAAATAAGTTTTTTATCTTGCACAAGTAGGCTCTTACAAATAGATGTTTGTTAAGAGTAAAGTAAAGTCTATCTGGACTTTTTCTCACCTGCAGGAGCACGATTTAAAATGATTGGTTGTATTTGCAGCTACTCAAACTTCTAAGCAACAAATATTAACTTTTTCCACGCTGAGCCTCAGCATTACGCTTATTTTCACTTTGGCATGGCTTGTTTTAGGGCAACCTTCGTCCAGAGGAGGCTCTCCAGGCACTTACGATCTACGAAGGGAAGTTTGGGAGGCTGAAGGATGACCGTGAGAAATGCGCCAAGGCCAAAGAAGCTTTGGAGCTCACAGACACAGGCCTGCTCAGTGGCAGCGAAGAACGTGTACAGGTATGAACTTATGTAATTTATCAGCATAAACTGTGGAGAGATTTTTATTTTCTGTCCCTTAAACAGAATTGCTTTCTTCTTAATAGGTAGCTTTGGAAGAGTTACAGGACCTCAAAGGTGTTTGGTCTGAACTTTCTAAAGTCTGGGAGCAAATTGACCAAATGAAGGAGCAACCGTGGGTTTCAGTACAACCTCGAAAGGTGTGTTTCTTTTAACTGTGTATTCCTGTGGAATTTTGTGCAGCAGATTCAACCTAAGACTTTAAGGACTTTGTAAAGATGGATATTTAATGTTAACAAAAAATAATTTACTTTCCATAGACCAGATTTGGTCATGTGGATACTTATTAAATCTAATTTAAAACTGAGAATTCAGTTATAACTACTGTGTAAAAGTTCTAGGGAGAATCACTTCACCTTTACTACATAAAGGAGCCTGTTGATTGGCTAACTAAATAGCAACTTGACTTTTTTTCTTTCAGCTTCGACAAAATTTAGATGCTCTTCTGAACCAGCTCAAAAATTTCCCTGCCCGTTTACGTCAGTATGCTTCCTATGAATTTGTCCAGAGGCTTCTGAAGGGCTACATGAAGGTAGGTAACACCTTAATTTTCTCAGTTACAGTAAATTGTGTTAGAAGCTTATGTTCATGGGTAAATTTATTGTCACCATAGATCAACATGTTGGTGATTGAACTGAAATCAGAGGCACTTAAAGATCGGCATTGGAAGCAATTGATGAAGAGACTTCATGTTAATTGGGTTGTTTCTGAGTTAACCCTTGGCCAGATCTGGGATGTTGACCTGCAGAAAAATGAAGCAGTTGTCAAAGATGTCCTCCTTGTAGCACAAGGGGAAATGGCTTTGGAAGAATTTTTGAAACAGGTAAATATTAAAATTGGAGGGTTTCTGTTCAGTATGATGACAATGTGGGGCTGCGGACGTGGAGCCAGAAGTCCTGGCTTAAAATTTGGTCTCCCACATAGTGGATACGGACCCTAGGCAAATTGCAATCTCTTGGGGCTTGTTTCCTCATCTGTAAGATGGGGGAACATTTGTACTAACCGTCTTACGGAATAGCTAGAATTATGAGGTAATGTATATACAATACTTTGTAAAAAGACACAAAACGCTATTAAATGTAACATTAAGCCTCTGGCAACTGAGTGACATGGTGAATTATAAGTGAGGTTAGAAATATTCAATATATCCTGAATATATCCTCTGTTGGGGATAGTGGAGGGAGGCGTGATTTCAACATTTTCTAACAAATGTCACCAGACAATTATATCTTCTTAAATCTTCCTAACTCTTAATACTCATGATACTGAATGCCCAAATAATGATATACCTTTCTCCCCTAAATTCAGATTAGAGAAGTATGGAATACCTATGAATTAGATTTGGTCAACTACCAGAACAAGTGTCGCCTGATTCGTGGGTGGGATGACCTCTTCAATAAGGTCAAAGAACACATCAACAGTGTCTCTGCCATGAAGTTATCTCCGTATTACAAGGTATATTATCATTGTGACCCAATTATATTATTTCACTGGCCACGTTTTCACATACCCATTGATCTTCATTTGTTTTGAATTGATTAGAGGCTTATTAGATTTGAGTCTGGAATAATGAGTGAGTGGAACTTTGACACTTTAAAATGAATTCTAAATTACCGTGTAACTATCAGAGACACCACTAGATGTGAAAGTAGATAGGATTCTAAAGGTTAGCCATTAATTTTTGCTACTTTTTTACAATCAGGTTTTTGAAGAGGATGCTTTGAGCTGGGAAGACAAGCTCAATCGGATTATGGCTCTCTTTGATGTGTGGATTGATGTTCAGAGACGATGGGTTTACCTTGAAGGCATCTTTACAGGCAGTGCTGATATTAAGCACCTTCTGCCAGTGGAAACCCAAAGGTTCCAAAGGTGTGTCTTGAAATTATAAACCCCCAAAGTGAGAATAAATAGAAATAGTTATCCTTGACTACACTTTAAGCTTTTGTTATTAAAAAACCTAATTCACAATTTCATTGCATTTTTAGCATCAGTACAGAGTTTTTGGCGCTAATGAAAAAGGTATCAAAATCCCCCCTTGTTATGGATGTTCTGAATATCCAGGGTGTGCAAAGGTCTTTGGAGAGGCTGGCAGACTTGCTTGGAAAGATCCAGAAAGCATTAGGAGAATACCTGGAAAGAGAGAGATCATCCTTCCCAAGGTATTTAATTTTGACAAGTGTTGAAATATTGTTTAATTTCAGCTTTGTATCACCTTTTATTGATAGTCATCTAGTGAGTTTGTTTGCCATTTTCTGTACCACATGTTGTTTGATTTAATTTGCTAATTGAATGCTACTAACTGCTGATTAATTCTCAATTACAGCCAGTAATATTAACTAATAACTTCAGATTTTCCTGTTAACTTCATTAAACTCTTGAGCAGTTGCTTAATAGAAGATAATAGGAAACAATCTGGTGAAATGCAGAGTCAGGAAACCTAGGCCTGACTTTGGGCTCTACTTTGACCGTAATCAGCCATTTAATCTCTCTGAGCCCGTTTTTCCATTTACAAAATAAGGTTAATGCTGCTATACTGTCTGCCTGAAGTCTGTGAGCAGAGAGAAACATTATAGAAGTCTGAGCAGGAGAGTGATGGGGAAGAAGCAGACCTGTGAGGTCTTTGGACGGGAAACTTCCACTAGTGTAGTTTGGCATTTTCTCTTAGTTGCCTTCGTCTTAGTTGCCTAGAGCAGGGGTGTCAAACTTGGCACTAGCAAAAAGTCAGAACTAGACTAAAATATATTTGGGAAATGTTTAACAAAACAAATAAAAATACAGTAAAATGTAGGTGGTCAGTATGCAGGGAGCAAGTTTGACTCCACTGGCCTGGAGCACTGAGAGGTTAAAGTGATTACAACCCAAGTCTCCCTGGCTCTGAGACCAGCTCTCCATACATTATGCATCTGAATTCAAGTTGTAATAATAAGAAATGCAAAAGGATTGGGTGGGCCACAACTCAGTGTTCTAGATTATGGGGAGGCTAGTTCTCCAATAAGAGGCAGCCTTTGACCCCTGGGCTAAATCAGTTATCTTTTTATCAAGCAGTCTGGGCATGTGGCTAGCTCCATGGGATATCCCTTTCCAAGAAATAACCACACCCTCTTATCAAGTTGCTTTGCTTTGGCTGAGGGACTCAGACTGATCAGGTGTTCTGGTCATCCCTACCCTACTCTTTACCCAGTTAAATACTTGTTGTCCCAGCAGATCAGACTAGGGTGCTTTTCGTCATGTTGGTCCATATCCCTAATTCTTGTTGGTTCTGTGGGGATCTGGAAAGGACAAAGCACTATCCTCTTAATTGCCTTGCACTAAATCTCAGTAAGATCCACATGCCATAGTTTTTATTAGTCTCTCTCATGCCATGTCCTGAGTCCCAACAAAATCTATGCAGAACAGTTCTTAGGCACTCCCCAAATTGTCAGTCTTTTGTGAGAGCATAGCCCTACTATGCTGGTGGGCCTAGAGATTACATTCATCTCCGAATATTTCATTACATAAATTTAACAGATATTTTACAAAGTTCTCATAGGTTACTTTCACATGTCTTGGTTCTTATAAGGGCCTGTTCTAACCTTCCCCAAAATAGAAAGGAATAAAATTTAAAATAAAACTGACATCTAACAACACCAAGAAATAGATAAAGGGCAAAGGGAAAAAACAAAATCTTTCCCCTCGAAGGAAAAGCCTAGACCAGTTATGCTCCCAAGGCACATGGGGCTCTCTCAACAGGGATCTGGGATGTGGGCTCCATTGGAAGTTACCCTCAAGTAAGAACCTAAACTCTCTTGTAGGGAAATTCCTCCATTGGGTCCTTAAAACACATAGGACAACCTATAAAGTTCCTCAGTGAATCCTTGCAACACATAGGGCAACCATGCGAAGATCCAGTTTTACCTTAAGCTAGAGAAAGTAGGCTACCTCAAAAAAAAAAAACAAACCCACAAACTGAGATGGGCCCCAAAGATATGTAGGGCTCCTGACCAAGAATTAAGCATTTGGGGTAAATGCTTAATTGTAAATCAACCCCTGACATCCTGAATAAATCCACAAGATATCACCCCTGACCCAGGCATCCTAATCCCAAAGGACTTTGGGCTCACACAGACCAATTTGATCCTGGGGAAGTGACACCTCCCCACCAAAGGATTAATTTCCCTCTGATTCTGTACCTATTTCAGGATAAACTTCAGGGAAATCTTTCAAACAAAGCCTAGTACGGTTCAAGGCAAGGACTACCCCATGAGTGGATAGTAGAGACTCCTTCCTCAAAGGAGCTTAACTGTGTACAACATGGGCATTGGGTAGTGGGATAGCTTTTTATTCTATGCCAAAATTATAAGTCTTGATAGAGTAATAGAGGAAAGATATATGTTTACTTTTATGGGTGGCAGTTACACATTTCTTTTTTCATTAAAGGTATTAGCACAAGAGGGATAACTGAGCAGCATATATAAATTTTCTAGAATGGAAAAATGTTTTAACTGCAATTAAAATTAAGAAATTAGGTTTGAGTTTTTCATTTTAATGTCTGCAAAAGACCAGCCAAGAAGAAATCTACCTAAAATAGGACAGGTTGAACATAAACAACATTTTTTTGATTTGATAAAATATCAGCATTCTATTGAAGAACGTTAATGTTATATTGATATCATAATGTGGCCAGATATACTTTAGGTATATCTCAGTCTTTCTGAAAATACTTAAGAAAAGGAAGATTCGTCTGTGTCTCTCCTGAGTAGTTTAGTTATTTACCTGCCTGAGGCAGTGGGGGGAGGGCGAGCAGTGGATCAGACAGTCTGTAGAAGCCTCTTTCTGTTTTGAGTGTCAGTTGGTGCATACCCAGGGTGGGGACTTAATTTACATTTTAAACTGTCTTATTAATATCTTTTGGCTTTATATCTGTCATTTCTGTACACGTGTGCACATTCTCTCTTCCTTCCCTTACCCCTCTACATTCCTAGAATGGAACCCTTCCTTGTAGCAAGGAAAGTAACGGTTAAACTAAAGCAACTGATAGAGTGACTGCGTCTGACAAGCATTCTGTTATTGTGGACTGATTTTAATGGGACTCTTGATCCACAGAAAAATGCAGTCAGCGGGAAAGCATAAGTAAAAAGCTGCAACGCAACTTAGAGCGAACTTTGATCTTTAAAGCTAATTTTTAAAAACTTAAACATTGCTTAATTTTCCCGCTTTTAAAATTAAGTAAAGGAGAAAGTGGTGGGGTGGGGGATGGGGATGAGGTGAGCAGAGGAGAGGTCAGCATTTTTAGCTTCAGGTTCTTCTAGTTCCTACTGAAGAGGTACTGGCTTTTTTTGAGAAACGATGAGTGCTCTGTGACTATCTATTTCTAGCCCAGGAGTGGGGACCCTGCAGCCTTGAGGTCACAAGTGGCCTTCTAGGTCCTCAAGTGTAGCCCTTTGACTGATTCTAAACTTCACAGTTTAATAAAAGCATTAGTTCTGTGAAGTTTGGATTCAGTCAAAGGGCCACACTTGAGGACCTAAAGGTCCACATGTGGTCTCGAGGCCTCAGGTTCCCCACTCCTGTTCTAGCCCTTAATACACTCACCAATCCTGCCAACTTGCTACCTATCACCAGCTCCAGGCAACTTAGGCCTATCTCTGGTAATTTCTAAAAGAGTTCTGAAGTTAAGTGGATGGCCTAACATTCTGTAATCTAAATTCTTCTTACTCGGGGAACCTTCTATATATGTGTATTTGTTACTATTAATACCAGGATTAGGGTTAGTCAATAACTGCATTTTACTTAATTTTAATTTTGTTTTTACATCACCTTTGCTCATTTCTTAATGTCATCTCTTGTATTGAAAAAGAAAAGGGAAAAAGAAAAAAAGAGATACAGATGCTAATTTTAGAAAACTTGCTAGCGGTTAAAAGAAATTAGGCCTAGACTGACTCCAGTTCTGGCTTGAGATTCACTACTCTTGGTCTAGTCTGTCAGGATAATATGCTTAAAATTTAACCATAAATTGAGTCTCTGTGTATTTATACTATAATGTGACTTGAGCAGCTTAAAATAAGTACTTTGTCTTTACTAGGTTTTACTTTGTTGGGGATGAAGATTTGCTTGAGATAATTGGAAACAGCAAGAATGTGGCAAAATTGCAGAAACACTTCAAAAAAATGTTTGCTGGGGTTTCCAGCATCATTTTAAATGAAGATAACTCCATCGTCTTGGGAATTTCGTCACGTGAAGGAGAAGAGGTAGCCAGAAGTTCAGTTTTGTGGTATGGGAAATAATATTTCAAATTTCTGCAGGTCTGAGTTTTTAAATTTAATTATTTCAGGTCATGTTCAAAACTCCTGTGTCAATCACAGAACATCCCAAAATCAATGAATGGCTCACACTGGTGGAAAAAGAAATGAGAGTCACCCTAGCTAAACTTCTTGCGGAGTCTGTTACAGAAGTAGAAATCTTTGGCAAGGCAACTTCAATTGATCCTAACACCTATATCACTTGGATTGACAAGTACCAGGTAACTCGAATTGCAAATTTGTTTAAATATGTATCTCTAAGGAGAGCTGTATTTACTGGTTTTGAAAACTTATCCTTTACAACTAATTGTTTTTCAGGCCCAGCTTGTTGTTTTGTCAGCCCAGATAGCCTGGTCTGAAAATGTAGAATCTGCACTGACCACCATTGGAGGCGAGGGCGGTGAGTCAACAGCTCCTTTGCAGTCGGTGCTGAGCAATGTTGAGGTCACCTTGAATGTTCTAGCAGACTCAGTGCTAATGGAACAGCCCCCATTACGCAGAAGGAAATTGGAACATTTGGTGAGTGTTGTGCCCTGATTGTACATTTGAAGTCATGACTGTAAAGAAAACAAACCTGAAAAGCGTTCGTAATTGTAATTTTAAAAGGTGGGGGACCCAAGAAGGAAAGTTTGTAGGCCATCCACAGTAAAAATTGAGGTCTGAGCCAAGTGAAAGGTAGATGCTGTGTTGGAGGAGTATATGAGTTCTGGGAAGTGCTCTTGGTGAAGTCCTTCCCATCCTTTAAAGTTCAGCTTAAATATCACCTTCATCAATCCTTATCTCATTTTCCTGGTCAATAGTAACTCTCCTTTAGGCCTCTCACAACACTTTGTTTAGCAAGTCTAATCCACATGTCATGTCACGTTTATTATACTATCTCTGTCTATTTCCTCAGTCACTAAGCTCTTTGAAGGGAGGGACCTTGTCTTATTTAAATTTACTGTTTTTTCTGTGCTGTAGCACAGTGCTTATGCACATTGTAGGAGTTTAATAAATGTTTACTGAATGAAGGAATTTTAGGCTACTTGTTCTGCAGTGGTATTTAGAGGGACTGAGAGTTGTTGGGAAGGATTTCTTTAGTCAGAAGAAAGCAAAGGGGGTGTGCATACTTAGAGAATAACTTGCTAGGACTTAACCCGGGGGTGGGGAACCTTTGACCTCAAGGCCCTCTAGGTCCTCAAGTTTGGCCTTTTGACTGAATCCAAACTTCACAGAACAAAGGGGATTTGTGTTCTGTGAAGTTTGGATTCAGTCAAAGGGACCCACCCCTGGCTTAGCTTATCTCGGATATGGGACATAATTGTGGGATATTTACCAGAACTAAAAGTTAACAGGTAGGTTGATAGCCCTTTTATAGAAATTACTGTTTTGCATCTTTAATAGAAAATTCTTAATAATAATAATAACTAGCATTTATATAGCACTTCAGGGTTTGCAAAGTGCTTTACAAATATTACCTCTTTATATCCTCACAACAACCCTAGAGGTAGGTACTATTATTACCATTTTACAGATGAGGAAACGGAGGCAAATAGAAATTAAGTGACTTGCCCAGCTAATTAAATGTCTGAGGTCAAATTTGAACTCCTCTTCCAGACTCCAGGCCCAAAGCTCTGTCCAATGTGCCACCCTGTCATAAAATTTAGTAGTAAGTAGCCCTTCCTGTTGAAATAATCTACATGTCTTTGCAATAGTACTTAAATTAAGACTAACTCATCCCCCCCAAATGTAAATAACACATTGTATTGTTTTAGTTACTGATAAATTGTTTTCTTAATCTACTCTCTTCCTATAGATTACAGAGTTAGTTCATCAGAGAGATGTTACAAGATCCCTACTTAAAAGCAAGATTGACAACTCTAAATCCTTTGAATGGCTTAGCCAGATGAGATTCTACTTTGATCCTAAGCAGACTGATGTGTTGCAACAGCTGTCTATTCAAATGGCTAATGCCAAGTTTAACTATGGTTTTGAGTACCTTGGTGTTCAAGATAAATTGGTCCAAACTCCACTTACTGACCGCTGCTATTTGACAATGACACAAGCCTTGGAGGCAAGACTTGGAGGATCTCCATTTGGTGAGTTGTTATAATTGTGTATCAGTGTTATAGTGATGAGTATATCTTCATGTATAGGTGGTATTTTAAGGTTCACAAAGCACATTCCTCATAGCTCTCTGCTGCCTACTTGTACAAAGGAGGAAATAGACTTAGGAAAGGGAAGCGACTTGCTCTCAGTCACTTAGCTGTTGAAGCTGAGACTCACTCACACACACTCCAGTGCAGAAATATTTCAGCATTTCATGAAAATTGGTGAAGGATGTTGTGGCAGCAATCTGTGTCGGGTCCCTAACCATGTCTCTCTTCAAATGTTAGGTCCTGCTGGCACTGGCAAAACGGAATCTGTCAAAGCTCTTGGACACCAGCTCGGGCGATTTGTTCTTGTTTTTAACTGTGATGAAACATTTGATTTCCAGGTAAAAGACATTTTTTTGTATGATGTAACTACAGTTTGATGCCTGTAGCATTTCATTTGGGAGATTTAATGTTATTAGATTATGCTAAGACCTGATTTCATGAGAAAGATAGAGTGTGTCTGCTGCATGTTGCACCTTGATAGTCATTAGGCATAATTTTAGAAATTATCAACGGATGTGACATACATACTTGGAATTGGCCCCAGGCTCTGAGATTTTCTTGCCTCTTTCGACTTAATAAATGCCCTATTATAAATGCCCGGTCAGCATAACTTTAGAATGGAAGCTCCCTGAAGTTAGAGAGGTGACTCCTTTTGTCTGTATCCTCAGCACCCAGGACTTTGCCTAGAGCAGGTGCTAAATAAATGCTTTGAGTATTGGACAATTGTAGAGCTTGGAGGTTTCAAAAAAATCACGTTTCAGAAAGGCTAAGCAACTATAGCTTAAGGATATCAAGGGTTTGGAATAATGTTTTTAGCTGATTCAGTTTTAGAAGACATTTTCAAAATTAAGCGAAAAAATACTTGCATGGTAGTCGGTGAAGTTTTACAAAGGTGCAAAGAAAGGGAATCCGGGAACATGCACTTTTTTGCTACTCCAATGATTCTTTCCCTTTTTTTAGGCAATGGGGCGTATCTTTGTGGGACTTTGCCAAGTGGGTGCTTGGGGCTGCTTTGATGAGTTCAACAGACTAGAGGAGCGCATGCTCTCGGCTGTGTCCCAGCAGGTTCAGTGCATTCAGGAGGCCCTGCGAGAACATTCGAATCCAAACTATGATAAGAGTAAGAATTTGTTATGGTCCGATTCCTTTTTCCCTTAAATAAATAACGTAAATATAAAATAAATACATATGTATCTATATATGTATGCATACTCACGTGTCTATATATAAGGAGAGGTTTGTTTGTGATAATTTAGCCTTTCAGTGATGATTTATGGCCATCGTTTATATATCAGTGATGCAGGCAGCATCTATTGAAGAAACTAAGAATATTTGCCTCCCAATACTAAAGGGCCCCAGACCATGCTGCTCTCTGGGTTCTTGTGTCTGTTTTTTGGTCTCTTACCACTCTCGGTGTGTTTGACTTCAAGTAGGCCAAGCCCATCTTTTCTATTTTTTAATCTTTCAAAAATGGGCATATCTTGTTCTTAATGTCACATTTGCTTTTTTCATCTATCCTTCTCCCACTCCTCTACTCACTGTGTAGTGAACCATCTCTTATAATAGCAAAGATTTAAAGGTGAAAAAATGTTTAGCAATGTGAATCAACATGTCAGCTGCATACAGTGTGTGCAGTATACTGAGAAATTCATAAGCAAAATACAGTGTGTTAAGTAAGGTTAGAGGAAGGGAGGGAAAGATCATTTCTGACTGGGGAGGTCAAGGAAGGATTTGTGGAAAAGGTGATATTTGAACTGGAAGTTTGGGTGGGGTTTTACCATACAGATGTGGCAGCAGTAAGGGCATGAGGATGCCATCACAGCGTAGGGAATGAGAAGTGAAGGCACAGATACAGGAGAGCATTGGGAGGGAAGGGGCCCCGTCAGAATTATCCCATTCCTGTTACTGTTTGAAGTTTAACTTTTCTTTGGGGATTTCATGCTTTGGATTTAAGAAACTACTGAAGAGGGGTCTTTTTTCTAGGAATCTACTGAAAAAATTAAGTTTTAATGTTAAATTTTAGCTTCTGCACCCATTACTTGTGAATTGTTGAACAAACAAGTCAAAGTGAGCCCTGATATGGCTATCTTCATCACCATGAATCCTGGCTACGCGGGCAGATCAAATCTTCCAGACAATTTAAAGAAGTTATTCCGAAGCTTGGCAATGACGAAGCCAGATCGCCAATTGATCGCCCAGGTCATGTTGTATTCCCAAGGCTTTCGCACTGCTGAAGTACTTGCCAACAAGATTGTACCATTCTTTAAGTGAGTAACAGTCATTCACAATCACTCTGTCAGACAAAAGTGTTTGTTTTTTGTGTTGTGTTTTTTTTTTTTTTTTTACATTTTCAACTTAAAATTTTTTTATTTGTAATTATCATGGCTGGCATTTTTTTTTAACTCAGTGCTTAAAATAATCTGTTTAGTTAAAAGAGAAATTTTTTCCCCACTTTTTAGACTATGTGATGAACAGCTTTCCTCTCAAAGTCATTATGATTTTGGTCTTCGAGCTTTAAAGAGTGTTTTGGTAAGTGCAGGTAATGTGAAGAGGGAGAGAATTCAGAAGATCAAAAGAGAAAAGGAAGAACGTGGTGAAGTAGTTGATGAAGGGGAAATTGCTGAAAATCTACCAGAGCAAGAGGTATGTACAAATATTTATTCAGTTCTTATAGAGATACTGACAATATCATTTAAGCATTTGTCTTGACTTATGTGATGTGTTACTCAGGGTTATTTTCTCAGTCTTCATCTCTTTTTTTGTTTTTCTATATTGTCTCCTTTCATGATTTCATGCACTCTCATAGTACTTTTCTGTAGCTCAGCCTCTCTTATTAAACCCCAGACTCTACTCCAGTTGCCTGTTATACATCTCTTTCTGAATGTTCTGTAGCCCCAGCACCTCCAAAATGAAATTCTTTTGTTTTTGTCCCTAAAATAAAAGCTCTTTATTCATCCTGACCTCACTCTTTCTGTTAGTGATACCGCCATCTTTACCATCATCCATTCAGAACAGTTGAGCTCAAAAACTCACTGTTACATTGAACTCTTTGCTTTGTCACTTCTAATCAGCATAGTCTTTATGTCCCATCAGTCATTTTTCTTTTCTCCATTCTTAATGCTTCCACCCTGGTTCGTGCCCTCATAATCAGAACAGCAATAATAATTGACAAAGTGCTATCCAACACTCTAAGGTTTGCAGAGCCCTTTGTAGCCATTGGCTCATTTGATCCTCAAAACCCCTTGTTAGATGTTATTATTGTCCTTATTTTAAAAAATTTATCTCATTACATCTTGCTTTTACTCTTGTAGTTTCTTGCCTAATGTTTCTGCTCGTCTCTTGCTCTCATTCCATCCTCCCTGGTTTTCTTCCAGGTTGCTTTTCCCCAGTCATAGCTTTGATTGTCTTCAGACTAATACAACATCAGAAGTAGCTCCTAATTTCCTGCAGGTGAAAGTCCAGTCTATGTTACCTGGTATTCAACACCCTCAATGCTTTGGTCCCAGCCCAAGAAGGAATCCCAGCCTTCTCTTGTACCACTCACCTTTATTTCCAAACTAGACTGGGGTCAATATAGGTATCTTTTACCCTCATTCTAATCCAGATCTCCCTTTCTATTTTCTACCCATAAATTAAAGTCTAAGTCAAATGCTATCCCTTCCATCAAGCCTTCATGTACTGGCCCCAGTTTAAACTTGATAACTGTTGAATTGACTGTGAGGAGCCTATGTTTTACAATTTATTCTCCCATTTGTCTGTATTATTACAGTAGGCTTGTATGTAGATTTCCCTACCTCTGTTGTCTTTTCCCTTATCTATCCTCTCTTCAACATTTATGAAGGGTTGATTTTTCTAAAGCACAGTGCCAATCCTGTACTCAGTTTAAAAAAACACCGAATCTCCAACAGTCTAGCCTTTCACGGCTCCCCATTCAGATGACTGAATAAAGTGCAGACTCTTAGAGTAGAGTTTAGCATTGTAGTCAAATTTGTTTGTTCAGTGTTTCCTGAACATGGTATATGCACTCCTTTCATTTTCATTGACTTTTTTTTTTTTTTTTTTTTTTTGGTTAGCGCTGGTCCTTTTGCTTGAAGGGCTTTCCATCTTTAATGTCACTAGCCTTCTGCCTTCTGTGTATATTCTTCCACCTGAATTCTTTAGCCACTCCACTTTCTACTCCATTTCACTTATTATAGCTTACCTTTATTATTGTATACATGTCTAGATTCCCCTGCTAGATTAATTTTATTTAGAGCAGGCATTATTTTTTGTTTCTCTGGTAAATGCTTTAGGGCATATATTGCCTTTAGTAGGTACTTTAAGTTAAATTGAATTGATGAAATTGAGTTAAGTGTCTTCACCTAACTCTTAAACCAGACAAACTAGAGAAGCTGTGGAATTCAAGGTAATCTGAATTTTTAGCTGGTAGATATGGAGGATTATGGTAGATGAGGATTGTTTTTTTTTCCCTCCTTCTGAAACTTGTCATCTGTTATTTTTACTTAGATTCTAATTCAGAGTGTCTGTGAAACAATGGTACCAAAGCTTGTAGCAGAAGATATTCCTTTGCTCTTCAGTCTTCTCTCTGACGTATTTCCTGGGGTCCAGTATCATCGTGGTGAGATGACAGCACTACGAGAAGAGCTCAAGAAAGTTTGTCAGGAAATGTACTTGACCTATGGTGATGGAGAAGAAGTTGGTGGAATGTGGGTTGAAAAGGTATCTCAAAAGTTATATTTATATAGTATGTACACACACACACACACACACACACACACACACACACACACACTACCCACGCTGTTATTTTTTATTTTATTTTCATTTTATCCCATGCTGGGCATTTTTGTATAGATTTAGAAAAGCTTCACTATTTGCATCATCACCATGTAAATGTGTAAGAAATGCAATACAAAGGTAACCTTGTGGTCCGTCTAGTTCACTATTCTGCCTTGGACACTAGCACTGAGTGATATTTTGTGGAAAAGATTAATAATTATTCTCTGTTACAAGAAGAACCACGTACTATAAATATTCCTAATTTCCCTTAACTCTTACGGAACAGTCTTCCATGGATTATGTTAAACCTTTCTTGAATGTATTTCTGTAAATTTATTTGTAAAGCTCACAGGGCCAAATTTTTAGCACACAATGGCCATACAAAAGGGATGAATCCCAGTAGATTTCTTTTGAATATCCCAAATATTAAAGTGTGTGGTTTTGTATTTGTTTTGTAGGTTCTTCAGCTCTATCAGATTACCCAAATAAATCATGGTTTGATGATGGTAGGGCCTTCAGGAAGTGGAAAGAGTATGGCGTGGAGGGTTCTCCTGAAAGCACTGGAAAGATTAGAAGGTGTGGAAGGGGTAGCACACATCATTGATCCCAAAGCAATTAGCAAGGATCATCTTTATGGTACCCTGGATCCAAATACTCGAGAATGGACAGACGGGTTGTTCACACATGTTCTCAGAAAGTAAGTTGTTTTAACCTATGTTTTCGTAGATAGAGTCTGTATTCAAGGTTAATGAACTTAACCTTGTTTCTTGCACTAAAGTGTGGTCATGCATTAAAATAGTAGCGGTAACAGCAGCAACAACAGATGCTCACGGTTTGTATAATTACCTTGTTAGATATAATCACCCAGGTAGAACATTATCCCCATTTTACAGCTAAGGAAATAAGCTCAGAAAAGTGAAGCAACTTACTGTTAAATGTTATAGACCTTTTATGACTACAATTTCACTAATACCTTACTCCTGGGGGAGAGTAGGAAAAACCTTTTTGCAATTCTTTCTTCATCAGATTTTTATTTAAATTTTTCTTTGAATTCAGAATCATCGATAATGTAAGAGGTGAGCTGCAGAAACGCCAGTGGATCATCTTTGACGGAGATGTTGATCCTGAGTGGGTTGAGAACTTGAACTCTGTACTAGATGACAATAAACTACTGACTTTGCCAAATGGAGAGCGCCTCAGTCTTCCACCCAATGTAAATTGCGCTCTTTCACATTTTTATTATTAAATATTCTTCCTTTATTAGCTAGCTGAAATTCATTCTGACACTATTAGAAAAAGTTAAAAAGGTAACTTTTTCAGTAGCCATTTATGTGAGTAGGACTCTGAACTGTTTCTTCCTTTGGGTAATGAATGCCATTTTGAAGAGAAGGGAGTAATAAGACATAACGGAAAATGTACTGGTATTCTGCTGTTCATAATCTGATATGCTAATACCCAGTTTTGAAAATAGGTATTTATCATAGGCCTGTAAAAATAATGACCTGCTGGGTGGGCATGACTGTGTAGAACTGGGCGGTGTTGAGAGGTGGGAGGAATACTGTATAGGTCTTAAATATCTAGAGCTAAATGTTGCAACTCTAAAAACTAACCTATAGGATCCGTCTAAGAAACAGAAGGTCCTCTTGACCATTTGTTAATCTTGCCATCAGTTAGCAAGTTCTGGGTTTTTATCCAAGTAGATGGTAGCTCTTGTAATTATGACCTAGTTACCTGGGTCCTGTGGTAATGATTTTGTGACCACGCTCTGTCAAGAGAGGCAGCTTGGCATAGTGGATAGGAAGCTGGCCTTGAAGGTAGAAACACCTGGATTCAAAATCCTGCCTCTGACATAGACAGGCTATGTGACCCAGGGCAAGTCATTTCATCTTTTTGCCAGTCACCTCTCTAAGAATAAAAGTCTTGCCCTGCATTATGGGAAGTCCCTAAAGGTCCCTATGCTAGGGAAATCACAGTCCAGCCTTTATCTTTATACAGAGTCTACTATCAAGAATTTCCTTGGCTAAGGGTGCAAATATTAAAACCTTTCTGCCCCCAGTTTGCATTTTTATAATTAATTCTTTACCTGTCTTCTAGGAGGGAAATGTAGGTGAATATTCTAATTGTGGGAACTAGCTTATGTTGAACCCTTTGTTTCTATGACACAATACTTTTTCTGTGTATAAATAGATGAAAGAATTTGATTTTTAACTACACAGCATCAAATCTACTGCTTGTGTTTTTTCTAGGTTAGAATTATGTTTGAAGTACAAGATTTGAAATATGCAACACTGGCCACAGTATCAAGATGCGGAATGGTCTGGTTTAGTGAAGATGTTCTGAGTACTGACATGATATTCAATAACTTTCTGGCCAGACTGCGAAGCATCCCCTTGGATGAAGGTGAAGATGAAGCCCAGCGTAGACGGAAGGGAAAAGAGGATGAAGGTGAAGAAGCTGCTTCACCAATGTTGCAGGTAGGTTTCAAAGCATCTTGCAGTAACTGGAGCAGATGTTTCAAAAATAAAGAATGTAACAGCAGACATTTGAGAATATTCCTAGGATCTGAAGAACTGCTTCCAGGATGAAGGTTCTTGACCTTTCTTGTACCTTGGATGCCTTTTGGCAGTCTGGCGAAGCCTATGGACTTCACAGAACAATATTTTTAAACATCCAAAATACATAGGATTACAAAAGAAACCAATTACATTGAAATACATTTATTAAAAAAGAAGGTCATGGGGGCAGCTAAGTGGTGCAGTGGATACAGCACCGGCCCTGAAGTCAGGAGGACCTGAGTTCAAATCCAGCCTCAGACCAAACACTTCACACTGGCTGTATGACCCTAGGCAAGTCATTTAACCCCAGTTGCCTTAAAAAAAAAAAAGAAGAAGAAGAAGGTCATGGACGCCAGGTTAAGAACCTCTGTTTTAGGAGGTGACTGAGAACTCAAGTGTTAACTCTGTAAAAATTTTTACACCAAATTTTTTTATTGTGGCCATGTGATCCACTCATCTTGTGGTTGGTGATTAAAAAAAAAATTCTAGGCTATTGCTAATAACCATTAATTTATTACTTATTTTATAGATCCAGAGAGATGCAGCAACAATCATGCAGCCATACTTCACATCTAATGGATTGGTCACTAAGGCACTTGAGCATGCTTTCAAGTTGGAACACATCATGGACCTCACTCGGTTACGATGTCTTGGCTCCCTTTTCTCCATGTTGCATCAGGCTTGCCGAAATGTTGCCCAGTACAATGCAAACCATCCTGACTTTCCCATGCAAATAGATCAACTAGAACGTTATATTCAGGTAATTTAAACTATTGAAGTTGAAGTAACCCCCAAACTTGGAGGCCAATCTGCTGTTTTAAGATAGAATATTTTTTTATTAAATTTTAAGATAGAATTTAAGATAGATAAACCTTTACTTTTGACTAGATGGCTTCATCTCTTACTTTGTAATTTGTAAAAAATTAAATTATAATTGCTCTTCCAACAGAGATACTTGGTTTATGCCATATTATGGTCTTTATCTGGAGATAGTCGTCTGAAAATGAGAGCTGAGCTGGGTGAATATATCAGAAGAATTACTACCGTGCCATTGCCCACTGCACCTAATATACCCATAATTGATTATGAAGTAAGTGCCTGTAGGTTCTGTTTAGTATTTGTTGGCCGAAAGGTTTGATTCATCTCAAAATGTACTTGCAGTGAGCTTAAACTTTATTTTGTTCAGAATGGTGAGAACTTTGGTTTTCATTTGTTGACTTTGAGGCATAGCAAGAAATGCAAGTACTCTAGGAGTGAAACCACAGCCCCTGCCTGGTGTAGTGGAGAGATTTGGGGTCGGAAGAATAGGGTTCGTGCTCTAATGACTCTGCCGCTTATTAGCTGGGCAGACGTAGGCAGGTCTCTTCCCTTGGTTTCCTCATCTGTAAATTATGGGGTTGGCATTACATTATCTTCAATGTCACTTCTAGTTCTAGATGCTGTGATTTCTTATTGAAAGTTTTAGTGTACATGGATGTAAACAAAGGCTGTGTTTCAAGGAGCTAGCCTAACCTAGTATTCCTTGTTTTATAGGTTTCTATTACTGGCGAATGGGCACCATGGCAGTCCAAGGTTCCTCAGATTGAAGTAGAGACACACAAAGTTGCTGCTCCTGATGTTGTTGTACCAACCTTAGACACAGTCCGTCACGAAGCACTCTTGTATACCTGGCTAGCAGAGCATAAGCCTTTAGTCCTGTGTGGGCCACCAGGTTCTGGAAAGACTATGACTCTTTTTAGTGCTCTCAGGGCTTTGCCTGATATGGAGGTAAAAGAAAAAGCAACCTGCCAACTGAGATGCCATATAGACTTAAACTTTAGTACTCGCATTAAAACACTTTCTCCCCCCATCCCTTTTTCTTTGACTTTCCTTAGGTTGTTGGGCTTAACTTCTCAAGTGCTACTACTCCAGAGCTCCTTCTAAAGACCTTTGATCACTACTGTGAGTACAGGCGTACACCAAACGGAGTGGTGTTGGCCCCAGTTCAGCTTGGAAAGTGGTTGGTTTTGTTTTGTGATGAAATCAACTTGCCAGATATGGATAAATATGGAACACAGAGGGTCATATCATTTATCAGACAGGTGTGTATACTTTAAAACAACCATAAGTTAATTGTGTCTGTCATCTCTGACAAAGTTCCCCATGTTATCCTTGTAAACAGGGGATCTGGGCTTGATGGTCATATAATTAAGTTGCTATGGAACTAGTTTAATGACAGACAACAAAGAATAGTCATGGACTAAGGTCAGCTTGGAGGGCAGTCTCCAGCAGAACCACCCTAAGGTTCTGTCCTTAGAGACTACTCTCAGAAGTTTAGATGGAAACAAAGCTGGCACTCTTCTCAGATTTGCATTTGACTTGAAGAAGCACAGAGGGATGTTTAACCCATTTTAGATAACTGAGTCCAGATTGAAAAAGTTGATGACAGGTTAGCGTGGTAGGCCAAATAAAATGAAATTTAATAAGGATTAATCTGAAGTTACAATGCTGGAGTTCAGAAAGTCAACTTCATTGATGTGTTGGAATAGATATGACTAGCTATAGATAACAGTTCTCTGAGAGAAATCTGGGGATTTTATTGAACCACAAGCTTCATGTGAGTCAACAGAGTGATGGGGCAACAATAACAACAACAAAAAAAAAAAGAAAAGAAAAGAAAAACCCAACAACAATAACAAAAAGCTAATGCTGTCCTAGATTGCATTAAGAAGTGTGAGGGTGGTATAGTAGAGTTCCCCTATACGTTGCCTTTCCATGCCATACCCAGAGTTCATCTGTTGGGAGCCATAGTTTAGGAAGGACATAGACTGCATTGTGCTTTGAATAAGGCAACCAAAATTGTAAAGGGTTTTGACATAATGTTAGATGAAGAGCAATTGAAAGAACTGGAAATATTTATTCTGAGGAAGAGAAAACTTATGGAGAACATCATAGGTCTCAAGTAAGAGGAGGTGTTAGATTTGTTTTTGGTACAGACGGCAGAACTAGGAGCAATATGTGGAAGTCATAAAGAGGCAGATTTTGGCTTTGTTGTAAGGAAAAATGACTTTCAAATTAGAGCTATCCATAAGTGGAGTGAAGGTATTCTTTGGAAGTAATGATTTCTGCTTCATTGGTGTTCTTCAAGAAGAGTCTGGACAATCTGTTTTTTGGGATGTTGACAAGAGATTCCTTTTCAGGTATGAATTGGATCTCCCATCATCCTTCAATTCTCCATTAAGGAATTGGGGGAAAAGATTATTTTATTTTGTATGGGAGTGTTTGTGATTTTTTAATTATATCTTTCCAATTCTTAGATTCTTTGATTGTAATCTTTCATATTCCCATTTTTGTCCTTCAGATGGTAGAACATGGAGGATTCTACCGAACATCTGATCAAACATGGGTGAAACTGGAGAGAATTCAGTTTGTTGGAGCTTGTAATCCACCTACTGATCCTGGAAGAAAGCCTCTTTCACACAGGTAATAGCTTTGCACATTTTACAATTTTAGCACAAACCCAACATTACTTGTAATTTGATTTACACAAATAAAATCCAAATTTAAGTATAAAAGGTAGTTTAAAAAAAAGAGGTAGCATAGAGTAGTGCAAATCTACTAATAGCTAGTACCAACACTTTAGTTAGAGAATCTCAGTTTTTAGTCATTCTCTACCAAGTGACCTTGGACAAATGATTCCCCCTTTGGGGGCCTTAGTTTCCCTACATATAAAAACAGGAGCCCTGTACCTTTTCAGTTCTTAGGTTTTATGACTTACTCTAGTTCTTTACAAGCATTCTCTCTGGCTTTCTTGCCCTTTTTGTTGTTCTAGAAAAATAATTTTTTTCTTAAATTAACACACCTTACCTTCCTAGTCGTCTGTATTGATTTGATACCATTTGATTTTGCCCTTTGAGTACTTACAAAGCCAAATCAACAATTTCATGGAATTTGAAATCTAGGTGACTATAGAGGCCTAGTGAGTTCCTTCCCAGATCTAACAAATGAAACTTTCAAGTAAAGATTAAGCAGCAATGATTTGGATCAAAATGGGAAAGGGAATAGTAAATGCTTATTGGATTTGATTAAATGGTTAACTTGATTTTCAGATGAAATTTCCTATTTAAAATGATTTGTTGTTTTCACCAGATTTTTACGCCATGTACCAGTAGTGTATGTGGATTATCCAGGACCTGCATCACTAACTCAGATATATGGCACATTTAACCGAGCAATGCTGAGACTCATTCCATCTCTTCGAACATATGCAGAACCTCTTACAGCTGCAATGGTTGAGTTCTATACAATGTCTCAGGTACTTTTAATCTAAATTTGCCACCAAGTTTTTGTCTAATTATTGGGCAGATTATTTTTTTTAGTCATCTTTCTATTCGATGCCTTTTTTAGACTAGGGGATTTTTTTTTTCTGAGACCTTTTGCGTACCTATGTATCTATGTGTCTGTCTGTGTAATGTATATATAAATATTTGCGTAAAATAATTACATGTTACTTGTATGTGATGCACTTTTAACTTTTGATTCAACAAACGTTTGTTAAATATCTCCAACATCCAAAGCACACTACACAAGATACTGGGAGTATAGGATAAACGATGATCAAGGAGCTTATGTTCTCTACCCTTGTTATCTTGTAGTAAAATATTCTTACTTAACTTTTAAACTTTTGTAACTTTGCAGGAGAGATTTACTCAGGACACTCAGCCTCATTACATCTATTCACCCCGTGAAATGACCCGATGGGTAAGGGGTATCTTTGAAGCCTTAAGACCTTTGGAGACTTTACCTGTGGAAGGACTTATTCGAATTTGGGCACATGAAGCTCTCCGTCTCTTCCAAGACAGGTAAGGAAAATGAAGTGTTTGAAAACAGAACTTATTTGGAATTTTTGTCCTCTGAAATGACAAGCAGTTAACCACACTGTATTCAGCTTTCAGTATTGATTACTCACATTCCTTAACCTAAGTAGCTTTCACCCTTGTAGACCCAGGAGGAGGAGCTCATGATGAATTAAATGAGAAAGGAGACTTTTTCTCATGTGAGCTGTCTTGATATTCTGTCCTCCCAGTGCTTACTGCAGTACCTGGCACATAGTACGCATTTAATAAATACTTGTTGACTCCTGTGGTAACCTTAGTCATCATTCCACCTGGCCCATTCGATGTCAGGGATGGCCTTGGGTTCAGTTAAAGTTCAGTTTAGCAGTGCATGGCACCCAGGTACTGGGTCTTATTGATTCCAAGCCCAGGCTCTATCCCCTGCACCATCTAGCTGCCACTTTCTTCTCATAGGACAGTCATATTCTGTTACATTCATATACTATAGTTTGTTCAGCTATTCTCCCATTGATGGGCACCCTTTTAGATTGCATTTTTTGCCTCCACAAAAAGAACTGCTATAAATACTATAAATACTTTTTCCTCTTTTTTTGATCCCTTTAGAGTGTAGGCTTAATAGTTTTACTGCTGGGTCAAAGAGTAGGCACAATTTAGTGACTTCTCGAACATAGTTCCAAATTGCTCTCCAGAATGGCTGGACTGAGTCACAGCTCTATCAGCAGTAGAATAATGTGCCTATTTTCCCATAGTTCCTCCAGATTTATCCCAAGAGCGTATAAAACACTGTGTGTAGGAACAGCATTTGTATCTAGACCTTTTTCCTTCTAAGTCACTGTTTATTCTTTTCCTTAAAAACAGACTCGTGGAAGATGAGGAGAGACGTTGGACTGATGAGAATATTGATATGGTAGCTCTAAAGCACTTCCCTAACATTGACAAAGAAAAAGCCATGAGCAGGCCCATCTTATATAGCAACTGGTTGTCAAAGGTAACTTGAACCTAAATAACTTCATTAATAACATCACTTTTTCTGTTGTCCTTTTATGACCTCTAAATTTGACAAAGTTCTTAAATGGAGCTTCTTTTGTAGTAGGTATTTACAGTCAAGAGTAATCTCAAGTTGAGAATGAGAACTTGTAAAGTAGAAGGCAAGCTTCTTGAAGGGAGGCACTGTGTAGTTTTGTCTTTGTATCCACAATGCCTTGCACAGAGTAGGTGCCTAATAAATGTTAGTAGAATTGGTCCTTTTTTTTTCTCACTTATCTAAGATGGTCTGTCCAATGACAGAGAATCCAAGCATAGTGATAGAATGTAATGCTTCCCTTTTCTACCGTGTTAAGAATTTCTGACGTTATTTCCAGAATCACACAGAGTTTTTGTCCTTATCTATAGGCAGCACTTTTCCCCCCAAGTTTGACTTGTATAAAACCTGCAGCTTATAGTCAGTGCTGAACATATTTTCTTACTAAGGGATTTTGTTTTGTGGGTACATCTTATCTACATTTGTACCAGCACATCAATGGAACAGCCTGGATTTTGTCAGTTTAGTACACCTGGGATAGGGTTGTTGTCTAAATTGGTAGAACTTCCTAAATCATCTTGATCTTCATCTTTTCATTACCTATTAAGATACTTTACTAATAGTGTGAGTATATCTTAAATTTGTGTATCGTGACGATTTCAAAAATACTTTTACAAATGTTATCTCATTTAGTTTTCACCACAACCCTATGAAATTAGGCCAAAAATTATAAAATAATGTCTTTTTATAGTTGCCTATCATAGTTATTTTTAAACATTTAAAAATTTTTAAGGACAGAAAAGTTACTCTTGACCCTATGTATGTTTGTCTTCACTTAACTTCAAGTATATATGGAACTCTTAAAACTTAAATATTTAATTCTTTAAATCTCAATTAAGTTCTACTTCTGAAATCTTGGCTTACCACTCTTGTTGATATGATTTTCCTTACTTGAGTTAAATGTAACTGTGGAGGTATATACATACATGTGTGGTATTTTTTTGTTTGTTTGTTTTTGGTAGGATTACATCCCAGTGGATCAAGAAGAGTTGAGAGATTATGTCAAAGCTCGGCTGAAAGTATTCTATGAAGAAGAACTTGATGTGCCTCTGGTGCTGTTTAATGAAGTTTTAGATCACGTCCTGAGGATTGACCGGTAGGTGTAATGCTGTCATTCCTGGTGTGAGAATGGATGTTACAATTTACTAAAAAGCAAAACAAAGCAAACCCTTCTTTCCAGCTTGTAAATCAGCTTACGCCAGCACTGAAGGAAAATTTCTGAATATAAATCCTAACCTGTGCGAGATGTAAGACTCTATCTTCCATAATGCTGCTAGATCTCAGAACCTTTTGTGTTGTTTCATTTTCACAGTGATACAAAAATCTTATGAACTTTGCATTGAGTTGTCATTTTTTAAATATTTTTCAGAATTTTCCGTCAGCCTCAAGGTCATTTGCTGCTTATTGGAGTTAGTGGAGCAGGAAAGACTACTCTTTCCAGATTTGTTGCTTGGATGAATGGTTTAAGCGTCTATCAGATTAAGGTAGGTACAACCTGGTGTCCATTTATAACACCAAAAGCCTGTGCATTTAATATTATTTTAGTTACTAACATACAATATTTCCCTAGAACAGGGGTGAGGAACCTGTGGCCTCAAGGCCATATGTGGCCCTCTAGGTCTTCAAGTGCAGCCCTTTGACTAAATCCAAACTTCACAGAACAAATCCCCTTAATAAAAGAATTTGTTCTGTAAAATCTGGACTTGGGTCAAAAGGACACACCCAAGGACCTAGAAGGTCACATGTGACCTTAAGGTCGAAAGTTCCCCACCCCTGCCCTAGAAGAATAAGATTCTATGTCATAAATTAATTTTATCCTCTGAATTATCTTTATAGGTCCACAGAAAGTATACTGGTGAAGATTTTGATGAAGATCTCAGGACTGTGTTGAGACGTTCTGGCTGTAAAAATGAGAAGATAGCATTCATCATGGATGAGTCCAATGTACTGGATTCTGGGTTCCTGGAGCGAATGAACACCCTCCTTGCCAACGGAGAGGTAATTGAATAACACATTGAATCGACCTATCTGGTAATTACCGAATTTTTGAAAATGTGGTTCATTTTTCCCTGTTAGGTTCCTGGTCTCTTTGAAGGAGATGAGTATGCTACCCTTATGACCCAATGTAAAGAGGGCGCACAGAAAGAAGGTTTAATGCTGGATTCACATGAAGAATTGTATAAATGGTTCACTAGCCAAGTTATCCGCAATCTCCATGTTGTGTTTACCATGAATCCATCTTCTGAGGGACTGAAGGACAGAGCAGCTACTTCACCTGCTCTTTTCAATAGGTAACCTGATGCACTGTCACTTTCTGTTTCAGACACAGTCCCTTAGGTTCCTGATCTACCACAGAGGAAATGCTGTTGTGTAGAAAGACATGAGACTCTGTCTTTTTTAGGTGTGTGCTCAACTGGTTTGGGGACTGGTCCACTGAAGCCCTCTATCAAGTCGGCAAAGAATTCACTAGTAAAATGGACCTTGAGAAGCCAAATTATGTCGTGCCAGATTATATGCCAGTTGTTTATGACAAGCTACCGCAGCCGCCGTCCCATCGGGAAGCCATCGTGAATAGCTGTGTGTTTGTTCATCAGACTCTTCACCAGGTAGAGTCTATCACTAGGCTAATTTGCAAAAATCAAATTTAACCCACATATACAAGAGTAATTTTTTTCTATCAGACTTTTGACAAATTTAATCAATTAGGATTAAATTAGGATCCTAATTGACATCACCATTTTACGATGCAAGAATATGTCGTAGAAAATCTTTAGTGTGAAGCTTATTCTTACTAAGGTGAACAGAATGAAAATTATTTTTTTTAATATTTATATTCTTTATAATCAATTATCATATAATTAAATCATAATGAAATGCTTTTCAGTAATAAAAAAGCAGTGCCTTAATTGCAGGGAATTGCAGTCACACTGTTTGACCTCCAAGAATATTAGGGAATTAAATATTGAAATGCTATTTAATCTTAATTCACGGAGTTGCTTCATTCCTTGCTTTTGTATAAGTCGAGGGACTTTGGCTATCGTACATAGAATTTTAACCATCAGGTTTATCTCCTTCCCACTCCACCCCTTTTCATCACAGGTAAAAGTAATACAAAAAAATTAAGGTCTTCTCTATTAAGTAATATATGCATATGATATTTATTAATATTTCCAGCTGAAAAATTGGCTTAAAAGTTCAACTTTATCATCCTTATCTAAAAGTATCTTAATTTCGTTTTGAAAGTAAAAGGCTTAATGCAATTGGAACTTGAACATTAAAAATACAGAAAGCATCTTCACAAATACAGATCCATCTAATTTGCATCATTCTTTAAATCAGGACTGGACTGTTAGACAAGATATTTCACAGTTATTCATGATCAGAGATTCTAGCTGGTAAAATCAATTTAATCATCGGGTAGAGTTATGATGAATGAATAAGCACGTATTAAGTGCTTATCCTGTCCTAAGCTCTGTGCTAAGTGTATGTGATCCAAGTAGGAGAGTGAGGCAGTCTTTGAGCCCAGGGGCTAATAGGAAATAACACGTGTGGAAGGTTTCAGCTCATGACACATTTTAAATTTCTAAAGTTTTTTTTTCATGAGTACGCTAAATAAGACAGCAGATTTCTTTCTCATTGGAAGCTTTTTTGAGAAATGGCATCAAACCCACCAATTCTCACTTAAAGCCAGCAAATAAATTTCCTTTCTGGGACATGCTGCTTTCAAGTACTCTCTTAACTGTGTCCTCTGCCTGGGCGATGCCATCTCTTCTGTAGGCATCTATGTAAGAGAATCCTGTGCCCTGACCAGTCTCTCATTCACAAAATCCACTCCAGTTAAGTCTGCTTCATATCCCTGTCTCCATTTTTAGCCATGTGGCACCTGTATACTTTTGAACAAAAATATTCTTGACCTATTCAGTATTTCCCTTTTGGAATTTGATTCTGCTTACTAGATGTCCTATGTATACATTTTTATATCTTTCATTTTAAAGGCTAATGCTCGTTTAGCAAAACGAGGAGGCAGAACTATGGCAATCACACCTCGTCATTATTTAGACTTCATCAACCATTATGCTAATCTGTTCAATGAAAAACGCAGTGAATTGGAAGAACAGCAAATGCACTTGAATGTTGGCCTTAGAAAAATCAAAGAAACAGTTGACCAGGTATGGCTTTTTTCGATTTGAAGCAAAAGGAGGGTGAGAAAGGAGGAGGGAAGGAGCAGAGCGGGGTGGTGGAAGTGGTGGGCCCCACACTACACACCTGTGCACTGTCACCTCAGGTGGAGGAGCTGCGTCGGGACTTGAGGATAAAAAGCCAGGAGCTGGAAGTCAAGAATGCTGCTGCTAATGACAAGCTAAAGAAGATGGTGAAAGATCAGCAGGAGGCAGAAAAGAAAAAGGTTGCTATGTTGTTTCATTTCCCTGTGAAACGTAGGGAGTTTCATAGGAATCATAGGAAGCTAGTTTTTTATTCCTTCCCCCCCCCCCCCCCCAGAATATTGAATAAATTAAGCAGAAGCCAGTATGTGACTCCCAAACCACTGTATCTTTATAGGTTATGAGCCAAGAAATTCAGGAACAGCTGCACAAGCAGCAGGAAGTGATCGCTGACAAGCAGATGAGCGTAAAGGAAGACCTTGATAAAGTGGAGCCTGCCGTCATTGAAGCACAGAACGGTATGTGAGCACAACTAAGGGCTGAGCTTCCTAGGAAAAGAGCCTTCAAGTTCAGGGCTGTCAAACTTGGCTTTCTCTGAGGTGATGCCCAGCAGGGTGACACATACTCTAAGGGAGATTGTCTTTCTGCACCTAAGAGTAAAGTGGGTAAATCCTTAAAAAAGAAAGACCTTCAAAGGGAAATTGTCCTTATCTCATAGAATACAGTCAATATGTAGCCTGTTTCATAAGGAACCCACAGTTAGAATGTCAAGGGAAGGAGCAGAGGACTGACAGTCATGAGACCTGGAATCTACTCCTGGCTCTGCCCCTAAGTCAGTGTGGGGATCTGGGCGAGTCACTCACGTTTATGGGTGAGCTGACAGAGGCCCAGAGAGGTTAAAGTAGTTGAATTAAAAATCTGTCTCTTCCAGGTCCCAAATTGAAATTGAAAAACACTAGTATATATACTTTAGTCTCATTTTTAATTTAGAGATTGGAGTTTATTTGTTTTAGGTGATTGGGTCATTCTTTGCATGGTGTCCCTGTGTTAATGCATTATATTAAAACATACAATTCCGCTTCAGAAGCCAATAGGAAAACATTCTGGTTCTAAGTCAGTACTTTAAATTGAAGTAGAGACAGCAGTCATTTCTTCTCACTTTCTTCCCCTCCCTAACTCTGCCAAAATTCATCTTTCCAGCTGCAAAATAATTATGTTGACAGAATATCTCTCCCTGACACCTCTGTAATTCATTTTCAATCTTAGAATTTTCTGTTTCATTCTTTTCCTGCCATCAGGTTTTATTGTTTCTAATAATAAAACCTTGAGGTTTTTATAGTTTTCTCATTCTTTAAGGTAAAGGACTCAGGTTCTAGGGCCTTCCATTTAAAACTAATGCATTATGTAATGCTAATAACTTCCTTATGGATTCTTTGGAGGCAGTGGCTCCTCAACCTTTGGAAATGTGGTAAACTGATTTAAATTTTTATTGCTCGTTTTATTATTTTATTCGGGATAAGATCTAATTCTATCCTTAATACAATTTTTAATAGAATTTAAGGATAGGAGGTTACATAGGTCAGTTGATGTAAGATTTGGCTGTCATTTTAGACATAAATTTCAGCTCTTGGAAATTTTGCTTGGAAAATTATAAGTTTTCTTGCTTGGAAATTATAAATCGTGTTGGGCTCTCTCTTTTTCTAATTTGCATTTTCCCTTTCATTGTTTAAAATTCTCTTAATTTTTTGTTTTTTTTTTTAAAGAAATTATTTTATAAGCATGAATAAATTACTATTAAATTAGTAGTAAAAGTTTCCCCTGCCAGAAGTAATTTTTTATCCCTTGGTGGTGGTGTCTTGCATAGTGAAACTCTCTTCATTATTATTTTTCACGGAATCAGTTACTAAAAAAGAATGGGAAAACTGGGCTGGAAAGTGCAAAATAAAACATGTAGGTAATGTAGATATTGTGTACAGTTTACCTGTGTGAATAAGAGGGTTTTACTATGTTATTAGTCTTTTCAAATGTCATTAGGGTTGTCATTGTAAGTAACCTGTTCTGTCCATCTGGTGTGTACAGTAAATTTTGCAGAAATACTGTGCTTCGTGTTGGTAACTTAATCTAGTTAGTTGGCATTCTATATGACAAAATTCCATTTCTAGTGATGGGAATTCAGAAGAGCTAAATACCTGGGATATCTGCCAAATCTTACGTTAGTCTAGCAGATCTTCTTAGCCATAGCATGAATTTTCAGAAGAGGCTCAAAGATTCAGGTTGTGATTGTTATTTCTGTCTTACTATGTTTGTACTCGATCTTCCTTTTCCCCTCTCCCCAATCAATACTTTCTCTACTCCTTCTGCTCCAACTGGTTTGACTGCTGTCTTTTAGCTGTAAAATCAATAAAGAAGCAACACCTGGTAGAGGTCCGCTCTATGGCAAACCCCCCTGCAGCGGTGAAGCTGGCCCTAGAGTCCATCTGTCTGCTGTTGGGTGAAAGCACCACTGACTGGAAACAGATACGTTCCATCATTATGAGGGAAAACTTCATACCAACTATTGTAAACTTTTCTGCTGAGGAGATCAGGTGATTAAATGAACGTACAGTGCTATTGCTGGGAATTGAAAGAAATTGTTCATAACATATTTGGAGATAGTTGTCTTTATCTGGAAGGAGGAATTTAAATTTGGCAATGGAATTTCTTATATTTAGTAGAAATCCTCATTGACTTTGTGATAGTCATCTGCTTTGTATATCCTCTTTGGTGGTGTTCCCTAAAAGACACCATGTTTTATCAGACGGATGTCTTTTTAGGCAAATTTTTTGTAAGTGAAGAACTGAAATTTCTTTCAGACGTTCCCAGCAGTAGTGTTATAATTCCTTAACCTCTTGCATGCTGAATGCTGTTTTCATCCCCCACAAATAGCTGTGAGCTCTATAAGGAAGCAGCATCTTATTGAAGTAAGAGCAATGGCCAACCCTCCTGCTGCAGTAAAACTGGCTTTAGAGTCAATCTGTCTTCTGTTGGGTGAGGAAACTAATGATTGGAAAAAGATCAGACCAGTTATTCTCAGAGATAATTTCATCAGCAGCATTGTCAACTTTAATATTGAAGAACTAAGGTATTGGTTTTAGTTTTGTCTTTAGTGGTCATTTGGGGTAATGTATAGAAACACTGTAGAGACTTTGAAGTTGAACTTTTTGCACCTTGAAGAACTGAATCCCAAAGAGATGCTGACCTACTCTTCTCTTATATTTATTCTAAAGAGCATAATTCTTTTGCAGCGATGCCATAAGGGAAAAGATGAAGAAGAATTACATGTCAAATCCAAGTTACAATTACGAAATTGTAAACAGAGCATCCTTGGCTTGTGGTCCCATGGTTAAATGGGCAATTGCACAGGTAATTCTTGCCACATGGAATAACCATACATAGAAGCATTTACTCGTGAAATTTAGTGACTGGAAGATTCCTTAAACTGCCTGTAATAGTGATCAACTTTTGTATATCTGACAGCTTAACTATGCAGACATGCTAAAGCGAGTAGAGCCCTTGCGGAATGAGTTGCAGAAACTAGAAGATGATGCCAAAGACAACCAGCAGAAAGCTAACGAGGTGGAACAGATGATACGGGACCTGGAAGCTAGCATTGCTCGGTACAAGGAGGAGTATGCTGTGCTGATCTCAGAGGCCCAGGCAATTAAAGCGGACCTCGCTGCTGTGGAAGCAAAAGTAAGATTTTACTGCTGACCCTTAAGTTGGTTCTTGTTCCATTTTTCCAAATGCCAAATTTACTAAAAAAATGCTAGAAGATGGTATTTGAGAGTAATGTATAAGACTTTCATTTTGGTGGAAAAGGGGATGATATCACTTGATATATGCTGCTTTAAAACCAATTTGAGGCTGCATGGTGCAGGTTCTGTGTCAACAGGATTTTCTAAATGCCTTCATTAGCGTTTTGTGAGAGTAGAAATGTTAGGCACCAAGACTGTTTTCTAACCATTCTTGGATAATCAACTTAACTTTAAATGATGCGTATGGTTTTAATTAAATTGCATGCTTTAACTTTAGGTCAACCGAAGTACGGCTCTCCTCAAGAGCTTGTCTGCTGAGCGTGAACGCTGGGAGAAAACGAGTGAAACCTTCAAGAACCAGATGTCTACAATCGCAGGAGACTGTCTGTTGTCCGCTGCCTTCATTGCATATGCTGGCTATTTTGACCAACAGATGCGCCAAAACTTATTTACTACTTGGTCCCATCACTTACAGCAAGCGAATATACAGGTAAAAATCCACCAAGGCTTATATTCTGGTGTTAAAAGTATAAGACCAAACAATATTGGGTTGGCTTTTGCAAAGACAGCTAGTTTTGTGCAGAAGCAGGGCATTTTGATGAAGGAAAAATAACAAAGACTTAATATTTCAGTTCCGTACAGATATTGCAAGGACAGAATATCTTTCAAATGCTGATGAGCGGCTTCGCTGGCAAGCAAGTTCATTACCTGCAGATGATTTGTGCACTGAAAATGCAATCATGCTTAAACGGTTTAATAGGTATGTTTATAAGCAACTCAAACCTAATTCCTTCAAAAGACAACTAAAGTGTTTTTGTTTTGATAATTTTTAATCTCACCGTTGGTAAATTTTCAAACTTCCTTCTCTTCTCTGAAAATAAGCATTGGGGATGTTATAAGAACTGGAATTGGTTCACCTGGAGAGAAGAATAGAGTGACCATTGTTGTTCTTTTTCAGTGAGATAGGGATGAGGAAAAACAATTTAACTGCAGTGATGAAAGAAGGTGATTAGATACCAAAATATGATTTGTGTTTAAGCTCTCCTCTTTATAGTGACACATATGGAATAATTGTAAAATAAAATGTAGTTAGGGATGCAGCTGAGGAGATCAGGAATGGCTTCATGAAAAAGGTGGTACTTGAAGAAAATAAGTGATTCTGAGAGGCAGAGGGAAGGAAGGATCTTGGCATGGGGAATGACCATTGCGGAGGTAGACAGGAGATGAAGTACCAAGTATGAGCAATAATGCTAGTTTGTCAGAACCATGGAGAATCGGGAGGGAGAATAACGTGTAGCAAAGCTGGAAAGGTGGGTTGAGGCAGTTGCAAACGGCTTTAAAGGTCAAACTGAAGAGTTTATATCTGACTCTAGAGGCAATAGGGAGCTGATGGCATTTATTGAGTAAGGGAGCACCGTGACCAGATTGGGACTTTGGCAACAGTGTAGGGGATGGATTCAAAAGGGGAAGGACTCGAGATGAGGAAACTTGTTAGGTGGCAATAATCAGGGTGAGAGGTGATGAGGGCCTGAATTGGGGAATATCCATGTGAGTTGAGAAGGGGAGGAATGCAAAAGATGATGTGGATTTCAAAGGATAGGACAGACTTGGGCATGTTCAAAGGCAGTGGGAAAGGACCAGGAGATAGGGAAAGATTGAAGAGGAGAAAGGGAATGGGAATTATTGTGAGGGTGACATGCAGGAGGAGATGGGATCAAGGGAACTCACAGAAGGGTTGGCCCTTAGCAAAGGGAAGGGCTGCCTCATTCAAGATTGGAGGAGAGGAGGAGACGGTAGGGACTGATATCAAGGGGCTTTGAGACGGAGAAAAAGGGAGAAGAGTGAGCCCGTAAGAAGATGGTAAGGTTAGCCGAGAGGGTAGAGAACCTTGTGGGGAGGGATGTGGGAGGAGGCTTGGGCCTAGAGAGAAGAGATGGTTTGGAAAAGCTTCTGTTGGTAATGAAATGGAAGATTAATTAAGGAGAAATAAAGGGATTGCCTTGTTGCAGTGAGGGCTAATAATATAAGCTTGTAATGTACCCAGGCAGCACAGTTTTGTGACTGGATGCCCGATTAATACTATAATGCTTTGTATCATTGTAACATTTCAAATTAATTTTTATCTGGTGTAAGATTTGTTTTAAAATTAATATCAATTCCATAAATCTATATGCAAATCAAGGACATGCTCAATGAGGGTATTAGTAGAAAACAACCACCTCTTCACAAGTGATATTTACGCCAGTCTGCATATGTAGAACATAAAAGATGCCATGGTGCTTATTTTTTACTGATTATGAAAAAGCATTTGATTTGGTAGACAGAACAAGGTGCTGCCTTGTGATCTCTTTTGTAATAAAGCATCTCCCATTCCTATATCAAGATAAGTTCCAATTCCTCAGAAGATGTTTACAATTCTGATCACTAGGGTCTGATAACCAACAGATGGATGGTCAGACTACTCAGGGGCTGCCTGGTGCGTGGCATGTTGGCACAATTAGTGGGCCCCTTGTTGTGACTTTAGGGAGGACATCAATGAAAATGGCACAGAATGGGCAGGCATGGATGGATCACAGTCTGCGACATTGGAGAGAATTCCTGATTGATAAGATCAGAGGTCCATGTTAGTACTTAATCAGTACTTTTAGTATTTGGTCTTTGCAAATCTGGCATTGCTTGTAACAAAAGCTATAGAGTTGCACTGTTGTGAAGCATTTTTTTTCCTGTTGTCTAAACAGTGGTAATATGGATGTTCACACAATTCATCAAAAACTTAGCATTAGTTTGTGCACATCATTTTATAATATTTACTACATTCTTGTTTTCCCAATTTGCAATGGGTTTGTTTTTTTGGGTGTGTGTGTGTGTGTGTGTGTGTGTGTGTGTGTGTGTGTGTGTAATAAAGCTGACACTTTATTATGTGATTATAGATATCCATTGATCATTGATCCTTCTGGACAAGCCACAGAATTCATTATGAATGAATATAAAGATCGGAAAATTACTCGAACAAGCTTTTTGGATGATGCTTTCAGAAAGAATTTAGAAAGTGCACTGAGATTTGGTAACCCCCTTCTTGTCCAGGTACGTAGTTAAATTCCACAAAACTTATTTGTTCTCCCAAGTGTGTTCCTTTAGGCCAGAGTTTTTGTGTGTGTCATGAACTCTTTGGAAGTCTAGTGAAACCTATTATTCTTCAGAATGATATTTTTAAAAGCTTAAAATAAAATACGTAGGATTACAAAAGAAGCCAATTATTTTGAAATGCAGTTATCAAAATATATTTTTTTAAGTTCATGGATCCTAGGTTAAGAACCCCTGCTTCAGGCCCATATTTGATTTTTAGAAATTGTGAGCTAAGACAGAAGAAAACTATATATGAATAAAGACATTCTGATGATTTGAGAACCCTGAAGCTTTATTTAGTAGTAGAATAGAGGGGATAGAACTTAGAAATTATAACTTTACAAAAAATAGTATAAGAATAAACCTCATTATAAGTTCAGTGGGAAAACCTAACTTGAAACCTGTTTGGAAAGCTCTCAGCTAGTAAGTGGTTACAGATATTTATCCTGATTATTAAGAGTGTCGGGGCAGCTGGATGGCGCAGTGGATAGAGCACCGGCCCTGGATTCAGAAGGACCTGAATTCAAATCCAACCTCAGACACATAATACTTACTAGCTGTGTGACCCTGGGCAAGTCACTTAACCCCATTGCCTAGCCAAAAAAAAAAAGTGTCCATATCCATTAAGGTCATTATTTAGTTGATGCTAGTTGTGGAAGGTGTTTTATTCAGTATTTAAATTTATATTCCTATTTAGGATGTGGAGAGCTATGACCCAGTTTTGAATCCGGTGCTGAATCGTGAAGTCCGGAGAACAGGTGGAAGAGTACTGATTACCCTTGGCGATCAGGATATAGACTTGTCTCCATCATTTGTCATCTTCCTGTCTACCAGAGACCCAACAGTAAGGCAAACCATGTTTTAAAATGTTACGAAGTTTCCGGGTATTGTCAGTGAATACAAGACAGAATGCATTACGTTATCTCTTTTGATAGGTTGAATTCCCGCCAGATCTCTGTTCTCGTGTGACATTTGTGAACTTCACAGTAACCCGAAGCAGTTTACAAAGCCAGTGTCTGAATGAGGTTCTTAAAGCAGAGAGACCTGATGTGGATGAAAAACGTTCTGATCTCCTTAAACTTCAAGGTATGTGTCTAAATCTAACAGTAAGCTAAAATGAAGTCTGAGAAAAATATTTTTTATTAATTTATTTTGATTTATCACCAATCACTTCCATAAACTTTTGAGTTTAAAATTTTTCTCCCCCTCCCTCCCCAAGACAGCAAGCAATCTGATATAGGCTTTATATACATTCCTATTAAACATATTTTCACATTAGTCATGTTGTAAGGAAGAATTGGAACCAATAGGAGGAACCACCAGAAAGAGGAAACAAAACACAACAGAAGAAAAAAAATAGCAAATAGTATGCTTTGATCTACATTCAAATTCCGTAGTTCTTTCTTTGGATGTGGAAGCATTTTCCATCATGAGGCCTTTGGAGATGTCTTAGATCCTTGCATTGCTGAGAAGGGCTCAGTCTATCAACGTTAGTCAACACACAACGTGGCTGTTACTGTGCACAACATTCAGTCTGAGAAAATTTTATAGAAGTTTATTTGGCGAAAGTTAGAAGATTGAGGAGGGGCAGCTAGATGGTACTGTGGGTAGAGTGCTGACCCTGGAGTCAAGAAGACCCATTTTCCTGAGTTCAAATCTGACCTCAGACACTTAGTAGCTGGGTGACCCTCATTTAACCCTATTTGCTTCAGTTCCTCACCTATAAAATGAGCTGGAGAAGGAAATGGCAAACCACTCTAGTATCGTTGCCAAGAAAACCTCAGATGGAGTCCTGAAAAGTCAGACGCAATTGAAACAACTGAACAACCACAAGAACAGAAGGTTGAGGAAGTTCAGCATTCGAGGCTTTGTCTCACATATCGAGGGGACTTTGACAAAAGAAATGATGGATGTCATATTCTGCAGGACCAAGGAATAAACCTCCTCCTCTTCCTCGTCATCATCATCATAAACCCACATAGCAGGCCATGTAGTTCCTCCACCTGCCTCTCCCTTGGCAGGGCCTGACTTTCATAGTGAGCTATAACCTGGATATTAACAGTTATCCTCCTCTAAGAATTCCCCAGTTGAGGACCCCATGGAGACAGGCATGGCAGACTCTCGAGCATGAGTCACCTGGCCTTTCAGCACGGCTCTTTGCTTTCTGCTTGGGTCTATATAGCTTCTTGATGCCTCAAAGCAGCAGTTAGATGCTGTGTAAGAATCCTCTGGAACATGTCACGGAAAATTAACAGATGCTTCAGTTCATTCTTATTTGCTGTCTCTCTGAGAGAGGGAGTAGACCCCAAGGAAGGTTTGTATTTCCCTTTAAGCAGCTGCAAACCTCTTTACCACGTTGTCATTGTAGACTGAAATCAGTGCAAATACGGCATTTTAGATTGCTTTCCTTTTAGCAGTAGGTGTTAGCCATATATTTAGTGCTAGAAATTGTGCTGATCATTGCTCTTTTGCCAGTGGCCACCAGTGCCTTTGACCTTTCCCTTGATCTGTCTGCTGAGCTGACGACTAAGATATGGGGATGTTATCTTTACCTCTGCCCTTGTCCCATATCATTTTATGTCATCTTAGTCTTCAGGTCACTTGAGCTCTCTTATTACTTTTTCTCACTGCTTCCTCAGTTCTGTTGTTGATGCTTATGCCTCTCCCTATCCCTACCGTGCTTAGCCAGTTGGATATCCTAATGTTGTATACTGAAAAGATATTACAACTTGGCACCTCAAAACTTCATGTCTCAAACTGAAAAGCTATCCGTTTTCCTAACGTCTGTTGTTTCTGTTGACATCTTTAATTCTTCTCATCCCCTACGACCACTCATTTGTCAAATTCTGTCAATTCCACTTCCATGATTTTGCCACATTTGTCCCCTTTATTCTTCCACTGTGCCACCCTAATTCAAATCTTCATCTTTTCTTACTTAGACTATTGTTATAATTTTCTTACCTGCAGGTAACCTCTTCTCTAATCTTTAATAGCATTGCCCAAGTCTCTGGTTGTGTTGAATCCTCTGCTTAGAAAAACAGACCAAAAAAACAAAACAAACAAACAAACAAAAAAAACCCTTCATTGACTTATATTAACTATCAGAGTATAAATTCTTGAACTTGGTTTTCTTCAGATAGCATCTCTGTGAAGCTTTCCCTGACCCTCTTCTACAGAGTAGGCAAATGTTTGCTGAATGACTGAATTTCAATATTGAAGCTAAAGTTGTTTGTTTGTTCATTTTTAAAGGTGAATTCCAGTTGCGTCTACGCCAGTTAGAAAAGTCTCTGCTACAAGCTCTTAATGAGGTTAAGGGACGTATTTTAGACGATGACACCATCATTACTACCTTGGAGAATCTGAAAAAGGAAGCAGCAGAGGTCACTCGAAAAGTAGAAGAAACTGACATCGTCATGCAGGAAGTTGAAACTGTTTCCCAGCAATATCTACCACTTTCTACTGCCTGTAGCAGTATTTACTTTACCATGGAGTCATTGAAACAGGTAAAAAATACTGAGGCTCTTCCCTTGGTCTTAAACAGATTTTGGCTTTTTAATGTTTTCAGAGTTTATTTAATTTAGACTATCACTTTGGAGCTTAAATCTTAAAATTTGTTGCTTTTCCAAGCTTGGTTTGACTGGCTATATGTTTAACCTTATGTGCCAAATGACTCGTCATTTAAAAATCAAGTGTTTTTAAGCTCCTAATGTGCGCCAGGCACTGTGCTTGGAGTTGGAGATACAAAGACAACAAAAATAAGCCACTTCCCACTCTCGGGGATATGATATGTACAGTTATATATAGGGATATGCAACAGGAATAGAAAAGAAATCTAAGGTAGATGAGGATGAGATAGAGAGGAAGAGCACTGGCAGTTTGGGGGTTTAGGAAGGGCATTGTGGAGAAGGTATGGTACTTGAGCCGTGTCTTGAAGGAAATGAGGGTTTCTCTGAAGCAGAGGTGAGGAGAGCTTGCGTTCCAGACTTGGGGGATGGCCAGAAGAAGAGAGAGGCCAGTTTGGCTGAAGCATCTAAATTATGGGAAGGGGAGTGGTATATGATGGGACTAGGGGCTAGTTGTGAAGGGTTTAAAAGTCAAACGAGTTTATATTTGATCCTAGAGATTGTCCACTTTAGCAGCTCTGTGGAGGATGGATTGGACTGGGGAGGGACTTGAGGCAGGGAGGCCAATTAGGAAGCTTTTTATAATAGGCTGGAGCAGGGAGGTGGGGGGCTTTGAAGGATTGAACTAACATGGTGTCCATGTGGCCAAGGGCTATGGGATGGATACAAGTGATGCTGGAGAGAAAGTGACAGCAAAGTCTGTCAACTGCTCTATGGAGCGAGGGAGAGTGGGGAGTGGTGCATGCTTTTGAAGTTACTAACCTGTGAGACTGGAAGAATGGTGATCCCTTCAACAGAAATAAGCAAGTTTAGAAGAAGGGAGTATAAAGGGTAGAGTGCTGACCCTGGAGTCAAGGAGACCCATTTTCCTGAGTTCAAATCTGACTTCAGACACTTAGTAGCTGGGTGACCCTGGGCAAGTCATTTAACCCTATTTGCTTCAGTTCCTCACCTATAAAATGAGCTGGAGAAGGAAATGGCAAACCACTCTAGTATCGTTGCCAAGAAAACCTCAGATGGAGTCATGAAAAGTCAGATGCAATTGAAACAACTGAACAACCACAAGAACAGAAGGTTGAGGAAGTTCAGCATTCGAGGCTTTGTCTCACATATCGAGGGGACTTTGACAAAAGAAATGATGGATGTCATATTCTGCAGGACCAAGGAATAAACCTCCTCCTCCACTTGAGTTCCACTTGAGTAGTGATGTTGGAAACCACATTGCAGAAGGTTGAGGAGTAGGTGAGAGAAGGGAATGTAGAGGCAACAAGCATAGAGAGATTTTTTTCCAGGGATTTGGCTGAGAAACGCAGGAATGATACAGGAAGGTAACCTAGAGAGATGATAGGGCCTAATGAAGGTTTTTTAAGGATGAATGAGACTTAAGATAATATTCAAGTTAGATTTATAGTTCACATTAGTCACTAGCATTATTGTAGGTCTGAAGCATCATCAGATAGAGAATTAGAAATAAAATTATCCTACCTTTACAGAATTCAGGAAGAAATAGAAAACTTAGCATTCTTTAGTCTAGAAAGCCAATACTCCAGGAGGGGAGAGAATGTAATTGAAGGGTATGGATAGAATAAACATGAACTTAACCAGATCTTAGAATATTATAATTTATGGCTCCCCAGTCCTTCTTGGAGAGATAGTATTAGTTCAGATCAAAAGAATTTACATCCTATGTTACCTTAAGCAAATCGCTCAACCTCTTGGACCTCATTTTCCTCATCTGTTAACTAAGTGGTTTGGATTAGATGGCCTCAGAGTCCCTTCCATTTCTAGATTGGTAATCTTATGATCCTAAGTACAGTTTTACATGCTAAGAGTGCTATCAACTGAACATATGAAGAGTAAGGATTTAATGTACTGATGGGTGATCTATGACTGGTTATTAAGGGCAGCTGGGCTTATACATCGCTGAACTTTTGGAGCTGAGAGCAAGCAGGTTTTTCCCAAATCTGTCCATGCTTGTTGCCTCCATCTACTTTGCCCTCCCTCACTCCCTTTGTACCATCATTCTCAGAATGCTAAAATTGAGTAACCCATTAGGGTGAAACAGTGTCCATGTTCATGCTTGTGAGAGGGAAGTGGAGATTCAGAAACTTAGATTAAAAAATTTTAGCCAAATCAGTTGCAGTGTAAAAGGAAATTTATTTTTATGACAATGAAGTTTTTTTAAAATTGCTTTCTAAAAATTACTTAAAGTTTTATTACTGTCTTTCATTTGTTTATAACAATAATAATAATGATGATAATATTAATAATAATAATTAGCAGTAGTAGTAGTAGTATTCATTTATGTGAGGAACTCCACTGGTATAGATCAACACCTCCTATATAACTTAGAGTCTTAAAGTCTGTCTGCATTGAGAAGTAGAGTGATTTGGTCATGGTCACACAGCTAATATGAGTCAGAGACAGGACTTGAAACTCAGGTCTTCCTGATTTTGAGGCCCATCTTTTATTTACTCTGCCATGCTGCGCCTCTGATATTCTATTACTGTGATGACATTTCTTTTCTTTTTTTGTTCATTTTTTTCCATTTCCATTGTAGTTATTGTTTATATATTGTCCTCCTAGTTCTGCTTTCTTTAATTTATATCAGTTCATATAAGTCTTCCCATGCTTGTTCGTATGTTTCATGTTATTCATTTCTTGCGATATGATAATAATTCCATTACATTCCTATTTGTTTAGACATTTCCCAATTGCTAAGCATCTACTTTGTTTTCAGCTTTTTGCTATCATAAAAAAAGAAAGTGTTAACTATAAATATTTTGGTGTATTTGAGGCATTTTCTTTCTTCAGCCTACTGAGGGATGCCTAGTAGTGATCTTTTGATCCAGTGACATTGGCCTCCTGGCCATTCCTAGAACAGAACACCCCATCTCTAGGTTCTGGGCATTTTCTGTGGCTCTCTCCCATGCCTGGAATGTTCTCTCTTCTCCACTCCCAACCACTGACCTCCCTGGCTTCCTGTAAGTTCCAGCTAAAATCCTACCTTCCACAGGAAGCCTTCCCCAACTCTTCCTAATTTCAGGGCTTTTCCTTGTTTAATTATTTCCTTTTTTTTCTGTATAGTTTGCTTTGTATGTGTAAGTTCCCTGAGGATAGGGACTATGTTTTGCCTCTTTTTATATTCCCATTGCTTGGCACAGTGCCTGGCACACAATAGGTGCTTAATAAATGTTTATCTATTATATGGACATTTTGTTCACTTCATTAGCATAACTCCAAATTGTTTTCCATGATGGTTGGACCAATTCATAGATCTACCAACATTATAGTATGTTTATCTTTACACAGCCCATCAAATGTTACTTGACCAGTCTTTACCAATTGCTTGACCATTTCATCTTTACCAATTTACTAGGTGTGAAGTGAAACCTCAGAATTGTTTTGCTTTGTATTCCTGTTATTATTAGTGATTTGGTGCAGTCTTTCATGTGGACAATACTTTGTAGTTCTTTTGATTCTTATTAATTTATTTATTATTTGTGAGGCAATTGGGGTTAAGTGACTTACCCAAAGTCACACAGCTAGGAAGTACTATGTGTCTGAGGCTGGATTTGAACTCAGGTCCTCCTGACTCCAAGGTTGGTGCTCTATCCACTGCGCCACCTAGCCACCCCTGTAGTTCTTTTGAGACTGGGTTATTTATGTGCTTTGACCACTTACCTGTTATAAAATGGCTTGGCATTGTACACACATGTGCACACATACACCTTTGTATTTTGAATATGAGAGATACGTAATGCAAAAAGTTTTCTCCATTAAGCAGCTTCCCTTCTTATCCTGGTTGTGTTGATTTTCTGAATGATTTATCTTTTATGAACACCTCTATCCTTTGTTTATAAACTATCTCCTTAGCTATGTCTATTAAAGATTTTCTTCTGTTTCTCTTCTAATTTTTTAAAATGTGACTTTGAATACTTGGGTTGTATATCCATTTTAAGCTTATTATGATATTTGTTATAAGTACTGCAGCAAAATTTCTGAGGCCTGTGGTTAGAGACGAATCATAAGGTTACCAGTTATTATCTTCATGGATTAATTTGCTGGTGACCAGCTCCAGTGTCAGGAAGGGTTGTATTTGTTTCTGCTGTGTTTTCACTCTTATTTGGAAAGTGGAAGAAAGAAACAGCCATTTGAGAGAAATTCTAGTTCAAGTTAGGTGGATTTTTTTAAACTTTCTAGTTACTTGTTTTACTTTTGTGTGTAGATTTGAACTACAAAGTCTAACTTTGGCTAAATTATTTCTTTTCAGATACACTTCTTGTATCAATATTCCCTTCAGTTTTTCCTGGATATTTATCACAATGTCTTATATGAGAATCCAAACTTAAAGAGCATTACTGATCACACCCAGCGACTCTCAATCATTACCAAGGATCTCTTCCAGGTAGAAGACAAATTGCCTATTTTTCATGAAAAATATTTGCAAGTTTCTTGTAAAATTTGTTTACTCCAGTGTAAATAACTGATTCAATGATTTGTCTTTGAGAACATCAGCATCTGTGCCTTCTGTCAACAGGTGGCTTTTAACAGAGTGGCCAGAGGCATGCTACATCAAGACCACATCACCTTTGCAATGCTTTTAGCAAGAATTAAACTGAAGGGCACTATTGGGTAAAATTATTTTTGTTCTTTATTCAAATTCACCATAGGGCAAAGAACTAGTCATCATGTTTTCATTTACTTAACAAGTGCTTACTGAACCTAACCCTCATGCTGGGTACCAAGTAGACAATGTGGCTGAAAGCTCAAAGCCTTCATGAAGAAGGCTAATTAGAATATGTGTTCTCTTACAAATGATTACAGAGATAGAAACAAAGGGAAATAACTTTGTATTTTTCTTATGTTGTTGTTGAATTTCTGCTATAATTTTTTTTTATTCCATGACCAAGCATTATTTTGTTACTTTTAATGAAGTGAATGTGAAAATAAGAAACCTAAGTTAAAGAGATGTTTCATGTACAGGGAGCCTACCTATGATGCTGAATTCCAGCACTTCTTGAGAGGGAAAGAAATCGTACTTAGCACTGGTGTTGTTCCCAAAATTAATGGATTGACTGTAGAACAGACAGAAGCAATGATGAGACTGAGCTACCTTCCTGCATTTAAAGATCTAGTTGCAAAAGTTCAAGCCGATGAGGTAAGTGTTTTAATTAACAGTTATTATGAAGAAGCCTGGCCTTGTCCCAGAAAACTGGACGTAAGGAATTGTGCCTGTAAAACGGCATAAATTGTACTCTTGAAATCTTGACTCAGGCTTTCAATATGTGAGCCTCAAAAGAGCTTACTACTTTTTAGTGTGCTTTCTTTGCGTAATGGTAATGTGTTAAATGTTTCTGTTACAGCAATTCTGCATTTGGTTAGACAGCAGCTCCCCAGAGCAGACTGTGCCCTACCTCTGGAGTGAAGAAAAGCCTGCAAGTGAGTTTAGGTCCAAGTTTTTTTCCTCTTGTAATCATAACTCATTGAGGATTGATCCCTAGACTGCAGTTGTCTTGATTTTTCCGTCAAGTTTAATCTTGTTTCTTGAAGAGACCTCTCAAGTAATTGAAGTTAGGTAATGAGTAACAGTTGTATAAATTTCCCAGGCAAGAACAATTAACAGTGCCAAGTTCTTTGCTGCATAAGCTTCGAAGAATCAGCAGTGTGGGAACTTTAATTTAACAGATTATACCTGTTAATGTGCTCTCAGGATAAAAGGACCGTCAACTCCATGGAGTTTAGCTCTAGCAGTTTTGCAGGGGAGCAGTGGTTGACCTCAAGAGCTGCTAGCAAGTAATACAGAGGTCTGGGGATTTCATTTCCAGTATACTTAAAGACAGGTGGAAGTTTGCCATAACCCTTCAGCGGGCATGAGATGTTTCTTTTCTGCCAGGGCCTAGTAACCATCATCTGGTTTCAAATTACAGGCTCATCTACCTCCTAAAAAAAAAAGTAAAGAGGCTTTTCTCATGTTGTTGGGAGATGGGAGTGTCCTTAAAAGAACAGTAGGAAGGATTCATTATGAAAACAAATGGATTTAAAAAAGGATTCAGGGAAGCAGTGAGAAATCTTGACCTTATATGATGCACAGGAGAGAGAAAAGGACTAGTGAGTGCTTAGATGGAGTAGAAATTAGGATCTTCTTGAAGAAGGAGGGAGTTGGACCATGTCAGGAGGAAGCTGTTACTTGTCCTCTCAAGAATGGTGGATTGACAGCTACCATGAGATAGTTGAGTAAAGGCCAGAAGAAGAAGCAGGGGTTAGCATGCAAGTTGGCTCCCTAATGATGGTAGCTCTTTGTTAACCTCATAGTAATGGTAGGAAGTCCCAAAACTTGTATCTAGAATGCAACAGAGAACTTCCTAATGCATGTTTGTCAAGGCATTTTTTAAAGCATTTTTTATGTACTAGACACTGAAAATACAAGTGCAAAGAAAGAAATCAGCTCTGCTCTCAAGGAGCTTACATTCTGATGGGGGGGGAAATAAGTACATGTTCATAAGGCGTAAATACAGTTTATAAATACAGTAGCTTGGAAGGAAGAGCGAATCAAGTTGAGAAAAATTCCCACATTGGCCATGTTCAAAAAATATTTGGCTCAAACTGCACCCTGAGTCTGTCTGTCAGATAGGTAGCATGTTTCATTGTGGATTCTCTGGAATAGTGGTTAATCATTGCATTTATCAGAGTGCTTATTAAGTCTTTTAAATTGTTTATTTTTACAATTTAGTTGTCATGTAAATTGTTCTCCTGTTTCTGCTTCACTCTGCACCAGTTTGTACAAATTTTTCCAGGTGTTTCTGAAACCATGCCCTTCATCATTTCTTACAGTAGAATAGTATTAACATTCCCACACCATCATTTATTCAGCCATTCTCCAATTTGACAGTCACCTTCCAAGTTGTAAGTTTTTTGCCACCACAAAAAGAACTGCTATAAATATCTGCATAGATGTAGGTCAAGGTTGGGGAACCTTCAGCCTCAAGGCCACAAGTGGCTCTCTAGGTCCTCAAGTATGGCCCTTTGACTTGGATTCAATCAAAGAGCTGCACTTGAGGACCTAGATAGAGGGCCGCATGTGGCCTTGAGGCCTCAGGTTCCCCACCCCTGCTCTAGGTTCTTTTCCTCTTTCTTTAATCTCTTTGGAGTATATCAACCTAGAAGCAGTATCCCAGCATCAAAGATTGTGCATAGTTCAAGCAGTTCCAAATTGTTATCCAGAATGGCTGGACCCATTCAAGGCTCCACCATTAATGTACATTAACGTGCCTATTTTCTCAAGAGCCCCTGCAGTATTTATCATTTTCTGTCTTTTATCACTTGAACTTATTTCTCTTAATAGCAAAATTGTAGACTGTATTATGAATGATTAGTAAACTTCAAGAACAGGAAGTTCTGATCCCAGAGAGCTGACCACGCTTCATTAAAAACAAGTCCTACCACCAGACTAACTCATTTCCCTTTTGTGGCAGTGTCACTAGAAAGGTAGATTGGGATATAGGAATGTTATAAAAGTTAGGCTAGATTTTAGGAAATCATCAGTCTTTCATTCACATAGATAATCTACTGTCTAATGATCCAGTGGGAAGAATGGAGTCTGTGGGCTGGATAGTAGTGCTGTTATCTGGAAGCAGAAAAGATGTATGGCTGTACCCAGAGTAGTTGTTAGTGGTTCACATCATTTTGGAGGGAAGTCTCTAGCAGACTACCCCAGAGACCTATCCATGTTACAAAATGTAAATAACACAAGGCCAGTGACTTGGATGAAGACAGACTTTCAGATTTGCAGCTGACACAAGACAAGGAGACAGAACTAACACAGTTCATTAGGACATAATAATTATACTATATATAATATAAATATAGTATATATAATAGAAAATTATACTGATAAAATTTAAGAAGATGAAATATAATAGGGACAAGTGTAAAGTCTTAAACTTGCATTTAAGGAAATCAACTTTGCAAGGATAAAGTGGGGCGGGCGTCCATTGATAGCTTTTGTCTGAAAAGATCAGGAGTCTTTGAGTCAGGTACGTGATATGAAATCCAGAAAAGCTGATGCAACCTTAGGCTACCCCAAGAAAGGAGCAGTATCCAAAATGAGGGAGGCGAGAGTGCCACTTTACTCCTCTTGAGTCAAAATACACCTAGGTTGTTTGTTTTTTGTGTTTTTTTTTTTAAATCTTGGGTGCCACATTTTAAGAAGAACATTAATATACTGGAGGTGTATTAAGAAGAGGCAGCCTAGAAGGTGAAGGACCCATTCTGGGTGATCATACCACATAAGCATCAGTCGAAGAAACTTAGAGTGTGTATCTTGGAGCAGAGAACACACTGGGAGGAAAAAAGGGGTGCTGGTCTGGAGGAATCAGTCGTCTTCAAGCATTTGAAAGATTTTTGTAGAAGAGGAATGAATTTGTTCTGAATGGCAAGCTAAGATCAGTTTCTGGAAGTTGTAGAGATGGATTTAGCAGAGGTGGGATGGGCCACCTCATACCTGAAGTCTGCCAGCACCTGCTTGGGGTGTTACAGCTGGGATTCTTGGTAAAGTTTTGATTGGACTCTACTGCCTCTTAGGGCTCTTCTAATTCTGAGACTCTATGATGTTTTACCAGCAGTGGAAGAAAACAAATTCACACTTCTGTTCTGAGTCGAGTGGGCTCTGTCATCAAATGTGAAAAACAGAAGGGAAACCTGTAGGCAGACAGATTCCTTTAATATATTGAATGAAATTGAATTATTGGTGCTTTTGCACTTTCATAATGACCCTTCTTCATTCCAGCCCCCATTGGTCAGGCCATTCACCGCCTGCTGCTGATCCAGGCTTTCCGCCCTGATCGACTTCTAGCCATGGCTCATATGTTTGTTTCCACAAATCTCGGTGAATCTTTCATGTCCATTATGGAGCAGCCATTAGATCTGACACACATTGTGGATACTGAGGTAATACAAACCAGGTTAATAAAATTCAAAGCAGTTGAGGGAAACATTAGAAAGCAGAACTTTTATCCTACTCTCAATTCAGACAGTAGTTTTCTTTCATTTGGACGTCAGTGAACCTGCAAAATACATTAGAATTGGTATATGGAATGGGGCAGCTAGGTGGCGCCATAGTGTATAGAGTGCCGGGCCTAGAGTCAGGAAGACTCATTTTCCTGAATTCAAATCTGACTTCCGACACTTACTAGCTGTGTGACCATGGACAAGTCACTTTACCCTCTTTGCCTTGGTTTCCTCATCTGTGAAATGAGCTGCAGGGGGAAATGGCAAACCATTCTAGTGTCTTTGCCAAGAAAACCCCAAATGGGGTCATGATGAATTGGACATGACTGAACAACAAAAACAGAATGATTGGGGTTATGGTCCCTGTCAGCTCTGCCTTCACCCACATCTACTACCTTTTATTCAGCTCTCGGCATGTGAGGGACATGGAAAGCCTAGCATACATCCAGAGCAGAGAGACTAGGATTGTGAGGAAACTTAAACCTGTAGAAGAAAGCTCCATTGAAGGAGCTGGAGATGCTTCGGTCAGAGAAGAGAAGACTTGGGTGGGAGTGCAGGCTGTAATAAGTTGTCACCTATATAAAGGACTTTGCTCTGGGGTGGAACTTGCAGGGAGGCACATTTCAGTCACCGTTAGCTCTTTCCAGCACTGGCAGAGACTACCCCAAGGCACAGAGAGGGAGGCTCTAAGCAGAGACCTGAGGGAAGAGGGGAAACGGGTGCTTCCAGGTCAGACTAAGTGGCATCCTGACGTTCCCTTCCTGCCCCCATTCAGTGCTTCTTTGGCTTTGTGTATTTGGCCTCTTGTGCCTTCTGAGTAAGTCTGGCAGCTGAGGTGATCCCCAGAGGCCTTTTGTGAAACCTGTCTGGGGCTCATTCTGACAGCACTTTAATTTCCAATGAAGAAAGAAGTATATATTGTTCACAGTATTCCCTTTCTTCTCCCATTCCCATATGTTTGAGGATATATGGAAAGATAGGTGCAGTTTCTGATTTTACCTGGATTTTTATCATATTGAATACGTCTTTCGTTATAGGTGAAGCCAAACACTCCTGTCCTGATGTGTTCTGTGCCTGGTTATGATGCCAGTGGACACGTGGAAGATCTTGCAGCCGAACAGAACACACAGATTACATCCATTGCAATCGGTGAGGACGCTTGGCTCTCTTTTCAAGAAGTCCTAGCATCACTTACTGGGGACTGACAGCCGAGTGTAACCTTCCACTTTTTTCTGTGTGTAGGCTCTGCTGAAGGCTTTAATCAAGCAGATAAAGCAATCAACACAGCAGTCAAGTCTGGCAGGTAGATGTTGTTTTATTTTTTTCCCCAGTGACAATCTTAGGGGTCAAACGCTGTGGGTCATGGTGTGAAATGTGATGGAGTGCCTCCGCTTGCTTTCTCCAGGTGGGTGATGCTGAAAAATGTCCATCTGGCCCCAGGATGGCTGATGCAGCTGGAGAAGAAGCTTCATTCTCTGCAGCCCCATGCCTGTTTCAGACTCTTCCTCACAATGGAGATCAATCCTAAGGTAAAGCGTGAAAATCCTGTCTCGGTGTGATCTTCTTAAATGCTGGCTTAGTACAGGCTTTAATACAAACACGCAGGTTTGGGGCTTCTTGGGTGTGTGCGTTGGACTGTCACTGCCATCAGTTAGTTATACATGAGGAAACGTGAGAGTTGATACAGGGGCCGCATTTTTCCTCAGGTGCCTGTGAACTTGCTTCGTGCTGGACGCATCTTTGTGTTTGAGCCTCCTCCCGGTGTAAAAGCCAACATGCTGAGGACCTTCAGCAGTATTCCTGTGTCAAGAATATGCAAGGTAAATGCAATGCACACTACTCTTTTCTGTGCAGATTCCAAAGTTAAGTGTTTATTGACATAACCTATCTCCCTGTCTCCCCCCATGAGCCATTAAACTACGGGCCATCCCCAACTTGGGAGCAAGTGGTGTTCCCAAAGTTCCTTTCTTAAGCCAGTTATTCTCCATAGAAATAGTGCTATAGTTGATGATGAGCTCCTTATTACAGTCTGCTTCTGACCACAGTATAGCTGAACTGTAGAATTAGTGGTATCAGCCTGACTTGTCAGTCCCAGGAGGAGAGGATCTTGTAGTCTAAGGAGGATGAAGAGTTTCTATCCCCTTTCTTGAATAAAGCACCAGCCTTAGTTAACAGGTAAATTTCTTAAGCACCCACTGCCTCTCCCACTTCATAGTACCCAGCTGCTAAAATCAAATGTCCCACAGTCCCCTCCCCTCCCCACCCAAATCAAATGGCTAGACAGATTCTTCACTAGTTCAGATGAAGTAATCTTAGTGACCTAATTCACACTAATGTGTGACAGGACTGATAATTCCAGGAGTATCTAATTTGTAAAATTATAAGCAGTATAACAGAGCAAAGGAAGTTGATTCAGGGAATGTGGTGAAAATATCTTTGTGGCAGAAAACTAGTATCTGACTGGTAGGAATCCGCTGACACACTTTTTTTTTTCCTTGCTTTTTGGTGAAGCAATTGGGGTTCAGTGACTTGCCCAGAGTCACACAGCTAATGAGTGTTGTGTGTCTGAGGCCGGATTTGAACTCAGGTCCTCCTGACTCCAGGGCTGGCGCTCTATCCATTGCGCCACCTCGCTGCCCCCAGTTCTCCCACTTTCACAGCTTTTATCTCCTTCTGAGTCCACAAAAGTAACCATGGCAGCAGCAGAGATTGGCACTGCAATGTTATATGGATGAGGTATTTGAAGGCTAAGAGAAGGTCAGGACAAGTCAATACTCTCATTGGAAAAGATATTAGAAGTCATATGGCCATATATCATTGATTTAATTAATGCCTCAGAAATGGACCTCTTTTATAAAACTAGCCATGCATGCATTCATGTATGTATGTGTACGCACACATGTCTGTATGTATGTGTGCACATACACATGTGCTGTGTGTATATTTTGCTCATACTTTACAGAGACAAGAAATTCAGGGTGGAAGAGGCATTTTGTTGAGTGTCAACATCACCTACTTAATAGGGGATGCGCTGAATGGGAAGCTGAATCATGACATAAGAATTCATGAATGTCAGGGAGCCTTCTTCAGGTGTTTAGGAAGCCATGGTCCTTCTCACCTTGACAAAATAGAAAGAGGTTGCTAGCCGTGTCAGCATTCCCCTTCTCTGGATGAGAGATAGTCCTTTTAAGGATTCCATGGGACATTGGTAGCATACTTCCTGGAAAAGTAAATGCCCATGTTTATTTTGGTCATTGGCATATTATTAAACATTCTCCTTTTTTGGAGCTTTTTACCAGATGAATGGTAAAATTATTGTGTTAATAAATCAATAATTGATCATTAAATAAGATTTTGAAGGGACAGAGATGGTGGCCTCAGTGATCAGTTTCTTAGTTGATTTATAAGTATTGTTTTCCTTCCATAGGGTATGAATATAGTGACTGGGCCTGAGATTTCATTATAATAGGTATCTCCCAGATAAGGTGGACTCCCCCCACCCTCAGGTACTAGGGCAAGTAGGCACTAACTCTGTAAGTTATAGTCTTAGAGAGTTTCCTAGAACACTGAAAGATTAAGTGATTTGCCGAGGGTCATTTAGCCAGTATGTGTCAGAGAGGGGACTGGAACCCAGGTCTTCCCAGCCCTAAGGCTTGTCCTCTGTCCGTAAATCCTCCTTTCCAATAACTTCAAACACATCATTATGCCTTCTATGTACTTCTATACTGTCCTACCATTAGTAACCAGGTTCCCACCTATCATTAGACCTGATCCTATTTTTTTAGAAATAATATGCACACGTATGCTCACGCATACACTGCAGTGGAATGATTAGATAATACTATAATCCTGTTGTACTCTGCCCTGGTATCCTATGGGCACCACATTTTAGGTGGGACATTGCAGAATTTGAGCAGATCCAAAGGAGGGTAATTAGGATGACTAAAGGACTGGAAACTGCCCTATAGCAATAGTATTAGCATTCACATGGGACTTTACAGTTTGCCGAGTGCTTTATAAATATCATTTTATCTTTGCAACAACCTTGGGTGGTAATCCTCATTTTACGGATGAGAGAACCGAGGCAGATGGGGGTTAAGTGACTTACCCAGAAATACCCAGCCACTTAGTGTCTGCAGCTGGATTTGAACCTAAGCCTTGATTCTTGATTCCAGGTCTAGCACTCTATTTACTGCCGTCTAAGCTGTTTTACAAGTACTAGTTAAAGGAGCTGGAAAGTGTTTAGCCTAGAGAAGAGAAAACTTGGCGAAACACGTGCTCATTTTCTTCACAGTAACTGAAGGATTTTTATGGGATAGAATTGTTAGAATTAATATGTGTTACAAGAAAGGAGGTAATTAGTAGAAATTACAGGAAAGCACATTTTGGCTTCACATAAGGAAGAGCTGCCCCAAAAGGTAGGAAATTGGCTCATCATTAGAGTTGAAGCCAGAAGCAGGGATGACTTGATTTTAGGGATCATTATAAAGGAGAGACATTCATTAGCCAGGGGTTTGCAATAGATCAGAGGTGTCAAACTTGCTGCCCAAGCTAATTAAAATTGGGGAAATGCCTAGCAAAATAAATTTAAAAAATTTTAAAATACAGCATGGATAAGGCCAGTTTGTGGTTTTCTGAGTCAGTACATATGGTCTGTAAGGAACCAAATGTATTTGAGTTTGACACCACTGTAATTGGTGACTTCTGATGCCCTTAACTAGGCTTCAGTAATTCTATACAAATTACTGCTCATTAGTAAACTGTTATTTTTTGGTTTTGTCTTTATGTGCACATTGCAGGGGCTTAATCACTCTTTGAAGGCATGGGGGAGGGGAGTGGGGTGGATTGTTGTTGTAAACTTATTATTTATTGCACTGATTCTGATTTAGTTGTATATGCTAACTGTTCAGAAGTTGGAGCCACCTTATGTGTTTTTTCTCCTCTTGGCGATTTCTCTAGTCTCCCAATGAGCGTGCCCGCTTGTATTTCCTTCTGGCCTGGTTCCATGCAATCATCCAAGAGCGCTTGAGATACGCACCCCTGGGCTGGTCAAAGAAGTATGAGTTTGGAGAATCTGATTTACGCTCTGCCTGTGATACAGTAGACACGTGGCTTGATGATACGGCAAAGGCAAGTCAGTTCAATGCTTCCTCTTAATCATCTCTTTCCTTGGGAAACATTTAGATTAGTAAGAAATTATGATGGAAATGGGCTGTATTCTGTGTGCTGGAAATGAGCTGCCACTTAGTAATAGCCCAAACACAGCAAAGGCCATTTTCTGAGGTTCTTTAGAATTGAAATCCAGATTTTTCCCATCCATCCTTCATTCTTGAATTGTTGACACCGGTCATTCTCTCTTCCTAGGGACGACAGAACATTTCTCCTGATAAGATCCCCTGGTCAGCTCTGAAGACACTGATGGCCCAGTCCATTTATGGAGGACGTGTTGATAATGAATTTGACCAACGTTTGCTGAATACTTTCCTGGAGCGTTTATTTACAACTAAAAGCTTTGACAGTGAATTTAAACTGGCCTGCAAGGTTGATGGGCACAAAGACATTCAAATGCCAGACGGCATCAGGTATTCAGATGCTTTCATTTGCACTTAATTTGTAGCAGGGATTACTTGCCTTCTGACTCAATGTAGAGCTTTTTTTTTTTTCTTCTATCTACCTTGACCTTTCACCATGCAAGGTCTAGCTCAGTTACATAAAATACTTGGAATCACATACATAGTCCATGATGGCACTTCTGAATTGGTCTGTATATGTTTTGTTGTTGTTGCTTTTTTTCCCAGACGAGAAGAATTCGTGCAGTGGGTTGAACTGCTTCCGGATACCCAGACACCTTCGTGGCTTGGCTTACCAAATAATGCCGAGAAAGTCCTTCTCACCACCCAGGGTACCTTGTTACTTCTGTATCTCGTACAGTTCAAGCTTGTGTCTTGTGCTTGAGCTGGTGGCCTGGTTTAAGGATTTTTCTCTTTGTTGCTACTTTTCTTCTTCTGGTAGCCTTTTGAGCTTGCTCCCTAGCACCTCAGTTAGCAAGTAAACAGAAGGAAGAAAACAGTTGAAATAGTAGACATTAGCATCATGTTCACAGCTGCATAAAAGGTTTGTTAGGAGGATAAGTTGAAGTTATTGGTAATATTCTTGCAGAGGTTCTAGAGCTTGGAAAAGATCTTCAAAATCATGGAGTCCAAATTTTTCATTGCATGGATGGAGAAACAGAAACCTAAAAAGGTGGTGACTTTCCCAGGATCACACACAAAGTAAATAGCAGAGCAGAGATTTGAACCTGGGTTTTCTTAATGCTAATATTCTTCCCACTATACCACTGAATCCCATTTATGTAGTATTTAGTGGACAGGAAAGTGTTTTATGAACTGATGCCATTAGTTGATCATCACCTTTAAAGGATAGGTTAAGGTAGATGAGGAAAAGATTCCCCGAGGTTTTCGTTTGTAAGCTCAATAGCTTCTCTGGAATTAGGACCTATGTAAACTTATTCTTTGTATATTACAACATGCTGTTCTAAAATGAGATTTAAATGAAGAGAAACCTTTTCTTTTTATTGAAAACATAATTTTGGAATAAACACAACATTTTTATACAAAGCAGAAATAGCATAACACTACTTTTTCTACATTAGAATACACATAATTATGTTTTTTCATCATCCTTTTCCACTTATGAGAATAAAGATTAAAGGAATTACTCAGGGAACAGGGAAACTTAATTCAGTCAATCTCAGTGATGTTTCAGGGTGTGAAGTGCTGTAGAAGTGACTTTCTTTTGATTGAGGAGAAAGCTAATTGGCCTGATAAGATCAGATTTCCAGTTGGGTATAGGTAGTCTTTTAAAATGTTTTTGAGTTTGTCCATATCTCAGAGGTGTGGTGGTCACACATTTATAGTGATTAGACTTTCAAATGAAACCTGTTTTAGTGGGGTGGCTGTTGTTACTGCTCTGTGGGTTCAGTTGTTCTTCCTTTTCTGAATCCACATAACAGTACTGCCATATAGCCCGCATTTCTCCATGTTACACCCTGGAATACGTTGAGAAGTTACCAAATAACTTGCTAATAAATTTTAGGTTCATTTTCGTAACCACATCATTCCTCCGTCTGCATGCACTGTTTGTGATGAAGCCCTGCAGACTTTCTGTGATCAGCACTTCCTGTTCTGATGCTTATTAACATCCCTTTAATAACATGTTCTAGAATCTTGCCAAACTCACCAGCCCATGCTCACCAGACCACTTTTCCCCTTTTGAAAGTAAGGCCAATGTTTATCCTTCTCCAGGGCAATTCTCCACAGACTTTCAAAGCAGCTGCACTGACCAGTTTTCTCAAGATTTGGGAGAGTTCATGTGGGCCTGGTGATTTGAACTAACAGGGACAATTCAGAGCTCTCTTAATATCTCTCTACTTATGTTGACTGTCAGCTCCCTATCGGCCACTTTTATTCTATCTTTTTCAGTTTAACAAAGATTTTTTAAGTACCTGCTATGTGCTGGGCCCTTGAGACACAAGGACAAAAAGGAACAACCCCAGTCCTTAAGGAACTGACATTCGTCTTGGGGGATACATCCTGAGCGTCAACCTCAGGGGAAGAGGAAGGCCTTCACAAAGGGGGCATCTTGAACTGAATCTGGAAGGAAGCAAGAAAATTATTTGCAAATTATTTTTAGCATTGGAATCAGAAGCAAAGAGTTCAGTAGTTCTGTCATCTTTGTATCATCTTTTATCATCCAAAGCACAGGTTCTTTCCCTTCTTTGAGTCTTCTTTTTTCCCCCAGTGTAACTTTTTAAAAAGCAACATTTTTTTGTTTTATTTAACTTTCCTTGCTCTTTTCCTTAAGCTTATTGGAAGTTACAGTGCTCCCAGCACTATTATTACTGGATTATACTGCCCTTTTGTGGTTCTGTTGCATTATCTGCCATGGTTTCCATCTTACCTTTATTCCTTTTTTTTTTCTTTATTAAGTAGGTTTCTGTTTATTATATATCCACTTTGGTCTCTTTAGATCCATAGTGTCAAATTCAGAGACCACTAAACCAACTGAACATATTAACTTTATGTTCTGTTAACTCCCCCACCACCCACCACCCCATTCCCCCATTTCTTTTTCATTAGAATTGTTTCTCTTGATCACTTCAGAGATTCACTGTGGAAAGCTTCGCAGTTTTCTGGCCTATCTTTCAAGCGTTGCCTTTCCTTTCTGTAAATGAAATTGCTTTCCAGAAATCAAAAGGGTATTTAGACTATGTCCTCACTTTCCTTATCACAAATTCCAAAATGGAATTTGTCACTTCTTTCCACCTTTCCTGCCCTTACTGGTGAAAATGATCCAGAAGATGGAGATCAGTTTCCTTCTTGAGAGGCAGTATAGAGAGGGCTGGGGGTATCTACAGTCAGAAGACCCTTGTTTGAATCCACCTCTGCCATTGACTGTCTAGGAGACTTTTAGCTTCTGTAAATGAGGGGGTTGGGTGAGATGGCCTCTTAAGGTCCCTTCCAGATCTCAATCTCAGATCCTGTTTTCCTGTCACCTTTTGAAGGGTGAAATTATCAACTATTATGCTTTCAGCAGATGTCCAGATAAATCACGTTCCCCATCACTCCAGTATCATGCTTCTGTGCTAGCTTTGTCAACTGATTTCTAATACATTTATTTCTTTATGTTAATATGGTCTGTGGCATATTGTGTTTCTTTGATCTTTACCTAAAAATGTTCTCCACATGCTTCCCGTATTCTGGTTCCTAGATTTCTTCCCAAAATCACATCATCTTAATATTTGATGCTATTCTACTCCCTTTTCTTTGTACCTATCTTCCTTTGAATTCTGGTCATGAGTCCAGGCTTGTCAAGTGTCAGTACTGCTTCATGGGGTGAAATGTACCTCCTTGTTTTAGAATCTCTACTTCATTTTTTTTTGTTGTTGTTTAACCATGTATTGTACATTTCTCCATGGAAATCTGCAGACCAGTGGGATTTTTTACTGGCTTCTTTGTTAGGTTTCTGCTTCTTATGAATTTCTGGGTAGTTCTTCTGTGATTTTTCTTAATGTTGTCCCTACTTTCTGTGGTTCCCAGCTAGAGAAAGATACATAGGCAGTTTTCCCCCTTCCCCTTCCTTTTCAGTTTAAAACTGTTTTGGTAAGCTTTGTAGGATCCAAAGCAAATACGTTCTTACTAGTCATTGTTAGTACTCTGACTTAATGAGCCTGTCATTCCTACATTTAATCCATGGTCCAGAAATAGATTCCTTTCCCTTGAACTAGCTCTTAACTTGACAAGTCTACTATTTTTCCTGATTGACCACAGTGATGAAAACACCAACTCTGTGCCAGAGTTCTTCAGCTTCTTGTCTCAGACTTTGTGCACGTTAGTCATTCTTTCTGGATTCCTTTCGACTCACCGAAAGTGGTCAGTTGTCATCACGTCTGACAGATCTGAGAAGTTCTCTGTCCTGGTTTGGATGCATGCCTCTGGAAGGCAGCAGTCCTTGCATTCAAGTAGTCTATGATCTAATATGGGAGAAAGATGCATGGTAAATAAATAATTGATACAAAAGAGATTGTGATAAAAGCAAGAGAGAGGTTATTTGCTAGTGAGAACTACATCTTTTCAAGTGATGAGATCAGATATAAAGTTCAGTCATTCCTATTAAATAAAAGTGACTCTTTCTTACCAAAACTATTCCATTTAGGTTTAGAGTTAACCTAGCTTCAGATTTCTTTTTTAAAGTAAACAAATTTTAGACAGTTCACATTCAATTTTTTTTTTGTTTTTTCAAACTCCTTGCTACCTTTAAATGTATGTGTGTTTGGCTTAGGCATTGACATGATCAGTAAAATGCTGAAGATGCAGATGTTGGAGGATGAAGATGACCTAGCTTATGCAGAAACAGAGAAGAAGACTCGCACAGATTCCACCTCTGATGGCCGCCCAGCTTGGATGAGAACTCTCCATACCACTGCGTCCAACTGGCTGCATCTCATACCGTTGACTCTGAATCACCTGAAACGAACTGTAGAAAACATTAAGGCATGTTCCTTCTTTTTTTTATGATTTAATGTTTTATTTTTTTCACCAATTACCAGTAAAAACAGTTTTTAAGTATTTTGAGTCCCCGCCCTCATTGAGAAGGCAAGCAGTTTGATATAAGTTACACATGTGCAGTCAAGGCATATTCTTTAATTCATTTTTCCAAGTGTCTTTAGGAAGGAAACTAGAATAGCTTTTCTTGGTGAGAGCTGAGGCCATGCTGTACAAGAAACAGGTGTCTTTTTTAATAGTCCGCCATTCAGAGAATGGCTCACGGGACAGATGATTTGATTCCTTTGTGGCACATTTATATACATATATTCTAGGAAGAGCAATGAGAGTATCCCATATATCTCTAAGTATGGTAAAGGCATCTGATAACAGAAACCTTTATAAACTCTTGTCCAGCGTATGCTCATTCTAGTTTTAGAAACTCACTTTTCAAGGTTCTATGTGGACACGTGTGTAGTTTTTTCATTGAACAAGTAGAAGATGCAGCAGATTATCCTTTGTGCAGCAGAACAGCAGACCTTTCCCCTCTGTACGTTTGTACTTGCTTGTTCATCAAACTTAGCTAGGAGCCGTTCCAGCCTCTACCCAGCTTTGCAAAACAGATCTCCCATAACAGATGCCATCCTCCAAGCTCTGGTTTGGCAATTTCCACCTGCCTCGGGGGCATCAGCTCTCACTGGCCCAGCCACACTGAGGAGGGTGCTCCAAAATCCAAGGGAAGCCCTGGGATGCTTCTTCAGGAATCAATGGGCATGTTGTGTCCCAGTTATGTGGCAGGGACCAGATGAGGTACTGAGTGTGCAAGAGAAAAAACAGCATCCCTGCCCCCAAAGAAACAACACACAAACACATAAATAAATATGACATATATGCAAGGAAAATGCAAAGTAATTCCAGGGAGCCATGTAATCTTGTGGGGCTCTGAATACTGATTTTGCTTGAGTTTTGGAAGAAAGCTGCTCTTTTCCCTTCAATTTATCTGTAATTCACTTTAAATGTAGGACCCTCTATTCAGATTCTTTGAGAGAGAAGTGAAAATGGGAGCCAAGTTACTCCAAGATGTCCGCCAGGATCTTGCTGATGTGGTTCAGGTGTGTGAAGGAAAAAAGAAGCAAACCAACTATCTCCGGACACTTATAAATGAACTGGTGAAAGGTACTGTGCTTTCTGCTTCCTTGTTGTAGAATGTTCTCACTAGCCAGGGTCTGTCATAGAGTCGTGAAGGCTGATCTTCAGGCTCCTGAAGTGCTCTGTAAATGAGTGATGGCTAAGCATAAGATGTTTGAAATAAGCTTCATCTTCTAAAAGATACATTTGACTACGTGAAGTGGTCATTCCTTCTGGGGGCAGACCATTGTGGACCTTGGGTTGGACATGCTGTCTGAGGGAGTCTCAGGTTCTTTTTTTCTGTAACAGCAATTCATTGCCCGTGATGACAGCAAATCCACTCTAATGTTATAAAAGCTAAATGTTAAAAAGATTTGGGTCAATTTATGTTCACTTTTCTTAAATACTGCCTTGAGAAACCAAAGTGGCACAGTAGATAGAGCAGTGTACTTGGAGTCAGGAAGACTGAGTTCAAATCCCATCTTAGACCTTACTAGCTTTATGACCCTGGGCAAGTCATTTAACTTCTCTCAGCCTCAGTTTACTCATCTGTAAAATGGGAATAATAATAGCACTTCATGGAGTTCCTGTGAGATACATAAAGCACTTTGCAAACTTTTAAAGTTCTGTATAATGTTAGCTATTATTACTGTGTGCAGAGCGCTAGTCTAAGCTCTGGGAATACAAAGACAAAATGAGAAGAGTCTTTTGGGGAGATACAACATTGATTTCTCTTTCCTTCATTGCCCTGTTTCCTTCTGTAGCCCCAAAGCTCGTTAGTCTGCCTGCTCCCCTTTCTGCCGTGCCAGATTAAAAGGTTCCTTATCAGGGCTGGGATCCTCCCAACCCTCAGCCAGGTTGCTAAAGAATGTTGGTCATAAGTACTGAGGGAGGTCTTTGTGTGCAAAGGATGGATCGTGTCCATTTCAGAGGAAAGGTGGACTAAGGCTAGATTTTCCAACATGTCTTACCTTTATGTGTTCTTCCACCCAAGTCTGTCACCGCTGGAGGTGACTCTTGTGCCAGGTAACACAAAGCTGGGAAGGCTTCAGGTAAAGGCCCAGTGACAGACCGTGTGCGTGGAGCTATTCTCTGAGAACCAGGCTAGCTAAATCAGAGAATCTTCTCGCCAGATGGTGAAGGTTCCAGATGAACCCGCAAAGACTCAGGTAGAGAGGGATTAATGGATTCTCTATTAGTGAAGGAAGTGTGTCAGTGAACTCACTGGACCTGGAAGTGTCTCCATCAGCTGCTGCCAGTGTCCTTTTACATGGTGTAGAATGAAAGAGGTTGGGTTGGGCTGGGATGGGGGAGGGGCAGGGAAGGTAAGAAAAGATTAGATGAAAATACTGGTACATTTTTTAAACGTCTAAATTGATCCTTTCATTTTTTTGGAATATACTATCACTGAACTTCCAGCCAACCAATGATCACAGGTTTCAGATGCTTTGGGAACAGGATTCCTTAAAGGGAAATAATATAGGATAATTAAAACTATTCATTTGTCTCTATGCCTGGTGTTTAAAAAAACGTGTCCTGGAAACACTGGATTTGGTTCCTGGACTTGAATATGTTCTGGTTGCAGGCATCCTTCCCAGGAACTTTTGGATAAATCTGTTCATATTATGTGTAAAAGGTTAGGGGTCTGGTGACTTCAAAAATGCTAGATATGGTGATTAGAATGGAACCTACCCAAGTGAGCAGAGAAGATTTTTACAAAATGTATGTAGTTTTTGAGCTGGCATGGTGTTAGGCGCTGTCCTGAATATCCTCATTGTCCTTTTGCAGGTATCTTGCCCCGGAGCTGGTCCCACTACACGGTGCCTGCCGGCATGACGGTTATTCAGTGGGTTTCAGATTTCAGTGAACGAATTAAACAGCTTCAGAATATTTCCCTGGCAGCGGCCTCTGGTGGGGCAAAAGAACTGAAGGTACTTCCTCTACCTAACTGAAGTTATAATTTCCATTGGAAATCCAGTTGTCAGCGGCTGCTGTGGGCTGACATTAAGGAAGGAGTCAGATATTGGGAACCTAGTTTGGCAGGTTTATAGCATGTCATTTGAATTAGCTGAGACTGCCAAGTAGATGTTAAATGTAATCTCTTGGGATCAAGAGGTTGGCTTGGTTTTTAATTTCGAGGCAAACTCAAGATGTGCTTGTAGAAAGTCCGTTATCACCCCAGCATGCTGAGAGACCTTAGGTTTGAGAAGAGAAAGATTCCCATTATCACATACATGACCTAAAAGCTGCTTTTTCTTTTGGAAACAGAATATCCACGTGTGCCTTGGTGGCCTGTTTGTTCCAGAGGCTTATATTACAGCCACCAGACAATATGTGGCCCAAGCAAATAGCTGGTCCCTGGAGGAGCTTTGCCTGGAAGTCAATGTCACCACTGCCCAGAATGCTGTGTTGGATGCCTGCAGCTTTGGAGTCACAGGTAAGCCAAGGGAAAGACCTCTCCTCCTGCCTGTTCTTGGTCTGGATTAAAGGCTTGGTGTGGGCACAGTTATAATTGAGATGGTGATCTGAGAGCCACAAAGACTGCTAAATGTTGAGGTGTATATTTATCTAACTTTCATGCTAAACAAATAGACTTGATATGACCTCTTTCTAGGCAGTTTTCCCTTTTCATGTTTAAGTCTCTGGGGAGGGTGGGTATTAACGCTATCAGACTTCCTATTCACTTTGATTTTATTTTTTAAATTTGTTTAACATGTTTCTTGTAGGTTTGAAGCTTCAGGGAGCCACATGCAACAATAACAAATTGTCTCTCTCCAATGCAATTTCAACCATACTACCTATAACCCAGCTTCGTTGGATCAAACAGACAAATGCAGAGAAAAAAGCTAATGTGGTGAGTTAACCTTGGCCGGAATGGGGGAGGGGGGGTGGGCTGCTGTGCTGCCAGGGCTTTATCATCTCAGTGGTTGATGCTTGTGCTCCTTTCTTTAGTTTGCAGGGGTTTTTCCACAGAGGTTCACACCCCTGTTGTCCTATAAACATATGGTACTTTCCAACCTCCATAGGCCTTCCCCTCCCCATGGGCGCCTAAGTCCACGTAGTTACTTTTTGGTGGAAATGCAATACATCAGTGCCAAGGGCCAGGGCAGGTAATAGTGCTTTGGGATCGTGATGGCTGGACAGAACCTGCCTGTTGACTCGGAAGAAGAATTGGAGTATCTGGTGACTGAGGGCCTCAGCTGCTGGCTTGAGTCTTGCAGTTCACCTACTCCTCAGTGGAGAAGTTTTCTGCTTTCTTGTGTAAGGCCTTTACTACTAGAGTGTTTATTTTCAGCTTTGTTGCTTTAACTGATTTTGTGATGAACCATGCATTTTCCCATTGCTCAGTTCTGCTGATTTGGTTGTAACATTTTGCCTTGAGCACTGAGCTCTTTTTGTATGTTTGCTCTCTCTTCTCCAGGTCACCTTACCTGTCTATCTGAACTTCACCCGGGCAGATCTCATCTTTACTGTAGACTTTGAAATTGCTACCAAGGAAGACCCTCGGAGCTTCTATGAGCGCGGTGTGGCAGTCCTATGCACGGAGTGATCTCCTGCCGGTCTTCACTCTCGATTCGTGCCCTCATGGCACCTAAAATACTGTTTTTCATGCTTAAGTTGTGTTCAGAGGGTTATGGATTGTATGAAAAGGGATTTGTGTAAGTGGGTAAATGGGAGATTGGAGGCATAGAAGTGACAGTGAGAAGGCACAAGGAAACAGTGGTTTGAGATACAGTTTTTATATTGTGAAATAAAATTTTCAAGCATGACTGTGAGTCAGTCTTCTTCCTTGACATCATGTGCCAGCTTCTGCACCTGTTGGGAGCAGATGAAAATGCTACAAGTTGTGGGCAGAAGGAACAGTCAGTGGGCATTGTGAGTGACCCCCGTTCTGCACTGACCTTAGGGTCAGGGCCATTACACTTTTAAATACACAGTTGAGCTTTTAACATATGAGGTGCCCGTATTCCAGGTGTGAATGGGAGCTGGAAAGTACCTGGTGTCACAGGGTAGAAAAGAGCATTGACTTTGGAGTCAGGAGAGCTGAGTTCAGATCCTGTTGCTGTCATCTGTACTACGAGGAAGGGAGATTAGATGGTCTTTCAAGATTCCTTCCAATTCTAATTTTAACCCATTATGTCTAGTCCAATCATCTATTGCAGTGCTTTTGATAAAGTTGCAATTATTTTAATATGCCAACACTGTTGCAAAGAATCAAGTCGAGAAATTGTATGAAGAATTCAATCACAGCTTCCTAATTAAACAAGTATATATTTTAATGCTCAGTAACTTCGATACAAAAGTGTACACAAGAAGATGGGGAAAATGTCTGTGTTAAGACATGGAAGCCAAAAGGCTTGTAGAGGACATAAAAGCATCCTGTCGAAAGTGGGGAAGTGCTAGACATGACAAGCACCTCATCGCAAAAAGGGAAACATCTCCACAGATAGCAAACAACCATTTATCACTGTAGGAATGTCTGGGTACAGTCAGACAGCTGTCTCATTAGAGCTAAGATCTGAATCAGCACCAAATTAGGAGAGATTTTTAAAAGGTTATGGTGTGAATTAACTCCAAGCTGACTTATTTAAGCAAGTTATCAACATCCAAAAATGGGGAAGTGGATAAAAGAAGAGACATCGACACAAACCATTGCTTTTTTTTTTTTAAAGGAAGTTCAACAATGTACATCAACTGCTAAAAAGCGTAGTAACTGCCCTTACCCCAGCAAACACTTCCTCTCCTTACCAAATAGAGATGGCAGCCAGCATAAACTCATTTGTAAAAAAATATTTTGGAGAGCGATAGTACAAGATTGCTCAAGATCATCTCATAAAACAGTATCCGAGGGGGCAGCTAGGTAGGTGGCACAGTGGATAGAGCACCAGCCCTGAAGTCAGGAGGACCTGAGTTCAAATCCGGCCTCAGACCAAACACTTGACACTTACTAGCTGTGTGACCCTAGGCAAGTCACTTAACCCCAATTGCCTAAAAAGCAAAAAAAAAACAAAAACCAGTATCCAAAAAAACAAGCTTCCAAAAAGCAGAGATCCAATTAAGCCACTTCAGTACTTCCCTATCTGCTATCTTTTATCCTCAACCTATTTCCCAACCTTCAAATTCTCACCCTTGGAGTAGCTCCTGCCATCTCTGGTTCCGGGCCAGGGCTTCGGAGAAATCCACATAGGAGGTTAAGAAATCTGGAAGATTGCACCAACTAGAAATTTATGGTGCGTAGTTACACCTGGACCCTCACTCTACAACTATTGACTCCTTATCTGATTCCCCTGGTATCTGATCCACCTCTATTTCTTGTCTCCAACCCTACTTCTGCCCCCTATACTTAAGATAGATAATCCTAGCCTTTACTGAGAAGACTGAGGCCCTCTACTTGAGCTTCGTACTTCCTCAATTCCTCAAATCTGACATTTATGACTTTCTTCCTGTCAGGTTTAAGGAGTAGGCTTTTACCTGTTTGTTTAATCCCTAGCTTCTCCAGGACTCTGCCCCAGTAGTCATGCTCTTCCTTAATGCATCTTTTTAAATTCCTTTTTTATTATGAATATCAACAAGTGAGCATCTCCCTGTACCAGAAAGTAGGACTATATATGAAATCACAAATCACTACATAGAGCTTGCTTTTTAAAGTATATTTCAAACTGAACATGGTAATTGCAAAACTGCCCTATTTATATCCTTTTCTGAACTTCCTTTTGCTCCCTTCTGAGTATTTTTTAATGGTTCATTGGCAGTCATTTCTTTTTTGGTATCACCATTATTCTATTATTTATCTCCATAATTAGAACCCCCCACCACCACCACCACCACCAAAGTCTTCCCTTGTAACAACTAGGAATAGTTGAGCAAAACATTCACCCATTGGCCATGTCTGAAAATACATGCCTCATTCTGTACCCCTTGTCCATCACCTGTGTGCCCAGAGGTGGGAAGCCTGATCATCAGTCTTCTGGAGTCATGGGTGGTCACCAAATTGATCATGGTTCTTAAGTCCTTTGTTGTTTCTTTACAATGTTGTATAAATTGTACTTCTGCTCACTTAGCATCAATTCATACAATTCTCCCCAGGTTTCTCTTACTCACTAGTAACTCAGCACCCGTGCTAAGGGGGAAAAGGTCTATACACTACAAGGCAACAAATTTAGGGGGGGGAAAAAGGATTAGCAGTCAACTGAGGCCTTAGGAGTTTTGGTGATGGAAGCAGGATACCTTGGTTCTCCAAATCTGCCCAGAGTGTGGTGGTTTGACAGCTACAAAGATGGCTTCCCAGCTTTCCCTTTTTGTACACAAAAGATCCCATTGGTGATTGTGTGTTAGAGATGCTCCCTACTTTTCAAGGGCTCTGGGAGAGTAATATGTAGGGAGCAAGATGCTGTTACCTCTACTTTCAGGTCCATGCTTTGGGATCTTTGAGCACAGTAATTGGCTGAGGGAAATGAGAGTGAAATGTTTCCTGACTTACTCAAGAAAGTTGCCTAACAAGGATAGTGAGGGTCTCATCTAAGGTGCCAAGTGCTATGAGACTGTGTCCAGATGGACACTTTATGGCATTATTATTGGGCAAAATAATAATCAGCCAGTTTGGGGCTAAAAGTAAAAAAGGAAGCAGCTGCAGTACTTAGAGGGTACATGTCGAATGTTATGTGACTCAAAACCTCAGGGAAGAGTTCAGTCTCTTAAATTATCTGGCAAATGTCAGAAGAATGACTTTGGGTGAGGAATCAAAGTCTCCTGAAGGTGCTTATGGGATTTTCCCCCTTTAGGATTCACGTATGAAATGCCAATTCAGAATCCATAAAGGAAGAAGAATAAATTATTGATATAGCTATGTATGAATCTCTATGTATGTATGCATATATGTACACACACATAGTTGATTCTCATCATGGCTGGTAGTTATGATCTATAAAGTCTCAATAAATACAGAATTAGCAGATTCCAAACCACTGCTCCTAGGGGAAATACAGGATGAGGTTCCTGCGAGCCTCTGGTCACATTTACTTTAGCACTTTCCAAAGCAGTTTCGTGTACAGATCAACAAGTTTCCTCTTCCTTTTTCTGAATATACAACATTGAACTCACAGCCAACAGCATTATAATTCATCCCTGAACGAAAATTATTTAAATGTATTTTTGCTGTAAGGCACATCACAGCCTACTAGTATGCTTAGGAACACAAGATATTTGGGGGACCATTTTTAACATTGAAATCAACAAGAAAAAACATAAAAACAAGAAAAACATGGCATTAGACTGTGAAAAGGATACTTGTTTACTGTATGAAAATTGAAACATAGGACATTGACTTATTTGACCTCAGCCAGAAACGTGTATGTCAGATGACTCTGCTGTGTGCATGAATGACTGCAAAAGTGTAGCATGACTGATTTTGGGGTTACAAATAAATTTTAGCGAGTAGGTGAATTCATAAATGTGGAATCGAATAACAAAGATCAACTCTATGTGTGTGTGTATATATATGTATATAGAACACACGTATACATCTATATATGCTATTGTAAGCAATATTGATTGATTTAAATTTCTCATAGTGAAAAGTGAATTACAAAATTCTATAAAGCAAAATTATAACCTTAGCTGCATCAGTCACAGAAACCACATGTTACACCCTATGAAACGAATTGCAGCAGTCAGAATGCAACAGGTCCTACAATGTGGCCAAATGCCCAGGAATAGCAGTCTAGTTAAACGGAGGACGGTGTGGGGAGATGCTGCTGGATATAGCTATCATACTAGGCGACCCCCAAAAGATCCATAGGAGCACCCCATAGCATATGGGTCCCTGGGGATAGTGGCCTCAACCTTAACTTTTACAAAGCATTTATCACATCAAGTTCACGCCCAAATTCAGCATAGCCAATGGACAGAGTCACTCCCTTGCTTTTGGATCTGACATCTTGGCTGTGGGGACATACATATTTGCAAGCCAATGTAATTATGGACCAATCACAGTCCTAGTTTAGTTGCTACCAATAAATCTTATGTAATGAACTTGTGCAACCAAACTGCATAAAAGGCTGCTCTGATTGTAAGGTGGGGGGGGCACTTTGGTCACTGAGGGGCCACTGGCCTCTATCATTGATAACTGCTAAATCTATTTAAGTCATGCTCAAGCTTTTGTGACTCAGTTTCTCTTCATTGCAAATTTTTATCATGACGCAGGCAAGACCCTAACAAGGGTAGAAGCGATGGGTTCCTAGTTGTGGAGAGGTATGCCAGAGATGCTGTGAAAGTAGAAGCTCCGGGGCAGGTAGGTGGTACAGTAGATAGAGCTGTGGCTTTGGAATCAAGAGGACTTGAGTTCAAATCTGGCCTCAGACACTTGACACTTACTAGCTGTGTGACCCCGGGCAAGTCACTTAACCCGATTGCCTCGCCAAAAGAAGAGCAAAAGAAAAAAAGTAGAAATTCAAAACTTTAGACTTGGAAGGACTTAAGTCAATCAATTCCTTAAATCCTTTACAACATCCCTAAGCAGATATCCAGTTGCCCCTTCTTTTAGCTTTCTGTGAGGAATAATCTATTATTTCTTAAGGCAGCCTACTGTACTTCTGAACAAACACAACACAAACTCCTCTGTTCTTTAAGACCCTTCATAACATAGCTCTGACCTACCTTTCCAGACTTATTACATATTATTCCATTTACAAATTATTTGCTCTAACCAACCTGACCTTCCTGCTGTTCCTCACACATGACATTCTATCTTCCACATCAAACTGAATTCTAA